TGATATTAAGGAATATAAAACTTGGCTGGAAAATGAGAATAACAAGGCAACACTATTAGAAAGTCAGAGTTCATTGAACTTATAAACTTGCATTCATTACATTAAGGTATTAATGAGTTTCATTCTAATAAAATTTGTAAGAAATGAATTTATTGAGTTGGACAACCTCCTTTACCACCAGCACCTCCTGCAGCATCAGTAAATTTGAGTCCTTGTAAAAGTTTTTGAACTTGAGATTCTTCTTCAGAACCTCCTTCAGCTTTAGATAATTGACTAACAATTTCTTCTGGTGGTTGACCTTGTTCTTGCATTGCTTTCATTAATTCTATCAATTCATCAATAGCATCTGGATACTTGCTCGTTTCATAAACATTACAAATTTTACAACATAAATCATATTGTTTTTGAATACGTTGATATTCTTCATCAGCAACTTTTCCTCTATTTTGATCCAACCATATTGGATATTTTTCTCTTAATTCTTCCATTGGTTGTCTAAGAATATCAGGTGACATTAGTACTTCCATCATACTTTGTAAAAGATTTGAAAAGGCTCCTTCATCAACTGGTTCTTCTTCTCCTGAATTATCACCACCACTACTACTACCAGTATTAGAAGTATTTGTTGTATCATTCATTGATTCTACATTTTGATTTAATAAATTTAATGTATTATGTAATGCATTTTGGAAATTACTAGACTTTTCACCTCCTTCAGTTTGTTCCAATTCATTGAAAAATTTAGTCACTTGTTCTGTTAAATGATTTACAACTTCCTTTTCTTGTGGAGTAAATGTTTTCTGTAAAATATCATCCAAATCAATATCATTTGGTTCCAAGTTTGATGATGAAGAAGCATCAGCAGAAGATGATGCTACAGGTGATGATGCTGATGTTTTCTTTTCAGATGATGGTGTTTTTGGTGCTTCATCAAATTCATTTAAAGCATCTATTTTGATCCGATTGTTTAATTTTAATCCGATCGGAATCTAACCACTTACTTTCGAGAATATCGTCAAGGTCATCAAAATCTTCTTGTTTATTGTTGGACATTTTTTTTCTTCCTATTTATTTCCGATTCTTTTAATTCTTCATCACACAACTCTCTTCAAAGTGTCTATGCCTCTCCTCACACAAGGCTTTCAATGCTGTAGCAGAATCAATTACAAATTATTATTATTACTTCTAATGATATTAATTTCAAGCTGAGGTTACCACCACACTGACTGTTCATCAAAAAGATCAAATTGCCTAGCTTCCTAATAGCTTGTTAATTCGTTCACCGTTTTGTCATCCTTGCAACGTTCGCTCAAGTTAAAATTTAATCATTTAACAACCAAGCCTTTAAAAAAAAAATGTCATTCACTTCACCTAAATTCACTTGTACAAGTCCTGTTAATATTGCCGTCATCAAATATTGGGGAAAGGAAAATGAAGCAGAACACATTCCATTAAATTCATCTCTCTCTGCTACTCTTAACCAAGATGATTTAAAGACTACTACCACTGTTCAAGCTAGTACTGAATTTCCTTGTGATGAATTAATTTTGAATGGAAAGAAGGAAGATGTTCAAGGAAGTAAACGTATTCAAAGAGTTTTCCAAGAAATTCGTAAAGCAGCTACAGCTAAATGGTACACTGAACGTCCAAACAAGGATCAAGAAATTTATGTTCATATTGATTCTACCAATAACTTCCCAACAGCAGCTGGTTTAGCATCAAGTGCTTCTGGTTATTGTTGTTTAGTTTTTGCTTTGGGTCAATTATTTGAAGTTAAATCTGATTTGAGTATTATTGCAAGATTGGGAAGTGGTAGTGCTTGTAGATCATTGTACGGAGGATATGTTGCTTGGGAAAAGGGTCACGATCATGAAACAAGTAAGGCTATTCAAGTTTTGGATGAACATGATGATTTCTCAAAGCAAACTAATATTGTTGTTTGTGTTGTTTCTGATAGACAAAAACACACTCCAAGTACATCAGGAATGCAACAATCTGTAATTACTTCTAAATTATTGAAGGTTAGAGCTAGTGAAATTGTTCCACAAAGAATGATTGAAATGGATAAGGCTTTGAAGACTAAAGATTTTAATCTTTTTGCTACATTAACTATGGATGATTCTGATAATATGCACGCTTGTTGTGCTGATACTGAACCAGCTATTTATTATATGAATGAAACTTCTAACCAAATTGTTCAATTGGTTAAGGATTTCAATGCTTTCGATGATGGAAATGGTGTTGAAAATTTGAAGGTTGCTTATACTTTTGATGCTGGTCCAAATGCTGTTCTCTTCTTCCCTAACAAGGAAGTTACTAACAAGTTTTTGGCTATTTTACATGCTTTCTTCCCACCATCAAATCAAGAACAATTCTTCTCTAAGGAACCATTCGTTACTGAAATGAAGCAATATACTGAAATGGTTGAATCATTCAAGAAGTCCACTTCTGTTAAGATTGATGCTGATGGATTGAGATATTTGATCCACACAACTGTTGGTTATGGTCCAAAGGTTGTTAGCATTGAATAAATTTTATTGACCTATTTTTTATTGTATTCTTTGAGTGAGTAATTGTTGAATGGCTGATATCATAAAATCCTTTTCTTTACCTTCAGGTGATCCACAACCTCTCCATCTAATTCTACATTGTTGATCAATAACAAAAACGTAACATGTCTTACTATTGGTAATTTCTACAGCATCCTTAAATTTGAAAGTTTCATTATTATTCTTGAGGAATGTTAATAAAGTATTGGCATGCATCTTTTCTGGAACTACAGATTTTAAATTTTTAGTGACATAAGATTCAAGCCACGAAACGACATAATTTTCGCTAATACTTAAATCTATACATTGAGTTTTGTTTACAGATGATGATGGGCTAGAAGTTTCATATTGAGTTTGAAATTCTTCATATGCTTCCTTCCATTCCTTTGTCATATTTGAACCATATTCAGTAAAATTCACAAATAATAAAGTTGCTCTACATTGCTTGATTTTCTTTACAAGATCAACTTGTTCTCCATTAATATTCTTAATAACAGCCTTATTTCTACCATCTCCGAGAATAACTTCAGGTGATGGAAAGACTGTACTCTTTTCTAGTGGAATTAATTGTCCTGACATGGAAACAAAAAGTTTTCCTTTATGTTTGAGGACTGATTTAATTTCTTTAAGAGGAGAATATCTGTGAATTTCCGATTGGATATTATCTCTTTCATTTTTCAAATGTTTTGATAATCTTTCTCTTTCCTTTTCAACTTCTTCTTTTAATTTATTATCACCTCCGAAAATATTCTTCAGAAAATATCTACATTGATTATTATTTAATGATAAATTATTATTACTTTGAATTAATCCGAGTCCGAATCGATAGTATTTTTGTTGTTTATGATGAACAGCAATCGAACGTAAATGATGCTGAATAAATGTATTTGAATTTTTGAACATTTTTTTTAAAGGCTAAAATTTAAAAATGATTGAAAAAAGTTTATTGATTATCAAATTTGTTAGTTTTTATAATTTTCATATATTGATTGGTATTATATAATATTCAAATATTTGAATATCAATAAATAACCAATAATATTCAAAGAATACACTTTTAAAAATTAATTAAAAAAAATAAATGAACTCAACCAGCAAAATTGAAGGTAAATTTTCAAAGCCTTTGAAATAATACCAACAACAATACAACACACCATTATATTGATCGAATGGATCAAATTATTAGATATTCCATGTACAATATTAAAATCCAAACTTGAAAATTCAATTAAAATTGATGAAGAATTTAAATCATCAAGCCTTTCATCAATTAAAGTATGGAATGTAATTGAATTGACTGTTTCTCCGTGTGCTAAATATGCTTCATTTCCATATCATGATTACACTCCGTATGCTCAATTTATTTCAGTGGATGATTTAATAGAGAAGGAATTAAAATTAGAGAAGGAAAATGTAAAATCATTGTGTTCATCATGTCTAATGAATCAATCGTGTGATGTTTCATCTTCGTGTAATGGAGTTTGTATTGTTACTAGAAATGTCATACTTTCGAATAGTCATGCTGGAACACATGCTGATCAACCTAAACATTTTGAAAAGAATCCAATTGTGGAATATTTTCACACTCTTCAATATAATGGAGCTTGTTTAGTATTAAATTTAGTGGAAGAATTGAAGAATAATTTGGAAATTTCAGAAGAAATTCTTAGAAATGCAATTGAAAAGAGTAAAATTCCAAAAGATAAAATTCTCAGATGTATCATCAAGACTCGATCCAATCAACCAAGTGATGAACAAGAATGGACCAATGATTTTGCACATTTTCATCCAAGTGCAGCTGAATATTTATCAAGAGAATTACCTAATCTTCTCCTTATTGGAATTGATACACCATCAATTGACCATCCTAATAAGGCACCAATTATTGAACATTCACATGGTAGATTTTGGAATGCTAGAATTGCAATTTTGGAAAATTTAAATTGTGAAATGATTTTTTCACATACTAACAGTAGTGATAATAGTATTAATAGTAACAATAGTATTAACAATAGTATTGAAGGATATTTACAAACAAGTTTCAATCCATTACAAATTTCACAAGATGCCATTGGATGTTTTGTCAAGTTTTATCCATCACATCAATAGAATGTTATATCTTTCAACAATAATCTTCTCTCTAATCTGCTTCTACTACTAGTTGACATTTATTAGTAGTTGATGACAATATAAAGATTAAAGATTAATTTACTGTAAATATGGATTCTTAAAGATGTCAGGACTCTATTCATCTACAGATTTGCCGTCTTCGAACATGAATGGACATTCAATAAGAAAAAGCCAACAGTCAGGTACGGAGTATGATTCACACAATTTAACACGTTAAAATTAATTGGGCGGGAAAAGTTTGCTTGTCTTTCAAACTTGTCAATCAAAATTTTGCTCATCAATCAAACATTTTAACTTGACGTATGTCATCTTTTTAACGGGCAAGCCAATCGTTGACAGGTTTTTTCTCTTCACCACAACACGTGTAAGCAACAACTGCCACACACATCAATGGACAAGTATAAATCCCTGTCATCAAGTTGTTTTCACACAAAAAAAAACACAAGAACAAAATGTCCACTAACGTTGCTCCAGAAATTGATGCTGCTTGGGAATCCTTGAAGACTGAATCCATTAAATGGTTCACTTTCGTCCCAGAAAAGACGGGTTTGATCATGGATGCCACTGGTACTGGTGATTGGGATGAATTCTTGGGTTCATTCGGTCCATCTGATGTCAAGTTTGGTATTTATCGTGCTGTTGCTGTTGATGATGATTCTAGAAGAACTAAATTCGTTTTAGTTGCTTGGACTGGTAGTCAATGTAATGCCATGAAGAGATCAAAGGTTGCTGCTAATAAGACCATCGTTACTCAAAAGTACTCTGTTCACATTGATATTCAAGCTTCTGAACATGCTCAACTTTCTCAAGAAGAAGTTATTGCTAAATTGAACAGCTCCACTGGTGCTCACAAGCCAAAATCATACGAATTTTAATTCACAATATTGTGCAGTTAATGCTGTTGATCCAATATTAACAATATAAAAAAACATTTTTGTAAAGTTATTTATTTGTTTTAACTGTGATTCTCCTCTGGATTAGATAGGCTTCATCATGCTCTTGGAAAGTTTCATCTTCCAAAGCCAATGCCTCAACATACTTCATTCAAATACCCAACTCGAATGTTCTAACTTCATTGATAAGGAACATATTGTTAAGGAGATTGCATTTGTGTCATGTTGGAATTGTAAAATGGAACGTAATTTGTTTGATTATGAATTTACAAGTAGTGATGATGTCATGGTATGAGTAGCTCAATTGCACCATATCAATTCCATATGATGAAAATGATTTACAAGAGGTTTTGTACCTGTAAAAAGAACGATGTAATTTAATGAAGATTTAAATGGTGGATACAATAATGGATATTTATATAATTGTGTAATATTTAGAATTGTTTCTTTAAGACCATTTACAGATAGGATTAATCCAGATTTATTTCAGGTTCAATCTGTTATTCAACTAGATGGCATATTAAAAATGTTCAGATTTTATTTCAAATTAAATGAAGAATTTATTCTTATTATTGGAGAAGAATCACTCACTAAAATGAAATCTGAACAATTATTTATCGATTGCTTAAAAAATTTCCAATAATTCTTTATTTTCCATATGATGAAACTCTAAAAATCCCTAACCGAAATTTAATGTTTTACTTTAATAAGATCATCCTCTTCAATGTTGATGGAGAGGTACTTTTCCAAGTCTTTTCTCTTAATTGCAAATTGTGCTCCTTCTTGTATCAATTTTCTAAGATCAGCATTCCTAGGAATTGGTTCAAATTTGTATAGGTTGCCCTGTCTTTGGAATTCAGCAACTTGCTCTTTTGAATGTAAACAGGCATCCTCAAGAACATAGGCTGGAATGAATTCTTTGCTTTGTTCGTTGATCATTGTTTTTGAGTGTTTTTTTTTGAGGTTTTAATTTGATTATTAAGCGAGCAATTTGTAAGTTTTTAATTATTGTAAACAATTACAACCGATAACATAGATGGGAGTTTTAAACAGGTAACTTATTTGATGACAAATATCCTTGTTACTTGTTGGAGAAACTGGAGCTCAGAATGTCAAATAACATTACTAACATTTCCTTGCGATTAAGTATTTTGAAATTGATGGTTGTTTTTATACTAAGAATGAAAATTATTGAATTATTTACCTCACCCCAGGAGAATCAAATCGGTTTATATTACACAAGTTGGAAGTACGAATGGCTACGGCCATATCACGATTCATGCACCTCATCCCGTCCGATTTGAGAAGTTAAGCATCGTCGAGCCACATCAGTACTGAGGTTGGAGACAACTTGGGAACCTGTGGTGCTGTAGTCTTTTTCTTAGTGTCATAGATTGAAAACAAGATCTTGATTGCTTCTGATTTGATGCTCCATAAAAGCTGTAATCCCAATTTATCGAAAGGTGTTGATGATTTCTCCCGAGAACCTTTTAGAAGGACATTTCTTTTTGTGGCCTTTTGATTCTCGATATTCATGTTGACCTTTCGTCGATTAAAAAATGGCTAAATTAAAGTGGGTATTGTTGCTTACATTGTTTCTGTATTGTGTTTGTTGTTGTGTTGTGAATGGTCATTCATTTGTCAGTAAAACATTTGATCAATTGGATTCGACACTATCTCTTGTTTATGTTAATGATTACTTGACAGCTGTTGTGTGGAAAAATGTGTCAGAAAATTACAATTTAACTTCATCAAAAGATGTAACAACATTAATGAAACAACACAATTTACTCGATATTGCATTTATTCCAGCATCACTAAAAATGTCAACACTTTGGACGAAACTTAATTCAGACTTTAATCAAAAAAGAATTGTTAATTTTTATGGTTTCGTAAAGGGATATGGGCAGAGATTTCACATTTTAGAAGATTTTGATATGATCATTACATCGAGGAATTTGTTTTTGGAAATGTTTAGAAATTATCATAGAGGAAGTGGAAAGAGAACACCTGTTGGTCATTTATACGAAACTTCTGACTTTAACTTTATTGATCTTTATCCATATTCTGTTTATCAAGTGGATGAAAATGCAACTGGATTGAATTTAAGTATTTCAGTTAGTCAACCATCTTGTGTGAATTCATCATCACTTTTAACATCTTTCGATTATGAACCACCTTTATTCAATTCATTTCGAATAATGAAATATGGAGGAGAAATGGTTAGTGATTATGATTTGGAATGTTTGAAAAGCTGTGGGAATAATTTCAAAATTTTATCCAAAGTAGGTTTTCTTAAATATTGTTTCTAATAACATTTCAAGACGAATCAAGATATTATCAAACAGGAAATACAATCAACTTATGGATTTTACTCAAACTCTTCAATTTCACAATTAGAATCACTCTACCTTCCATCAAATTGTCATAATTGCCATTTCGAATATTGTTCTGAAATAGTTTTGAATGATATCGAATATTGGTTGATTCCTCAAACTATAATAGTCATCATTCACTTTATCTTTCTATTTTTCACAGGTGCATTAAGGCAACCTTCTGTAAAACGACGACTTATCACACCTTACCTACCTCTAACAATTATTATTATTGAAATAGCGACTTCTGACATGTTTTGGTTAGTTCTCAATCTTTCATTAGCAATTGCTGGAATTGTATTGAATTTCTGTATTCTAGTTCATTTCTTTACCTATTTAAGATTATATTTTTTACATAATTTATATAGATTATTTTCACTTTCTAAAAATATCAATTCAACATTATTGAAATTAAGTGGAATAATTCTTGGAATAGTAATAACTTTGATTTTTCCATTATTTCTTCATATTTTAATATCCATTCCATATATAGCAATGTATTATATAGTTGAATTGGCACCAAATATAGTATTTAACATTTTATCTGGAATATCTATTGGAATTGCATGTATATTAGGATTGTCAGTAATATCCATTGATTTTATACTAAACATAAAGAAATGGAAAGAGAAAGGATTGAGATACATGTTATTCTTCGATGATCCATTCTTAATCAGAGTAGATATGATACTTCTCAGTTTTAACATTATAATTCTCATTATCATTTCAGCAATTTCAGATCATCATGTTATTTACTTTTTCAGATTAATCATGTTTATCTTGTTTTGTCTAGTGAGTGGTGGATCTTGTGTGATTAAATATTTGATTGATAAAATTCAAAGTTCCAAATCTCAACAAATTGAAGGTGAACTGGAGAGTTATCTGAAACATCAGGATTTTAGAGATTTGATTAGAGAATATTGTGTGAAGGAACTTTCATTAGAGAATTACAACTTTTTCACTTTTTTATTGGAATTGAAATTAAAATCAAAGAAGAAACTTTCAATAGAGTTGATGGATGAAATTTCACAAGTTTATTTGAATCAAAACTCTACTTTCGAATTGAACATTTCAAGCACTTGCAGAAAGAACTTTTTCATATTAAGGAAACGAATTCAAGACCAAAATGAAACAGAATTATCCACTGAATCAAATTCTTTTGTACAAACAATTCAGGATTTGATTTTAGTATTTGAAGGTGAAATATTGGCAAATCTCAGAGATACCTTTTCAAGAATGGAAAATACGAATGAATTTAAAACATGGCTTTATGCTTTCAAAGTTCAACAACAAAATAACATTTTCTGAGACAATTCAGTTGAGTTACCAATATCAAAAGAAGAGAAAATCTCTTTATTGAACAAAGAATAAAAGAAATACAAAAGTAAAACTTTTTGTGAGATTGACCTGTCATGTCCAATTAGAAGGATCAATTTCACAACAAAAAATGTCATCACTCTACGGAGATTGCATTGGTCATATCTTGAAATTTTTACCATTGAATGGGCTTTTACCAGTTATTTTGATAAATAAAACCTGGCACTCTGGATTGACACAAAGTGTTTGGCATGCTCTATTTATGTCATATTTAGAAAAGGAAATGACAAATGTCAAATTGACCAGTTATTGTGTGAAATTGTATAGAAAATTATTTGGTGATGATCATCATGTTATTGAAGAATTATTACTTTATGATATAACTCAAGATGAAAAGAAAGTGTCAAATGCCAAGAAAAAATCAATTGACTATCACAAATCATTGAAAAGTTATGTAATAGGAAAATTGATCGGAAGAGAAGGGAAAGAATTGAAGAAATTGATTCGATTCCCTCTTCAAAAAGTATTTGGTGAAGGAGATGGAAGAAGAATTGATAGAATAGTTGCTTTTGAAAGAAAGTGGAAGAAAGTTAGCGAATTCCTAAATGAAAGAGTTTCCTTCCATAAAGATGGTTTGAAGAAACAGCATATAAGTAATTCAATCAATGAAATGCTTATGAAGAGAGTGAAATATGATTTGAAGCTTGTTTTCAAACAAGATAAAATAGCCAGTTTCGAATTAGGAAGAAAGATTAGTATAGAAATTGCAAGTGGTCAATTGTTGCAAAGATTTAGGGTAATGATATTCGTACAGTTATTTTATCAATATTTTGATAGCTCATTACTAATGTCAGATCAATTACAATTAATTACTGAAACAAATGAGATTCCAATAGAATTATTCAATGCATTCACATTCGAAACTTTCAAGATTGTATTGGATTTTATTTCAAAATATTGTCCTAAAAACGTTCAATCTATTAGAAACCATATTGAGAATGACACTTCAAAAGATGCCTCCTTGAAATCATTCCTCTTTGAGAAACCACAAAGATTTCTCGGTCATTACTTGATAGGAAAATTTGGAATTTCATTATTTGCTGATATTTCAGATGGATTCGAATATTGTCTTGCTGAGTACAGGTTTGAAATTCCTAATTTCCTTGTCGATTGTTTGGTTTATAGGACTGATAAAATTGATGAAACAAAGAAATTGGACATGGTTGATACCTATTCGAAATATCACAATATTCCCTATCTGAATGTCGATTTCATTGTGCAAATCATTAATAGTGCAAGTGTGGCCCTACTTGGCTGTGGACATAAAAAGTATATACTCATTAGCAATATTGAAATTCTCCTTTCCAAAATTGAGGATGATCCTGAAATTCCATTAATTTTCAGAATTACCACTTGTCAATTGGGGGACTGTTGGATACCGGCTGAGTTTCACACACTTGTGCAAGTAATATTCAATTTTTCTAATAAGGTATTTGATGAAAATGTTCAACCACCTTATTGTGATCCTCTCATCTTTATATCAAGTCAATTGAATGCTTTTGTAAAGTTTGATGTACAAGGATGGGTTGATTTATTCTTGGAATTCTTAAAAAAAGGATCTAAAAAGAAGTTTGTAGACAGCTCTGGAAGAAGTTTTGAAAATATTGTAATGTCAAAATCATTTCCTTCCAGTATTAGAGAAATTCTAGTTGATTATTTGGTTGATTATGAGTAGATAATGAATTATACTAATGGATTAAATTCTTTGTTGGATATGATTTACTCGTGTGTCTATTTCAGTACTATTCGAAAGATTGGGGGATACGAAAACTAGATCTTAATAGTTAAAATGTGAACTGATTCATATTCCAGAAATTCAAGTAATCAATGGCTATTAACTATTCACCAGATGTGGTTTGGAGAAATCAAAAACGAAAACTTCAAAAACTCAGAGAACAAGTTACGAGATGTGGCAACAATGCCTCTCGCTATTTGACTGAAATTCTTGAATGGGATATAGATTCGATTGGTACAATCAAACCATTTGGAGTTTACAATGGCCGAAATGGAGAGCTCAGAGATCACACAAAGGATCTCATTGAACCAGAACATTTTGAGCAAACAACAAGATTGGATTCAGAAGTACCTGTAACAAGCACTACTACTAACCAAGGAAATGGCTCATTCTGGGGAGCACTTGCTGTTGTTGGGGCAGTTTCTTTAGGAGCCATGTATGTAGCTACCAATAATAATAACCCTCCCAATCAACAACAACAACAAATTCAACAACAAGGAAGAAGAAACAATGAAAATGAAGAAAGCCAACAAGAATGCTTAATTATGTAATTTAGATACCATTTTAAATAAAACAGTAAGACATTCGTTTATTTGAGAGGATAAGTAGCTTTCATCATCTGATTCAATTTTTACTTCACAGCTTTAAGAATGTAAAGTATTTGTCATAATTTAGTCTTTTCCTCTGTATTCAAAACGCACCATTGAGAGAAAATGGAAGCTGAGTCATTACCAAGTATTGTTGTTTATTGAGGAGGAGAGAGAGTACAGTCCCGTCTCGAATAGTAAAAGGTCAATGACAATGCATCACATAAATTATTATAATTATTTTCATGTCTCAATCTCAAAAGTCCTGTGAAAGCTTTAAGATTTCTTGCCAAAATTTTTCAGGTAATTTGGAAATTCTATTTTGATCTATGAAGAGTTGTTTTCTGTTGACAATGCTAAACTTGAGAATCTCTCTCAAAAATTGCATTCAAAAAATTTTCACAAACTTCAAGCATAGCAAAGTAATTATCAATGGATAGAGTAAAGTTATTCTTGCAATAATTGATTAGATATTGAATTTCATGTTTCATTGCCATATCAAGTAATCCAATAATTTTAACAGCATCAATTTTGTCAATTGAAATTCTATAACAATATTTGATCACAATTTCCAATAATTCCAAATCTTCTGATTCGTCAGGTGTGAATATTCCATCATCACTCAAATCACTGAAACAAGATCCACTGTCAAATAATGCATTAAACAATGTACTTGATGAACTCAATACAGTTTTGTGACAATATAAGTATTTGTTTTGTCCCATTTTGATTTTTACATCACTTGTTTTCATATCACCATATAATGATTCAATTGTTTGTGGTTCATTTTCAATTGTTTCCTCAATATTAATTGCAGTTGGTTCAGTAATGATCATTTTTGGAAATATGGCAGTAGCATTTCTCATAATTATTGGAAGAGTCGATAATAAAGTGTTTCCTTCTTTTGTTTGCATTTGAACAGCAGCATATTCAATGCAATGGTTATTCAATTGATCGAGAATGTAATTTTGAATACCAAATTCCTCTTTGCAAGTTTTGAGTAAATTTTCAATTGTTTCCCATTTGAAAGTAAGATTTTCTAATGTGAATGAGTTCACAAATTCACTTGTCAATGATCTTTTCAAATCAATAAATTCACCATTCTTAAATAAACCCAAAATGAATAAAACATCCAACACTTCTTCTTTGCTAAACTTTACCTTGTTCTTATCATACAGCAAAGAATCAATTAATTTTTGAATAATTTCTTGTTGTGATGAACTCATCAAACAAAGCATCTTTTCATTCTTCAAAATATTACTAAATTTTGGTGAAATTTTTTCAATGAGTGGAATGAATCCATAAATTTGAAATCCAAATAATTGATCTCTTGAATGTTTTTTCAAATTATATTCTATTTTGGAGTACAAGCTACTATTTCCAGTTAATAACTTATTTCCAATATGAGGATACATTATAATATTAAAAGGTGAATCACCGCTGAATCCAGCAGTTCCATTTCCTGCAATTGTCACAATATTTCCATTTTCTAATATTTTTCTAATTCTTTGATTACTGTTGATCAGCAATATAAACCTCATTATTTGATGAAACAAAAACACTATTAGGACTGATTCAGTTGTGCATTTGTTGCAGGACCATTATCACCACTGAATCCATAAGTTCCATTTCCAGCAATTGTTATAATATTTCCATTTTCCAATATTTTTCTAATTCTGTGATTATGTTGATCAGCAATATAAACTTCATTAGTTAATGAAACAAAAACACTAGAAGGATAATACAATTGTGCATTTGTTGCAGGACCATTATCACCACTGAATCCATCAGTTCCATTTCCTGCAATTGTTATAATATTTCCATTTTCTAATATTTTTCTAATTCTTTGATTGTATGATCAGCAATATAAACTTCATTATTTGATGAAACAAAAACAGTACAAGGATTATACAATTGTGCATTTGTTGCAAGCCCATTATCACCACTGAATCCATAAGTTCCATTTCCTGCAATTGTCACAATATTTCCATTTTCCAATATTTTTCTAATTCTTTGATTATGCTATAATCAGCAATATAAACTTCATTAGTTGATGAAACAAAAACAGTAGAAGGCCTATACAGTTGTGCATTTGTTGCAGGACCATTATCACCACTGAATCCATACAGTTCCATTTCCTGCAATTGTTATAATACTTCCATTTTCTAATATTTTTCTAATTCTATGATTATGTAAATCAGCAATGCAAACTTCATTATTTGATGAAACAAAAACACTAGAAGGATAATTAAATTGTGCATTTGTTGCAGGACCATTATCACCACTGAATCCAGCAGTTCCATTTCCTGCAATTGTCACAATATTTCCATTTTCTAATATTTTTCTAACTGCATGATTACAAAAATCAGCAATGTAAACTTCATTATTTGATGAAACAAAAACACCAAAAGGATTAAACAGTTGTGCCCTGGTAGCATTTGTAGACATTTTTTTAATTGTAATCCGAACAGAAAAAAAGAAACCAGAAAATATTCTTCAACAGAGGAAATGAATTTTTTGGGCTAGTGAAGATGAATTTTAGATGGTTTCTACATAAAACCATGTAGAAGAACATTACTAGTGGGTGTTCAACATTTTTGATGGTGTGATAATGATGAAAAATGCTTAATAATGGTAAGGAGTGAGGTTTCAAGTTATTTTTTGTCTTTTTTTTAAAACAACCGAAAACGATGGGGAAGAGACATGAATTATAGTTTGAGGTGGTGAAGGAGGTGCAGAAATCTATCTTTTCATTTAGGGGCGTATGGTTGTCAGAAAATTACGAAATAATCGGGGGTAAACAACATTTCTTCATTCCTTAAGAAACAACTCTGATATTATTAAGCCACAAAAATCCGATTTTTAACAAACTTTGAAAGGTAAATTTGGAAAATGTTAATTCATTGAAACCAAAAATCTGATTCATAATCCTTGAACACAGCCAACACATCAAACCCAAAAAACAATTCCACTCAACCCTGTGTAGTCTAATGAAAGACATGTGAATCTGACGATACTTAAACAACAAGTCCAAATCACATAATTCAGGTTCAAGTCCTGACACTGGGTTTCAACTTTTTATTCAGAAACTAAACTGAGATATTTATTTACTGATCTTGTAATATGAAAGTAGGAATAGCAAATGAACAAGACAATACTCCGACATCAATCTTTCCAACCATAGTTGGCCATCACAAGAAATCAACAAGCACCACTGTAGTTGGTGATGAAGCCATTGCTAAGAGAGGTATCTGTACATTGAAATATCCAATTGAACATTGTGTCATTACCAACATATCTGATATGGAACTAGTTTGGAGACAAACCATTTATGAAGAATTGAGATGCAGGCCAGAATTACATCCAATCTTGATGAGTGAAGCAGTGAGGGAACCAAAGTGTAATAGAGAGAGGATGACGCAGATCGTGTTTGAGGAGTTTAATATATCAAATTTTTATGTGGCAATGCAAGGAGTGTTGGCATTGTTTGCATCTGGCAAGACAAGTGGAATTGTTTTGGATTTGGGAGAGATGGTATCAAGAGCTGTTCCTGTCTATGAAGGATATGCCTTGACACATGCCATTTCAAGTTGGAATTTTGCTGGAAGGGAAATTACTGAATATTTGGTTCAAGCATTTGTTGGATGTAAAATACCATATTTTGCAGAGCATCCAACAGATGTCATGACAGATATTAAGCATAATATTTGCTATGTTGCATTGGATTTTGAACAGGAAAATGAAAAGGCACTGACTGATGTTTCTTATGAATTACCAGATGGAATGGTACCAGCAACACTAGGTTCTTCTTGAGAGGCTGTTGACTTAGCAGAAGGAGGTGGTGGACTACCTGCACCTCCAGAAGGTGGTGGTGGACCTGAACTGATATCTGAACAACTCAAAGAAGGACTAGCAGAACGACAACAACAACCTCTAGCACAACTTGGAGATGGTGCACAAGAACGTCTGCAACATTCTCTATTCTCCTCACATCTACAACAACGATCCAAACTAGAGGATTGTACAGAGAGAGATTCAGAAATACAGTCATCCATTGCAGCCAACTTTTTCTTTTCCTTTTCTGGCTTTTCTTCAGGTAATTTAAAGTCAGTCTTATGCCAATTAACTCTTTCCTTCCACATACTAATAATTCTTTCTAACTTTTCCTTTTCTTGCTTATCTTTAGCTTCTTGTGCACAGTTGAGGGAATGCAGAGAGAGAGTCAATCTTTTGTTGAGCCCACAAAGTTGGCATGGCAGCCTCTTCAGGAACATTGTTAGGACACTGAGTGAATACTAAGAAACGGAGTGACGGAACACACAGTCTCACGGAATCCGCCTCAAGTAAGAAACTGTCCAACGGGGCAGTCTGAAGTAAGAAACGGAATTAAGAATGGATATTAAGCTCAATAACACAGTAACATTCTAAAATTGTTCTAATTGATTCCATTTGTTGTTGGATTTAATCTACTTGTTCTTAGCGATTTCATTCCCAAGATCAAATTTCACATTATTATTTCATGAAACTTTCCCCACTCGATGTGTGCATTCATGTATGTTATCATTTCAAGTTTCGTTGTTTTATTTTGTAATTTCAACTAACAAATTAGCAAATCTTTGAATAGATTTGTTTCAAGTTTATTCGCAAAGAATAAAACATGCCAATTACAGTTAGTAGCATTGTCATTATTTATATATATCCATAATTATTCAAAAAATTCAAGTTTCGTCATCTGATCCAAGAGTTATTCAGAATTAAGGGAAAAAAAGAGTGTTAAGGAATGCCTTATATAAAAAATTAAAAAAAAAGTGAAATTTATTATTAATTTGATATTTACTAATACATGGGAAAGCTGCACGATTTGGAAATTTAATTTGGGCGAGTAAATAACCAATTCTTAGTCAACCAAACAGGAACCTGACCAACACAAAAGAACAGGAATAAATTATAATAAATATGATGTTTATTATCAATTTAAATAGTACTACTAGAAGAAACTTTTTGATTTGGTGAAGTACATGATGGGTAGTATACATGTGTATTTTCAAATTTCACACATACCTTTCCCTATCATAACTAAATACTATTATTATATCGATGGAAAATATCATTGATGATGGTTGGTGAATGATCAGATGATGGTATCACCAACATCAATTTTTCCATGATGAAAAATGATTTCTAATTTCATGATGATAATTTTCCAATAAAAATCATTATTACTACTATTATATAGATGATGTATAGATGAAGGGCTGAAATTATTGTGGTATAAAGATGTGAAACCACTCCGTAAATCATCAAAGTACATCACGTACTAGATGTTGAAATATTTTTTCTTCAAAATCCAGTCAGACCAATTTGGTGATGTTTGGATGTGTTAGTTATTGCTTATTCTTCAGTCAAGCAAGCCATATTAAACAAACAATTGAAAGTAAGCAGAGTCAAAGTTTCAAATATAAAAGGAAAATTCAAAAAGTAATTATGTCTCATTCATTTTATTAATGTTACTAAGCTCTCTCTCCATATTTGAATTGCCAGCTTGTAGTATTAAGCGGAGAGAATCTCCCGTTTAGAATAAGAAACGGCCTGAATCCCGTTCATCCCGTTGCCCGTCTCACCGTTTATTTGTATCAACTCGGTTAACTTGTTGGAATATCAAGTTCTTGAATGTGATAAATCTTTGAACCATATCTGAAAGATACAGCAACCTTAGCTGTTTCCTTTCCAGAGTTTTTGATTTTACCATACAATTTGAAAATTTCTCCTTCCTTCAAAGAAACTGGTTCGTTTGGATAAACTTCTTCCATATCAGAATCTTCGAAATCTGCAACAACAAATGATAAGACTGGTTTACCAATAGCATTCAAAATTTGATCTTGTGAAAGAATCAAACCAAAATTTAAGAAGAACTTTGCTAATTGCCAACAAATAAATAGTAGGCCAGTTATCTTCTTAATTTCCTCAACCAAATTGAACAAACCAACTATCGCAAGATCGTTGCCTTCACTGTTCATACAGTCAAAGACTGTAGCGGGATTGTCGCCATATTCCTGGCAGGCTTCCCGTCTTAATTGTAAATTGAAAAGAATATTGTTAGAATAGATAGAATTCATAGACGAAAACATTAGATTTAAAAATCAGTAATATTCTTATTCAAAATTAAGATTTAATGATAGGAAATGGCTACGGCCATATCACGATTCATGCACCTCATCCCGTCCGATTTGAGAAGTTAAGCATCGTCGAGCCACATCAGTACTGAGGTTGGAGACAACTTGGGAACCTGTGGTGCTGTAGTCTTTTTCTTAGTCATAGATTGAAAACAAGATCTTGATTGCTTAAAAGTATTTTATTAAATAACTTAATACTTATTAAACTGTTTTTATCCCTTTGTTTGGTATTGAAAAATTGGCAAAGGTTCCCCCTATTTTCTAGTCGCTTAAACTGAAGGTTTTGATGGCAAAAAGTATTAAGATTCAATACTTTATTGAAATCTAAATATCTTTGATTTAATTGTTTAATAATAAATGTGTTTTTTAAGGTGAAAATCTACAAAACACTTTTGATGAAGGTAGGAATTACAAGCAGGACATTTGATAGGAGTGAGAGAATGAAAATTCTTACAATGCTCACAAAGTCCACGAGTTTTGACACTGGATGGGAAATGTATTGTTCTTTTGAAATTTGGGTTGGTGGATTCACAATGAGATAATGTTGCCTCTTGCAAATATTCATTGAGGGTCAAATTAGTTAAGTTTCTAACATGCTTATAAATTAAATATTGATTAACGAGAGCTATACGTAGAACTTCAAAGAGATGGATGATTTTCCAATTATTTACCTCGAAGGGAACATCCATTTTGTAAAGATTGATTCCAGACAATTCAACACAACCCATTCTTTCATATTTCTGAACAAGTGGTTGTGAATGAAATGTTTGATTACTTCCCAAATTAGTTAAAAAATTAACCTTTTTGTGATCATTGAGAGAAACAGCAGCCATGTGATTGTTTTTATGGACAGCTTGAGTCCACTTTTTAGTTTTGCTTCTTTTGAGATGTTTCAACAATCCATCACTGAAAAGAAATGTTGGTCTATTAGCCCTCACTGTCATGACATAATTCCATTCTTTTTCTGATAATTGATTTGCTAAATTTAATGATCCATAATAATTGTCGACACCTAAAATATGATTCTGTGGATCATCAATATGCTCAATAAGATCTAAAACAATTTTATCTGATTTATGTTCGTGTTTTGACAACCAAAATGCATAAACATACCCAACCCAATCAGATAGTGTATAATATTTCAATCCATAATTGTGAGGTTTGGTGGGGAGAAACTGTTTGTCACTAATCTTTCCCTTGAAAGGAGCAATTATTTCATCCACTGAAATTTCTTTGAAACATTTCCAAAATTTTCTAGAATTCTCATTCACTCTCATTTCCAAAAAATCAGAGTCACATGTTAAATTCTGCTTGATTTGATTAAACATTGATCTACTCATTAAATATCTGAATATTCCATTTCCATAAAGGGCTGCATCAAGTCCTGATATTGTCCAATAATTGCAAATGTTTGGAATTTTACATGTAGTATTCATCAATATAGAAATATTTAAAAAGTTAGTAATTTGCTTTCTTGAAAACTTTTCTTCTAATATTTTGTTTTCAGTTTTACATTTTGTGAAATATTCATCAAAATCAGGAAATATCTTTTTTGGAGTTCTAACTGGCTGATCATATTCGATATCTGAACATAATTCAATGGATTCAGATGGATTAGTGTTATTGTTCATTCTCTTTCTCTTTTTGGATTTGTCTTTAATTGCAAGTTTATACATTTTAATCTCATCTGAGTAAATTTGCCAATATTCAAACTTTCTATTGGTTCTCTCATAAATGTGTTCTATAATATCAGGTGTCCAAATCAATTGAAATGATTCCTTTATGGATAAATCTTGTTTCACATTAATTGGACCAACTATTAGTGGACTTTCAATATTTCTTTCTGGTAAGGTTTTGTGTTGAATCCAATTATCAGTTAGTACTTCTTTTCTCAAATTTTTACATTTAATTTGACATGCACATTTAACTGTACAGGGAAGCTTATTCTTCTGACAGACACATGAAGTGCATGAAGTACAATTACTGCAAAATATTGTTCTTTCCATTGGAATTTCCTCTTCTGTTAATTTTCTAGCAACAAATTCCTCCTTCTCCTTCTTTGCATCTGGTGTTAGGTGTTTACAAGGTGGCATACTTTCTTCTTCATTGTCAACTCGTTCATTATCATCGTTATCATCTTCAAAATCATGACAAGAATTAGAAACTCCACTCTCTGATGGTGCTTGAGTATTGCCAGCAAGGTGTGAAAACAAATCATCATTGAGCAATGACTCAATAGTACTATTATCATCGAAGAAGGTATCAGAATGTGAATGATCATTACATTCATCTTGAGTAGTGTGTTGGTGCAGTGAGTACATTTTCTTTGAATTGGTTTTTTAATATTCATTCTAATATTAGTGTTTTTTAAATCACCATTATTTACTTCAATCTATATTAACACAAATAGATTTTCAACTCATCTTCAATTTTTTTACTCTTGTTTACAATCAAATTGAAATTGGAACATCAAAGAATGTCGAGAATGTTGTGTGTTATCTGGAAATAAACAATAAAAAAAAAATGAAAAGAACATCATCAGAGGCTGAATCTAACTCTGGATATGAAGGGCAAAAAATTGCAAAGATCTCTAATGAATCATCATCACCAACTCCATTATTGAATTCCTCTGCAGTGTCATCCGCAGCAGCAGCTAATAATTCAATGATGACAAAATGTTTTCCGATGGAATTAGGAATTTTGGACGAAATTTGTAGTTTTTCCTCTTTGGATACACAATGTTCATTGTATGCAACTTGTACATCAATTAGGAATATTATGGATGGGGATAATTTTTTATATCATTATCAATCAAGAAAGATTGCAATGTTAATGAAAGAAGCATGTAGAGAATTTACTTCAGAGGTAGATACGAGAAACTTCTTTCTTGGAATATGTTATAGATTAAATGCTGAAATTGCAATTTTGGACAAGGAAATTAAGGAAAATATAATGATAGACAAGAATTTAGGAAGCTTATTTTGCTTTAATGTTGTTAAAACAGGAAATTCTTCATTCACTTCCTCAATTAAGAAACTCCTTGTAAGAGATTCGAATCAGTATTTATTGATCAAGATAGATTATGCTACTTTTCGATCTTTTAATCACTTACTTTCAACATTTGTCATTTCATGTAATAATAGAGTTCTTATTCATTATGAAAAAGCCAGTTTGGAAGAAATAGATATTGACAAATGTGGGTTAGATGCTGTATTGAAAACAACTGCCTTCGGTGTTAGGGGAAATATACAAGCATTAATTAAAACTCTGCTTCCAGAGAAGAATATGGATACAATTTATCAATCATTGATTGAAGCATATACAAAAGCACCTGGCTGTAACATACTAGAGAGGGTTGATAAGTTTGGGTGGTGCGAAAATGTTCCAAGCAAGAAAGGAATCCAATTTGCCTCAGATCTAATTGATAAGATGTGTAAAATCCCAAAAAAATCAATTAATTCAATATTGAAGTTTGTGCGATTCTCTGCCAACAATTTATCATCAACAAGGATAGCTAAAACTCTTCAAGCTCCATCACCAGCTTTCAAAAATGTTACTTGGTGTTCTCCTGTGACTGTTGTTCGAATTTTTAATGAGGAGAACTGTTATGAAAAAGTTGAATTTGATATAAGGATCAGAGGAAGTCTCCAAGAAAAGTACAAGTTCTTTTCTTTGAAATATGAATGTGAAAACTATACTGGAGATGATGATTTTGTTGATGTTGGACTCGAATGTTATTTCAATAATCCAAAAGATTCAGTTTACATTTATCAAAACTGTTCTGAAAAGAGTAGATTTGATGAGCCCACCAATAATGTTGAATCAGAATATCTATCAATGATTGGGAAAATATTAGGAAATGGTACAAATGATCCAATTAATATTGTGAAATTTATGGCTTCATATGCTATGACTCACAAACGTAAACTCTTTAATATCCAAGATTATTTCTACTCTTCAAGAAATGATGAGAGTGGAGCAAACAAGAAACCATTCACATTCACAAATGGTATTGAGAAAGTTGAGGAACTTGATGGAGATGATATTTTTGACGATTGTTACTATTAGCATATTATTGTAATGTAAATTGTAAAACTCAAATTTCATACAATAATAACAATAATGGATTTTAGAATTGAACTGAATTTGGGAGTGTAAATTTCAGATCTGAATTAAACTTTTTGATTCAAAAAATGTCTCTAGTTCAAATAATACAACCTGCAGTGAGAATCCTTCTGGATGAAACACCTCGTTGTTTCCTCCTCCGTTCAAAATACATTCAAGAAACCAAGCTCCTTCTAAAGATATTTCCCCTCCGAGAGTACATTAAATTTCTCTTCACTCATGAAAAGGTTTTATCTGAAGTGGAATCACTCACCGAATTGGAGAAGGATTTGTTTCCACTCTGTATGGAAGGGGACGATGTGATGGGATATGGTCAATTACTACAAACATGTCATTAAATTGCTAGTATCCCATAACGCATACGTATTGAAATATGCTCCAAGTCATTGGAAAGATGATAGACAAGTGGTCGAGTTGGCCATTAAACATGCACCATTGGCGTTTCAATTCTGTTCTGAAAGATTGAGAGATGACAGAGAAATTGTATTAATGGCATGTTCAAAAAAGTATTTTAGTGGATTTGAATTTATTTCTGAAAGATTGAAAAATGATGAAACAATTGTCAAACTAGCAATTGAATCGGATGGGTTCAATTATTCCAAAATACCCGAACATTTAAAAACGAGAAAGGATATTGCCCTGTTAGCTCTCAGTGTTTATGGTTATATTTTCGATTATCTTCCAAATGAATTGAAAAGAGACATTGATATTAGAATCGCAGCTTGTTTGTCCAACGGACTGAATGTTGGCATATTTTATCCAGAAATTAAGGATAATAAGGAAATTGTTTTGGAATTGGCACAACATGGAAAGTTGAATTACTTAAAAGCAGGTGTTTACAAATCACTAGATTTGGACATTATTGAGGAGTGTGTGAAGAGTGGAATATCACTTTCTTATCTTCCTAGTGATTTGATATGTGAAAGAAAGGATTTGTTATTGATCGTGTTGGAGAACCATCCTTATGGTCATATCAAAAATACCAAACATGCCCTGGATTATGATATTTTATTGAAAGCAATCTCTGGAAATAGTAATCATCTTAAATATGTTCCAGTTGACCTGCCATTTTTTGATGAACTAGTTCAAGTTGCCATGGAAAAAAACTTATCTTTATCTTGTCTTCCACTAGAATATCCACACTACAAACAGGTAGCTAAAACACTCATAGCCAGAAATGGGTCATCTATTTATTATTTAGAAAAATCATGCTTCAATGATAGAGAAATTTTGCTGAGTTGTCTACGGGTTTCAGATTCATCAGATCATGATTTTATTCTAAGCCAAGTTACAGATCATCAACTGTGGGATGATGAAGAAGTAATAAGAGCTCACTTATCATCGCACCCAAGACATGTCTTTGATGAAATAGAAAGAAGAATATCCAGTAATAGATCATTAATACTTAAAATGGTACCAGAATTTGAAGTTTCTATTTATGAACTCTCTGAGGATTTGTGGAATGATAAAGAAGTTGTCATGCAAGTTTTTAATGCTATAGAATATAAGAAATTGCCTAAACATATCAGAAACGACAAGGAAGTATTGTTGGCATACATAAAATACAAACCAAATGAAGGAACAAAGTTTCTGAACCCTGAATTAGTCAAGGACTTGGATTTCCTAAAAAAGGTTCTTAAATATTCACCAAATGCCTACAAGTTTTTAACTCCAGAGTTGAAATTGGATAGAAATTTAATTTTTGAAATTGTGGAGAATAATCCATGCCTATTCAAGTTCCTTGATTCATCCTTTAGAAATGATAGAGAGCTAATTATGATGATTGTTAAAAAATATGGAACCGATCACCTGGATGTCATTCCAGAAAGTCTAAGAGCCGACAAGGAATTGATTTGGTCATCTGTTGAAAAGAGTGCCGACTTTTTCAACAAATATCCAAGTACAATTACTGACAGAGAGTTGCTACTTCATGCTGTGAAACATTATCCATACACATTACAATATGCAGACCCTCCACTGTGTGATGATTTTGAAGTAATCATGACGGCATGTAAGAATAGTGGAATGGCACTCAAATTTGCCTCTCCAAGATTGAAAAGTAATCCTGACATTGTCAAGGCTGCCATACTCTCCTATGAGTATGCATTTTCTGATGCATCTCCATTCCTTAAGGAAGATTTCATGTTCTGCATTAGTGCATTGTTGTGTAATCATTCATCAATACACTTTGTTAACGATGAAAGAATTACTCACAGCTTTCTCTTCAAAATATTATTCAAGGTTGAAATTGATTCATCCCTTGTGAAAAGATATTGCATTTAATCATGAAGAATTAAATTTGAGCAGATATCAGGATAGACAGATTCTGGTTGATCGCCATAAGGATTATTTCCATCTTGTCATTCGGATTAGCCTTGAATGATTTGAAAGAGCTGAGCAATAATTATCACAGAAAGCAATGATAAATCTTTATAAAATCCACATGATGAATAAGTTTATGGCTTGCAGTGCAATGCTAAATAATACTAAAAAAAATATTAAGATCGAAAACATAGTTCTGAAAAAACCTTAATACAAAATGACTAGAGAAAGAGTACAAGGCAGAATTGAAGTTTTCTTCATTAATTTAGAAAGTTCACTCTTCTCAAACTTATTCTTTGAAATATCGAGAAATTCCAATAATGGCAAAGAAATATTTTCATCAGATTTCTCAATTAATTTAACAATCATACATTTTCTAGCTGAAATATGTTTTAAATTTTGTAAATTTCCATTCACAAACAATAATTCACTCAAATCACTTATTAAAATATTAATATCCAAATATAGATATTCCAAATAGGAAAAATTATTACATTGTGAAATGTAGGTCAATCCTTCATTTCCTATCATGTTATTTGCCAAATCCAACAATTCAATTCTATCCAACACTCCATCACATAAATATTTTACACCTCTTGATGTAATATTCGAAAATGGAAGAAACAAATGAGTGAGATTGTAAAGACTAGACGAAATTAACATGACACCTTCATCTCCAATTTGATTAAATCCCAAATATAGCTTCTTTACATTCAATATAGAATCACTCATTGATAAATCAACAATACATTTGATTGGAAGTTTACAAAGCGATAGATCTAAATGAATTAAATTGGAATTTGGTAAATTTTGAAGATGCGAAGCACCTTCCATAATTGGATTATCACTCAAATCTAAAACTTTCAATTTTGTGAAGGATTTGGAAATAATTTCCATGGATTCTTGGTTGAGATCATTATTACATAATTTCAATTCTTCCAATTGTTTAAATTTAGAAATTTCCTTAACGCATGAATATCCTAAACTATTAGAAGTTAGATTAATTGATTTAATATTTGTTAAATATTGACTATTTGATAATAATATAGCACTATCACCACTCAATACATTTCTACTCAAATCCAAATATTCTAAATTTTGCATATTTGAACTATTACTCAAATAGCCGATTCCAATATCAGTAAATGAATTTCTCCTCAAATCTAAATGATTTAATTGCCTCAAATATTCACAAGATGATATGTGGAGTAGTCCAACATTTCCAATATCATTTGCAAATAAATTCAATTTCCTTATTTTTGATAAATATTTACATTTTGTTAGAATTTTAACCATTTCATCATCTATATGATTATGCTCCATAATTAAACATGTTAAATTACTAAATATTAAACTATTACTCAATATTTCAATGCTTTCAACGGTAGATTGAGAAATAGACAAGTCTAAACTTGTTAAATTGTACAAATTTTCATTTTTTGCAAGAGCAGAAAATGCTTCCACTGTTATAATCTCTGTTAATCTCAATTGTTTTAATTTAAATTTACAAAATAATGTACAATCTAAATTCATTTCACATCCATCAATCATTAATTGTGTCAAGTGTTCCATTTCAATTTCTGAAATTTTCTCCAAAACATCTCTCGGTAAAAGTCTTGGTAAACTCAAACTCGTTAATGAACATTTCAATACATTAATGTGTTCATATAATAAATGAATATTTTCCTTTTTAATATACATGTTCATTAAATTTAATTCCACAATTTTAAAAGAATTATTTTCATTCATCTGATGATCATCAATTAGATGATGAGTAGTAATAAATTTCATCATCATGATTTGATGAAAAGTATTAAATTGATTAAATTTTAAATGGATCGGAATGAGTGAGGAAACATATTTCCATTGTTTAGAAACTCTACTGGTTGTAAATAATAAATTCCACGGAGTCATGTAATGGAAAATGACAAATAGAGTATCATTATCAAAAAACATTTTTCCAACACTGTTCCCAAGAAAGTTTAATTTTTTTAATCTTTTTTAATCTTTAAATAATTAAATAAATTGTTTTTCACTAAACCCCAATAGAGGCCATAGTTTCAGTTTTATTCTTATTGTTGGAGTTTTACTATTGTTCATGTAAATTGTAATTTCGCTTTTAATAGAGAAAAAGAAAAAACCAATGAATTGATTTTTCTGTAGCCATGCCATGCGTGAAGTTAGTGAAGTGGACAAATTATGTGTTTAGTGAATCATCACATTGATTGGACTTCTTGTAAAAATTCGAACTGTTTCAAACCCAGTACAATAAATTGGCGCCATTATTTGAAAATCAAAACATAAAAAAAATCAACACATAGGTTGCTGGCACTCTCACAAACAGATGGAAGTCAAACGTATGAATTTTACAAAACTCGTCCGAACAACACTATTAAAAGTAGCCAACAAGGACTCTGCTAAACACCAAGAAGGCTACATGAAGAATGTTATTAAATTTCATGGATTGAAGGCTCCGATTGTTGAAAAATGTTGGAAAGATACTCTGAAAAGTAATTTACAAACAAATATACCAGAATTGAAGGATCAGGTGGATGTTAGTTATGAATTAATAGCAAGTAAATATTTTGAAGAGAAATCTATTGGAATCAAGGTTGGTTTTTATTTGATAACTGAGTATTTAATTTGGAATATATAATAATGAATTAGATATTGGCATCAAATGTTAAAAACTTTGTACCAAAAAAGAAGAAGAAATCAACTGAAGATGATGAAATTGGAGTCAATGGATTATATGTTGTGAATGGAATTGAGGAGAATTTATTTGATAAGGAACATGTTTATGATTGGGCAACTTGTGATACTATTAGCTCAACTGTAATTTGTGAGCTCATTAAAAGAGATTCAAGTTTGGCACAAGTTGTTCAAAAGTGGAAAGATTCCGATAATTTGTGGAAACAACGAAGTGCTTGTGTTAGTTTTGTAAAGATTGCCAAGCATGGAGAATATAACGACTTGATTATTGATATTTGTAGTACAACAGTGAAGAATAGTGAAAGATTTGCACAACTTGGAACTGGATGGGTGCTGAGAGAATTGAGTTTAGCTGATTTGGATTTGGTAACTGATTTTATTAAGGAAAATTATTCACATTTCAGTAGAGAAGGTCTTAGATATGCTGTCGAGAAAATGTCAAAAGATGACAAGGAAGAACTCATGTCCTATGAACCTTAAATCAAATATTGTAAATATTTTAAATGATATCCATTCCATCTACAACTGTAAGAATCACTACGCACATTTCCTTCAATTGTTCAAATCCCTTAATTTATTTAACCTCAGAAAGGTTTATTTCTAAATTTGTAATATCAGAAATATAAACTCCACGAGTTATTTTTGATAGAAATAATATCATAGAAAAACAATTCATGAGTCAGTCAACAGAAATTATAGACCACGAAGGAATTCAAGTTGAATGGCCTTTAAATAGGAAACCATTCTTTAACTTATTGGAACTTGTAGAACATTATGGTTTGAACAATTCTCAATCAACTTTCCTCACAAGAGTGATCACAGATGGTGAATTACCATTAGATTACAAATTGGAAATATCAACCTTAACATTTGGTCAATTTTCCAAATCAGTTGCAATGGCCAGAAGATTAATCATGAAGCAATGGCCAAGTTTAAAGAAAGGTTCTTGCGTTGCTTTGTTACATGAAAACTCAATAGTCTACTCTGTATTACTGTTTGCATTATGGACTTTGGGTTGTATTAATTTTCCAGTCAATAACAAATTGACTCCTGGAATTATTTCAAAACTACTCGAATTGGGAAATGTGAAATATGTTAGTTTATCTCCCCAGATTCTAGATTCAATGATTAAAGCAAGTGATAAGGAGAGTATGGATACATTCTTTAAAACAGCCGATAAATACATGATCACATCAGACATTTCACAACAATTGAAAGATTATGAGAAACATGAATATTCTTCCTATCTGAAACCATTCGACATTATTTCAGCTATCAAAGATCAATTAGATACTACAATCAGTGATGAAGATTTGAAACAAGCACTGAAATTACCATTCAAATTTGAAGATCCATGCTTTTATTTGAACACTTCAGGTAGTACTAATATTCCTAAAATAGTAATTCACAATATGAGATCACTAATGTCAAGTCTTCACTATTCACAATCCATTGGAACGACAAGTCAACAATATGTTATCAACTTTCTACCATTATTTCACTTAATGGGATTATATAACTTGTTGGGTTGTCTCTACAAGGGTACTAATTATATAATGTTTAATCAGACAACTAGACAAAGTATTTCTCAAACACTCAGTCAGGTATTGTTGAGCCATAAGGAACATTTACCATCCACTAGAGCCATTGTATTTCCAATTTTATTGGAAGAAATAATGGAATCAGAGGAAAAGACTAAACTATTATCTGAATGTCTGGTTGTGGCTCTTGGTGGAGTTTCTACTCCAAATCATCTCATCAATTATTGCCAAGATCATAGAATTAACATAACAAATGGATATGGAATGAGTGAGGTAGGTGTTGTAATGGCAGCTGATCCGTTCACTGGCGCATTCAAATCAATGAAATGTGTCATTCCAGAAAAGTACATTGTTTGGCAACCTTATGAAATGGAAAAGTGTTATTTATTGAATCTAAAGAAGGGTTGCCCAACATGTGCATTGGATTACATGTCCATTAATAATACAAAGTTTTGGGTAGATGGTATATTCTGTACTCATGATTTATTTTTTGAGTATCCTAAAGATCACTATTTCTATAATACCCGATCTGATAATATTCTTTGTCATACTAATGGTGAAATGACTAATCCAGTACCAATTGAGAATGAAATTGATTCATTTGATGGATCCGTTGTTAGAAGTGCTGTCATTGGTCATAATAGACCTTTCTGTGTGGCATTGATTGAAATTGATCCTAAAAAGAAACCTAATAATATTAAGGAAAAGATTAGTGAGCAAATTATTGAAATGAATAATAGACTTCCATTCCATTCTAGAATTGTGGATTTTATATTGCTAACCAATGATAGTATTCCAACCAGTAGTTTGAAAGGACTTGTTTCTAGATCTAAAACTGAACAAGTATTCAAGAATATTATTGATTCACTTTACAATGTTTCATCCTCTGCTAATGAGAATGAAAATATTATGGTAAAGAAACCTCAATCAAGTAAGAAAGCTTCTAAAATTGCAGAACCTTCACAATTTCTCGAATTTATGAATAAGCAAATATTTATAAACGAGGAAAATGCAATTGAACTGAATACATCACTTACTAATATTGGATTAGATTCAATTTCATTGATCAAATTAAGAAATTATATCAAGAATGAATTCAATGTTCAACTGAGTGTTGATGAAGTATACAAGATGAACACTCCAAAGAAACTCATTGAGGCAATCAATCAATCTGAATTATTAACACCTGTTGTCAATGAAGAAATAATGAAATATTTGGAAAAATCAAAGGAATCCCTTCCACAAAGTATTTCTTCCAGTCAACCACTCATTCATGAACAAGTTCTCTTAACTGGATCTACTGGATTTCTGGGTGCCTTCCTATTAAGAGATTTATTAGAATTACAAGAATTGAAAATGGTCTATTGTATTTGTAGAGGTAATAGTATTGATCATGCAACTAAGAGATTAATAGATAACATGAAAAAGTATTCACTTTGGAAGAATGAATATATTAGCAGAGTTCAAGTACTTGTTGGAGATGTTGGCTTGGATTTATTTGGAATGGACAGAGCAACCTATGATGAATTGGCTCGGAATGTTGATGTTGTCTATCATGGTGGTTCTGTTGTGAATTTTATTCAACCATTTTCATCTTTGAAAGAATCGAATGTTGATGGAACAAGACGAATGATTGAGTTTTCATTTCAGAGTAGGGTCAAGCCATTGCTATATGTTAGTTCAATATCTGCTGCACCTTTGGATAAGGATTCAGGTCAACCAATAGAGAGGATTTCAACACTATCAGAAATGAATCTCACATTCGGATATCCTCAAACGAAATTTGCATCCGAGTGTTTGTTGAAACAAGCCAAAGACATTTTGGGATTACCAATATTGATTGTGAGACCTGGTTTAATTATTGGAAATGAAACAGGTGAAATGCCAAAAGGTTTTCTATTGGAAAGAATGTTAAAATCAATTAAGAGAACTAACAGTACTCCAAATTTAGAAATTGTTAGAAACTTGGTGAATGTTGACTTTGTAAGCAAAATCATTGTCAATTCCACTCGATTCAAATTATTTGATTTGGAAATTATTCACATTTGCAATACTAATCCACCAACTCACGAAGAGTTACTAAATCACTTAAAGACAAATTATCCTAATCTCTATGGTAAAGTAGAAGAAACATCATTTGACAATTTCCTTTCTAATGTTACTGAGAATGATAAGAGTGATGATGGAATGTATCCTCTTTCTCAATGGGCAAAAGAAACACTCCAAAGCGGAAAGAAAGATTCAAGCAAATATTCTGAATCTGTTATTCATTTGAAACAAGCAACAAATCGATTGAAGGAATTGAATTCAAATCTTCTAGTAGAAGAAATGAGTAGTTTCTCAATGATTGATTATTTGATTAAATGTTTAGGCGGTCAAGTTGAAGCTCAATAAATTATTGAAATCTAATAACTTTATATCCATTATGAAATCTTGAATGTAATATCACCTAGTAAGTACAAATTAGAGTAAACTCACATCACATTATTATTGAAGAAGAGATTTCAATTTAAACCTAAAATCAAATATGCAAAGTGGTTTTCTATATGAAAGTTAAACATTCTTGGATTAAACAATTTAGGATTCTTCCTAAAAGGAAAATATACATTTTAGCATGAATAGGATCAGACATTAAGTATTACAGAATTCTGATTGAACATTATTACCATTAAAACAAAATGAAAATCAAACAATTCTCAAACCTTTTCCTCCGAAAGGTTCCTCTCAATCAAGCTTCCTTCAAAAGTTTCTCCACTAATCTTGGTATCATAAGAGGTGATTTGAACAAACCTAAAGAAGCCCTCCCACAAGAGAATAGAGATTCCGTCGAGAAATCCAATGCTAAGGGTAAAAGTGCAAACACCAATTCTTCTTCTTCTTCTAGTACCACCAATACAAGTGGAAAAGGAGCCACAGAGAATAGTCAGAGAGCATCAACAACAATGGGTTACTCAGTTTCCGAACAAGAATCGAACAGTGGAGCTTTCCCTGATGCATTAAAGGAAGAATATAACAAAATGATGAAAATTAATAAGGAGGAGGAACAGAGGGCTGCTTCTCTTGCCTCTTCACAAAAAGATGATTTGCATACTAAGCATTCCGAGCATAGAACCATCAATGATGTAAGGAATGAACAACAAGCTGAACACAATAAACAAACACCCTAGTTAGTACTCTCACTTGATATTACAAGATTTTAAATCTCGTTCAATTTGTTCCAACAGATGATCGTCATTAACTACTTCTCCTAAATTTTACTAGAGAATAGTATGACGAAAATTTTGCTTACATCACACACAATTTGATCTTTTTTTTGGATTAATTAAAAAATGCGAAAACGTGACTTTGCAATGTTCGCATTGGTTTGCCTTCTCTTGGTGGTTGCTTTGAACCAAGAGGGAAGTGTAACCATTGAAAAGGCTTTCTTTTTCTCACAAACAACAAATCAACAACCACTTTTATTAAAAACAGGACAAGTGGATTTAGTGTAAGTTTTTTTTAAAGCCTTCCGAAATATAATCGTCGTCATCAAATTTGATACTTGTTTGATCGTTTTAGTCCAAAGCCTATTATCACTGATATTGATGGAGATGGATCAAAGGATTTAATAACGAGTAATGATAATGGTAGAATTTCTATAGTTTCCTTAAAAACTATTTCATCCTCTCTTTTGGTTCATCAAGACATGTTTAATCCAATCACTGAAGAAGTATGTTTTTTAGGAATGATGATGATCAATTTTATTTAATATTAATATTATTTATTTTTACAAATAATAGAAATCATTTGATGTTAATGAAAAGGACAAAAACAAAGGAACTGTTCATCATTCGATTATTGGTCTCGGACATGGTCATATTAAAGTAAAGAAAAAGAAAGGACAAAGAGGAACAAAGAGAATTGCTGCTGTTCTTTCAAATTGGAAAGTTTTATGTCTTGATCCTGATTTGAATTTACAATGGGAATCTGATCTTTTGCAACATGTTGTTTCTGAAATGAAGCTTACTGATGTGGAAATGGAAGATTTGAGAAATGATTTCAAACCATTTGAAGTTTTTGTTGCTGTTTATCCTTGGAGAGTTCATGAAAATGATGAAGGAATGGTTATTATTGGTTTCCGTAAACCTCAAGAAATGTTTGATAATGATAGCACCAAGAGAACTGAAGAAACAGCTACTCAAATCACATATTTCTGTCTTGATGGAGCTACAGGTCAACTTCGTTGGAAGCATCAATCTAATGCTAAGAGTTGGGATGATAATGAATTTTATGAACAACATTCTTTCAAATTGAATGCTCAACAACATTTAAGTGACTCTGGTGAAGTTATATGGAGAGAATATAAGAAGAAGATTATGCATCATTTACCTCATGTTTATCGTCACCCATATGATACCTCTGTTATTTTGGACAATTTCCAACCAACAAAGAAAGCTAAGGTTTCAAAGATTCAAGAAAGAGCTGAAAAACAAGATTATGGTGATATTGGAGAAAAGGTTAAGAGTACCATTCAAACTGTTACAACTAAGACTAAGGATACCAATGAAAAATTGAAGAAGAATATTGAATTGATGAAGAAGTTTGAAAAGATTCCAAACGTTATGGTTGCCCATCTTTCAAAGGGTATTCAAGTTATTCACTTGTATACCGGTAGAACTTTAACTCAATTTTCACCATTGAAGGAAAACACCTACTATCAAGATATTAACTTTGATGGTATGATTGATGCTGCTGAAGCTCAAGTTTGTAAGGCCAGAGTTGAAAGTGGAGCTCCAAATCCATATGATACTCTTTTCAGAAAGTCTGTCTGTAAACTTCATCCATCTTCTTTCATTGAACAATTCTCCATTCCATTCTTAATGTCAAATGAACAACAAGAGAGACAAAGCTTTGATGATGATGAAGAATACGAGGATGAGCAAATGGATGTAGTCACACCAGCTATTATTGAACATTATTCTGCTGAACAAAAGCCACAACACAGAGCTAGAGATTTAGTTTATTTGACATCAACTGGTTTGGTTACTGCAATTACTTTTGATAGAAAGAATAGCGTTAATGGTGAACCAAAATTCAGAGTTAAATGGCAAGTCATGACACCATCCTCTTTCAGAAGAGAAAGAGTTTTGGTTGAATCTGGTGCTGAAACTGAATCATTTTTCCCTGAAATTGTTGCTTTCCCACTCAGAAAGTTTGAAACTCACTCATTCGTTGTTGCTGTTGGTGAAAAGAGAATTACTATTGTTGATTTGTTTGGTAACGTTCAACAAATTATTGAACTCCCTCATCCTTCTATTTCTCCAATTCAACTTGTTGACATTAATGGTGATAATATTTTGGATATTGTTGTTTCCACCAAGCAAGGCATTTATGCTTATATTACTAGAGTTCACACCGGCATGTCAGTTTTGACCTTCCTTATTGTCTCACTTTTCGTTATTGTTGGATTATTGTACCTTTCAACATACATTCAATTGAACGATCCATTCTATCACAGAAAGATTGATCGTTTCCAAAAATAAAAAAAATGAAATCATTGAAAATCAATAGGAAGTGGAATAACAATAATTTAGCATCAAACAATACAACAAATTGTCAAATAACAATTCTTAAATGTTTAGAAGTAAATTTGTATGAAATTTCACTACAACAAGAAACAAATCATTCCGAATTATATATTTTAAAACTTCCAAGAGATTTAGAAAGAGAATATCAATGTTTTCAATTTATTTATCAAAAAGAGCTTGCAAATCTCATTCCTCCTTATTTCCGAGTAGAATTTTCTAGCTCTGCATCAACATGGAGTGAAATAATTACAAAAAAGTTCAATTTCACCCTTAATACTAGTTCCATATTCGAAAAGTTTGATTATCAAACTCGAATGAATCTCTCCCTCTACTTGCTGAGTGCAATTACTCGACTTCACTTGGATATTATAAATGACATCAAACCAGATATGAAATCTAAAAATTTACCACTCCTTAGAACAACCTGACATTATCGATGTTCCTTACATTGAGAGCTATGTAAGGAAATTGCGAGTTTTCTAATAATAATTGAAATATTAGCTCGGTTAAGTTATATTTAATCGATTTTAGCAATATCCATGTATGTGGTTGAATTCAGATCACCAATAAATTGCTTAACTACTGAATAATATCATTATTTAACGTTACGCATCTCAAATAAAAAGAGGAAAGTGAAATATTAATTATTGAAATTCAATTTCAAAATATAAGGATAATAGATAATGATTCAAATTATTTTTCTATTACAATATTTTTACCTCAATGAACCAAATATGGAACTTTCTAATAAAAATTATAATCAGAGAAACACTTTATTCAATGCATTATTATTAATACCTCACCACCATTAACACATAAGACTGTGAGTCAGCATAAGATCAAAAATGTCTGTCACCCATCTAGTCATTTTTAAAAAAAATGTTTACACCTTCAACACCTGCCACACATCAATCATCAACAATTACACCCCCGGATCAAAATGATTCATCAATAGAATATATTCCTTCCTATGGACATACAATGAGAGGAAGAGGTCATTCATCTGCCAGCAATCATTCCAACGATGACATTGAAAGTAACAGTTTACATCAATCAACAACTCCTAGACAAAAACAAACACAAGATGTTGATGATTTAAAAAACAAGTATCAATTCAGAAAGAAGCAATCTTCTCTATTTTCAACTTGTTTTGGAAGTATGAGAAGAACTTTGATAACTTTGTTGATTTTAATTTTCTTATTGGCAAGTTTATATTTTCTAGTGGTGGTGATGATGCAACAGAAGAGAAGAGCCACCACCCTCGTAAATCCAACAACACCAAATTCTGATTTGAATCATCATGAAAAGAATTCAGGTGCTGCAAATGTTCATAATGTTGTAAAGAGTGAAAATGTTAAAAAACATGAAATTCTTGAAAAAGAAAAGAAAAATGGAATTTTGCAAGTAAAGAAAAAGAAATCAAAGAAAGAGGATGAAGAATTAATTGATGAAAAGAGTTTAGATGAATTGTTGAGAGAAGATAAAAAACCTAAAAAAAAGGAAAAGAAGGAAATTAAAAAGAAAATTCAACCAAAAAAGAAAATTCCCCAAATTGTGAGAAAAAAGCAAATTGTTTATCAAGGACAAGAAAAGAAGGCAAAACATGATGAAGTCATTGAAAAGTATTTGAAACTCATCGATGAAAAGAAACCAAAAAAGAAGAAACCAACAACACTTGATGAAGATTTGAAAAATCATCCACTTTTACAATTAGATCCAGAACCATTTACACCAAAGAAAGATCAACCAAAGAATCAAAAATTGGAAAAGAAGAAGGAAAAGTCAGTTGAAATTCCAAAAGAGGAAAAGAAACTTTCTGAACCAGAAGTTGTGGTTGAGAAGAAGGTTGATAACAAACCAAATACTCCTGCCCCTGAAGAAAAGGAGAAAATAGTTCAAGAACCATTGAAAGAACAACCAAAGGAAACTGAAAAGAAAGTTCAAGAACAACCAAAGGAAAATGAAATGAAACCAAATGTTGAGGAAAAGAAAGTTGAAAATCCAAAACCTGAAGATGATTTGGTGAAAGATGTAAAACCTGAATCAATTGAAGAGGAAGAATCTGAGAAGCCAACAAAACAAGCTGAAACTCCAAAGAAACCATTGGAAAAGACAAAAGAAGAAACAAAGATTTCTTCTGAAAAACCAATTGTTAAAGCTCCAAAGAAGAAATCAATTGAAAAGAAGAAAAAGGAAAAGAAACTTCCAAAGAAAAAGAAGCAAATTAAAAAGAAACCAGTCAAAAAAGCAAAGGAACCAAAGAAGGAATTAGATGATGCTACTCTCCTTGCCACTCATCCACTTTTCCAAGATGATCCACATCCTTATGAACTGCCAAAAGAGGAACCAAAGAAGGAACAACCAAAGGAAGCTGAAAAGAAACCAGAACCTAAGAAAGACAATAAGAAAGTTTCGAATAAGCATCCTATTAAGGCAAACAAGAAACCTAAGAAGGCAATCATTAAGAAAAAGAAGGCCATCAAGAAGAGACCAGCCAAGAAGATTGCTAAAAAGCCAAAGATCGCCAAACCAAAAAAGGCAGCAGCAGGTAAGAAGGACGCTGCTGAACAAGATTTCAGCAAACACCCACTCTTCCAAGAAGAACCTCATACATTCGTACCAGTTAAAGAAGATACAAAGACTGCTCCTGCAACACCTGAAAAGAAAGGTCCAGCACCTCAAATTCCATCAGATCTCACCGATGCAAATATTAAGGAATATCTTTCAGCTTATAGAGCTCATCATGGTTCTTTGGAAGGTATTGAAAATGGAATGGATAAGAAACAAGCAAAGAAAATTATTAGTTTTATTGAAAAGGAATATTCGAAATAAAATTATTTAATAATATAATTATATTTTAATTTTACAAAATAATTGTACAATCTAACCAACGAGAATTAACATTCTTGACCAAAATCGTTGGTGAATTTGTCGTAAGCATGCAAGTCATCCTTAGAAACAGATGGTCTTGCTGTACGAAGGGCCTTAATAAAATCTCTCTTTGATACATCTGGAGGTAATAATTTGTCTGAAGGAACATCAATTAAACTCATTTCAATAGCAGATGAATCACCAGGAGAACATGGTGTCAACATGTCATCACAAGTTTGACCTGTTAAATGGCATGTTCCAGACACAACTTTGAAATGTGTTGCAATTTGACAAGTACGAACAGGTTCCATAAGTGCATTTCTTACAAGTACAGAAATATCTGAACCAGAATATCCGTCAGTTAAATTGGCTAATTCATCAAAATCTTCTTTTTTCAGAGTATTTGGTGTTTTGCCAATGTGAATCTTGAGCATTGCAACTCTAGCTGGAAGATCTGGCAATGGAATATAAATACGTCTTTCAAATCTTCTTCTAATGGCAGGATCAAGTCCCCATGGAATATTTGTAGCTGCCAAAACCAAAACTCCACTGTCATCCTTACCCACACCTTGCATTTGAACAAGGAATTCAGTTTTAATTCTACGAGTACTATCATTATCTCCTTCTCCTCTAGAACTACACATACTATCAATTTCATCAACGAAAATTATACTTGGTTTGTTTTGTCTGGCCATGTCAAATAATGAACGAACTAATTTTTCTGATTCACCTTGCCATTTACTGACAAGATCAGAAGCTGAAACAGAAAAGAATGTTGAATTAGCTTCTGTTGCAACTGCTTTAGCTAAATAACTTTTACCCTGTTGTTAATGATTTGAAGAATTATAAAAAAGATGTATCAAATAACTACTATTATGATGACTACTTACAGTACCAGGTGGTCCATAAAGTAAAATACCTTTCCATGGAGTTCTCTTTCCTGTAAAAAGTTGTGGGAATTTAAGTGGTAAAATAACTGCTTCCTTGAGAGCTTCTTTAGCTCCTTCAAGACCTGCAACATCTTCCCATTTTACATTTGGTTTTTCTTTTACAATAGCTCCTTCCAATTGTCCCATCAATTGTTGTTTTTCATCCTCTTCTTTTTTTTCCTTCTTTGATCTATTTCATCATCATGATCATGAATATATTACAAAAACAATACTTACTTTGCTTTAGATACTGATCCACCAGCAGGTGATCCACCATTCGAAGTATCAGCGTCACCCTTCTCTATTTCTGATTTTTCTTTCAAGAATGTTTTAATTTGTTCAGCTCTACCCATCAATTCCTCAACTTTTTGTTTCAACATGTCCTTCTTTTTTGGATTTTTAGTCTCATCTATTAATTGATCATCATATGATTTAATATAAATCTTGAATACAAAAAAAACGTACGTTTAATAGCAGTCATGAAAAAGTCTATCGATTTTAAATAAAGACGTTGTGCTTCATCATAACTTTTAGCTTCATCCTTCTCAGCTGCTTGTCTAGCATGTTCAATAGCTGGGGTAACAAAACTATCCGATAGTTATATAATGATAAAATTAACATCTCCCGATGCCGATGATTTTGACTACTTACTCTACATAGGACATTTTTTTACAGTTTGATATTAAAATTTTTAGTGTTCTATTTTCAGCTTCTATTTGTTTTCGAAAAATCAAGTGGTGAAGCAGAAAACGACACGGAGCTTCTAATATGAAATTCCTTTTCTTTGGCTGTTGAATTGAGGAGATGATGAAAACAATCATCATTGAACAAGACACTGAACATGAGTGAATTATTCTCTGAATTGGAGAGGATTAAACGTATCTATTGACTACGAGTACATATTTCACAAGTGTCTTGTTCTTGTAAGAAGAAATATACTAGTAACGATAATTATTGAAGAAATGCAAAATAAATGAAATTCAAAGAAGATAATATGGTTGTTGTAATAATTTATTGAGTTGTACCTATGGATTCAAATTTCTTTTGTCTCTTCATTCTTTCAATGAGTTCCCTGTCCTTTTCGAATTGTTCTCTCAAATCCTCAAAGGCCTTCTTCTTCTTTTCAACCTTTTGGAACTTGTAGAATGGTAAATCCAATTGATGCTTAATCTTTACATTATTCTTTTTGACTTTCTTCTTTTGTTTCAATTCAGATGCATGAATTGGACCTTGATTACCTCTGTGGAAAACTTTAGTCCAACCTTTTTCATCTACCTTACCTCTCAAAGTATTGATAACTCTCATTCTTTCCTTTTCCTTGATATCAAATTCCTTCAAATATTGATTAAGTTCTGCTTTAATATCTTGTCTTTCATTCTTACCGGATGGGAATTGAATTTGTTGATAATCATTTAAATACTTTTCAATACCAAAATTAGATGGTTCAACTTGATGTGAAGTTTTGATAGTTGGTTTATCTAAAGCAGATTTCACAGCTGATGCCTTGTTTAACATCAAGTGATAAGTTCCACTTTTAAGTTGTGGTGAATCTTTGTACATTGAAAATGGGGATTGATATTCCAACCATGCTTTGTTATCTTGTTGATTGGCCAATGTTGGTTCCAAATGACTCATCACTACATGTCCAATTTCTGTATCAAAGGTTTTAGAAAAGAGTTCGGAAATTGAATTTTCTGTTAAAAAAGGTGATGGATTTGTACAGAATAAAACATGTCCTCTTGTTCTATCAATTTTATCCCCTGATGATGAAGAAGGTAATTGACCATTATGAAGCCTATAAAACATATATTGTGGATTTGAAGATCCTTTTAATTTATATTCCATAGAAATTATTTTGTTAGCATATTGTTTAGGATTGATCGTCACCATTTCATCATCACTACTATCAGAGTCATCATCCGATGATGAATGATTGTCCACTTCAATTTTCTTTGGTTTTTCTTGTTGTTGTTTGGCTTTTTGTTTTGGTGCCATTTTTTTGTGTTTCAAATTTTATTTGAATTTTTAATTTGTGTTTATAATTTTATTGTTGAAGACATTGAAAAGAAGCCAATCAAGCACAGTACTACTCAGAGAATACCATTCATCGAGTGCTTTTGTTATTTTATTTCCACGTTGAGAAATTGAGTATTTGGGTACTAATTTGATTTAACTGCACTGATAAAGTGCATTTCTTAATCATGTTTGAGTTTGATTTTGGAAACAAGGATATGACCATAATGAAGAAGTAGAGATGAGATTTTGGTTAATTGTGGAGTGCACCAAACAAGGTGAGAAGATTTTTCTTCGTTTTTTTCATGTACATCCAATACGAAATGGAATCGTTTTAATTTTCTTTTATTAACAGTTAGATAACGCTGCAATGACATGGATAAGTCCCTCTATCATTCCAAAATCATGGAACTGTTAGTAATCTTTCTTCTCTGAATAGTTTGATAGCCCTTTACAGGACAAACCATTTCGCTGAATGGTGTTATCTTTAATCTAGATTTGATAAATTGGAGCTATAACCTGGGTCACTTTCTCCGAATTTTTTGTCCTGTTGATGATTATAACATCATTTTATTAAGACAATTGAAGAAATGAGCACATTCGAAGCAGTTTTTAAGGGACTTTTTTAGTGGTAAAGATTGCTTTATGAGTTTATATTCCTCCAAGATGTTATTTCTGTTGTAATATTTCAGAGCAAAGCAATTCACTCAGTGTTTGTTTCGCTGCTGTAGTAATTAGTATTTTGCAGCAGCATAGAGCTTCCCTATCACCACATATTAAAAAAAACCCTCACTACCAGAGAACATTAATTCGTTTGATGGAGTTGGCGCTAAAGTTGTTTTGAATTTTTATCTTTATGAAGCATTTTACTCTTGCCAAGTTTGTTGCCAGAGGACAGCCCAAAAAAAAATAGAAAATGCCTTCTACCAATAATAACGAACCGTTATCACCATCGATAGTGGTGGAAGGAACTATTACTACAACTCCTCCTTCTACGACGACGACGACAAATTTACTTGGTAGGAATGTTGAACACAAAGTTAATATACCAACAACAACAACAACACCTCTTTCTAATACACAACAACAACAAAACTTATCCGAGCCTTCTACAGTTATAAATGATGTGGGGAATAACCAAACAACAATAGCTATTCAGCCTTCTCTCGAACCAAATAATCAACAGGAAGAGAGAGACCGTGATTATGATGATGATGAGGAAGAGGAACCAGATACAAAACCAAGATCCCGTTTCCGTAGATTTATTTCGCATCTGTTTAGTAAATCATCATCATTTCTGATGGGATATAGGTTTGTAAACTTCCCTGGTTTGCGAGCACATAATAGCATTAAGGACCCATACGAGAGATTATCAATAGCTTACTATTCAGTGTATTTTGTTTTCCATCTCTTCTTCAGCATATCAAGTATGTACGAAATTTTATTATTGAATATTCATTCATTTACCCTATTCATAAATTATTCATAAATGATCATCAATGTTTCTATTAAATTATAGTGATCATACAACAACTAATCAGATTTAAAACACTTTCACTGCTGTACATTCTAGATGCTACATTTTCATTAGTTGGATTCATCCTTTTTCGTTCACCCTTCCCACATGCCTACCTCTACGTTTTCCTTTTCTACCTTCTCACCGTTCCTTTCATACTAATTAATCTTGCTTCATCTTCCATTGATACTAACTCCATCCTTTCACTTCTAATTTTTGAACAAAATCAAACAACTCTTTACAATCATCTAATTCTCGCTTCTAACATGAGACTCGTAATTTTCCCAACAATTTTTGCAGCTATTGGACTTTCGAGCATCAAAACTGCCATTGTTGCTCTTATTGGATATATTCTAGCCTTCATACAATTTGGATGGTTAGAATCATTAATGCCAGGATTGTCTTTAAATTATGGAGATTACTTTTGTGATATATTATTTATATCGATACCCTTTGTAGTTGCAATTCTCATTCTTAATAATATGCATCAGGCATTTAGGTCTCAAATCAGAGAAGTTGAAACAAGATTATCTAACATGCTAAACATTACAAACGAAGCAATAATCATACAGAGTAGAAGGAAAAAGAAGATTATCTATGTTAATCTTGCTTTTGAAAGAATGTTTGGATATGAACATGATGAAATAATACATGCTTCTAAAAATATTTTGGATTTGCTTGTTGGACCTCCAGTCATTGCAACAGATAAGTGGACTCTATGTAAGGCAAGAACCAAGATTGGTGATAGATTTGGTGTAGAGGTCACACACAAAGTAGATTTTTTGAGTTCTAAGAAAGTTGATGTGTTCATCATCAGAAATAATGAACTTAATGATCAAGTTAAATTAATGAATGAAAAAGCCAGAGAAGCACAAATAGAACTTCAAAGTAGAACAACTTTCTTTAGTATGATTTCTCACGATTTGAAGAATCCTTTGAACTCGATTTATTTAATTGCCCAAAAGATGCATGAAGACTTTGTTCATCAACAAACAGTAGATTCTCATGAAGGTCTAGAATGGATGAATATGATTTTATCCAGTTGCCATATTTTGAGTAATATTATTCAAGACGTTCTTTCATCATCAAAATTAGAATCTGGAAGTGTTGAGCTTGATGTTTCAAACTTTGATTTACAATATTCTGTTGAAGAAATTATTTCTATTAACAGTGTTACTGCCTTTAAGAAGGGAATTGATGTAGCACTTGAAATTGATGTAAAACGTGGATCTAAACATAGAGTACCATTGGTTGTTAGAGGTGACGTTCACAAATTCCAACAAATTCTAACAAACTTGATGGGTAATGCTATCAAGTTTACTCATACAGGATCGGTTTCTGTCTTGGTTGATGTTCCAGAAGAAACTGAAACCACAGTGAAAGTATTTGTAGTAGTTTGTGATACTGGTATCGGTATTCCTCAAGAAAAACAAAAAGATCTTTTCAAAGTATTTTCAAGATTGAAAAAGGATAAGGAGTATGAAGGAAGTGGTCTTGGTCTCAGTATTTGTAAAAACCTTACAACCCTCATGAATGGTGACATTGGTTGTAAGAGTAATGGTTCCAGTGGAAGTAATTTCTGGTTTACAGTTGTTTTTCAAAAGGCTGCAAGAGGAGAGGACTATGACAAGATTATTGACAGAGCTGATAAGAGATTACCTCTTACAGATGAAAGTAAGATTATGGAGGTAAAGGAAAAGCTTTCCAAAAATTATGGCAACAATATTTGTCTCGTACTTTACAAAGAATCAAAAGTGAGAAACATCCTCTCCAATTATTTAAGAGAAGTGTTTGATGAAAAGGTTGCAACAATGGAAAATATTGAAAACGTATTTGTAAATGCTGACAAGATAGAGCAATTCACTGAGGAGTTCTTGCACAGATCATCATCTAATCCTAATGATTGGTTAGTTAAGAAACCTATTTCTTTCATTATTTTGGATGACGCTTGTTTCCTTCCTGACAATCTACCAAAGAGCGAGAATGCTCTTTTCACTGCAGCTCATGTTTCCTCCCATAATGCTGAATCTAAGGCTGCAAATCAATCAAACAATGCTGGTAGAAGAAATAGTACTCTTATTTATTCTCCAGTAGAGATTGAAAGAATTCATTCAACCATTTCTAAACTGAAAGTATTAATAGAGTCACATAATGCTAAATTTGCTACAAATAATCAAGTCATCCAACCTAAATTAATTGTATGGTTTGATAGATTTGAACCTAAAAGATTCCTAAGTTTTATCAAAAAGGATACAAATCTTCCTAAATCCAACAAGTCTATGTTTGATTTATCAATTAGAAAACCTGTAACACTTTTTTCTTTCCAATATATGATTCAACAAATATTAACAATGAAGAATTCCACTGTTTCCTTTTCAAGCACGGAGAAGAATGATTTTGAAAAATTCCAATTCCCTAAGAAGGCATTAATTTCAGAGCCAAACTTGCCAGCAATTTCCAAAGATCCGCAAACATCTGAAACATCACCCCAATCGTCTCCCTCAGGATCATCTGATAGTGGACCATCAGAGAAACAACTTAAATTAAGAATACTTGTAGCTGATGATAATGTTATTAATAAGAATATTATGCTCAAGATATTTGGTGGTCTTACTGGAAATAGTGAGCTAGAAAATCATCTCTCGCAGGTCAAGAATGAACCACACAAGCTCATGATTGAAACTAAGGGTGTTTCAAATGGTAAAGAGGCTCTTGATGCTTATATTGAGAATTTTGATACCCCTAACAAATTTGATGCCATTGTTCTTGATGTACACATGGATGTAATGTCAGGATTGGAATGTGCCGAAAAAATAAGACTATTTGAAGCAGAAAAGAAACCTGCTACTTCTTGTATTTTAATTGGTGCGACTGGAGATAGTGATGGAGAAAGCTTGTGCAAACGTGCAGGAATGGATCTTGTGTGTCTAAAACCAATATCTCAAACACAAATTAGAAATGTTGTGAAAACCATCTTGGAAAAATAAAATTCGAATTCAGAGATGGGGTTAAAACAGCACAATGGATAGAGCACCATGCCTACTGGAGTACTTACTTATGAAGAGAATACCAAGAAATGGCTAATTTAAAATTTTATTTAAAAATTAAAAAAATTGATGAAATCTTTAATTTCCCTCTCATCAAGACAACAACATTTCATTGGCACAAACAAGAATAATCACAACATCATTATTAAACGTCTATTCCAAACTCCACATAAAAATTCAATAATGGGCTATCACAAAATTCAGAGAACTAGACTGTGTGGATTGGATTGTGCTGTTTTAACCCCATCTCCGAAGCCTCAACAACAACAAGATTCCAAACCACTTGTTGATTCACTTGTTATTTGGCTTCATGGTTTGGGTGATAATTATGAAGGCTTCTCACAAATGTTGCAAGTAATTCTTCCAGAGAATACAATGGCCATTCTACCAAATTCACCTCAACGACCAATTACAATTAATGGAGGAATGGTAATGAATGGATGGTACGATATATATTCATTGGAAAGACAGGAATTAAAAGTACATGAAGATTTGGAAGGCTACGAAGCATCAAAGAAATTAATTGATGAATTAATTGAATCTCAATTAAAACAATTTGATTCAAAGAGAATTATTCTTGGAGGTTCGTTTATTATTAATTTATTAATTATTTTAATTGAAAATTATTTTTGAAATATAATAATTTTAATAATTTTTGATAATAATTTATAAAAGGTTTCAGTCAAGGAGCAGCCATGTCATTATTAACAGGACTTCAATCTAAGCATCCATTGGGTGCCATCATTAGTGCATCAGGATACATGTTATTGAGATCTAAATTTACTAATCCAAGTGAATTTATTTCACAGGAAAATAAGGAAACACCACTTTATATTTTCCATGGAGATGAAGATGATGTTGTTCATTATCAATCATTTGCATCTGAAAGTTTTGATTGGCTTGAAAAGGGAAAGAGTATTACAAGTAGAAAGATTTACAGATATCATTCACATGAAGTTTCTAATGAAGAAATGAAAGATTTAAAGAATTTATTCGAAAAGTTAGTCCAATAATTGAATTTTTGTTCAACAAGTATTGTTGGTTACCAACAGTCACTCAAAGAGATGATACCTGATCAATAGGCAAAATTCACTACCAATTTATCAACAATAAAAACATCAACGTCAGATGACAAACAAAAAAAATGACAGACCCCTCTCACTACAAGTTAAATTACGCCTATTTTACTTCATCCAATCAAGAAGCTGTTGTTGAACAACAAGCATCATCATCAAAAACTTCTCATCATGAATCTTATCATTTCAATACATTGATGATTGCTGCCAGTCATCAATCATTGTCATCATCAATTCATGGAAATTTAAATTCTCATCAGCACAGATTTTCTCCATACAAATCATTTACTATTCACTATAGAAAAAATCAATCATCAAATTCACAATTTTCACTTTACGAATATACTCTACAAACAAGTGAAGATTATTTAACATTAAATTTACCAATTGTAAAACAATTACACACAAATTTATCATCATCTCCACAAACTCCACAACATTTAACTGCTTCAAATAATACAACACCACTCAATCATCATTCATGTCAATCACCAAGTTCAGAATCTACTCAAAATATGAGTACAAGTACTTCCTTCTCTGATTTTGAAGAATTAGTTCAACTACAACATAGAATGAAAGGTAATTTGGCTGGATCTGCTAATACTCCACCTGGAAATGATTCAATTTTATCAGATATTGAAGTTTTAGAAGATGAATATCAAGAAGATGAAAGTACAGAAGATGAAGATAATATTGAATATTGTGTTGGAAGATATATTCACTTTATTGATGATAATTTTAAATCATCAATATTGGGAAATGAATTGGAATTGAAAAGAAAGGTTTGTTTTCATTGTTTTCATTTTGTTAATTTAGAGTTTAATCAATTTGGATTCATTCAATTTTCTGATTATTTCAAAAAAACAGTTCATTGAATTATTATCACTTTCATATCATGTCAATGTTGCTCAAGTTTATGATTTATATCTTGTCATTGATCAAAATAGTGAAGAATTTGAACCTAAATTTACTGGATTGTTCTATACTATGGAATATATTCCATCTGAAATTAAATTAAGTGATTTATTGAAATCAACTTTTGGAAATATGAGTACTGATAGTGCAATTCATATTTTCACACAAGTTCTTGATGTGATTATGATGTTTCATAGTAGAAATAGGACATTTAACAATAATAATTTAGTTAAACAATTACTTGAGAATGATATTTTCATTAGAGACAATTTATCAGGTGATGTAAAGAAGCAAATTGGCATTTATCTTAATTTGGAAACATTTTTACAAACAGATTTAAATGCAGATTTGGAAAAGGAAAAACAAGAAAATATTTGGAATTTAGGTCATTTATTATTTAAATTAATTGTTAAAGACAGCACATTTTTGAAAATTGATGCAATTGATGAAGAAAAAACTTGGTCAATTCTTGAAGAAAATTGTAGTGATAGACACATTGTTGATTTAATAATGAGTGTTCTGACGAATGATAAAACTAAAAGACCTAAAAGTATTTCAGAGATTAAATACTCTCCATGGTTGATGAGATTTAGAAAATTTAAATATTTTGCAGAGATGAAAGTTAAGCAATCTCAAATTGATCAATTGAATCAACAAGTTGAATTTAGCGAAAAGGTTAAGCAAAATATTAATGATTTACTTGGTCCTCTCATTCTGAAACATCATGAACAGGGAATTGTTGTTTCACCAAATTTGAATGATTCGAGTCCAAGAAAGAGTAGTGCCTCAACTCAGCAAGCAAGATCTCAAACTGTTAAAGCAAGAAGAAAGAGCGTGAAATATAACAATGGAATTCAATTAGTTGATGATAAGTCATTGAAAAAGGTACCTTCAAAAAGTAATTTAATGGTTGGCATGTTCAAAAACAAGATGGTTACTGAGGTTAAAGGGCAAGCTAAACCTTCACATGATCCAAAAGAAAATGTCAACGTTGATGAATATTATCAGATGGTATTTAAGCAACAAAAGCAAAGCTTTATATTTGAGACTGGTTGTAAACACAACTATTTCAACCTTTCTAATCATCAAAAGACCTTAACTCTTTTACAGAATAAGGTTTTTGGATCAGATTACTATACTGCCAGATGTGAACAAAAGGTAACACCACTCAATAATGAAGTTGCATTCAAGATTGAGAAACTCAGTGCAGAAAATGAAATTGTCATTGGTTTAGTGTCAAAAGATAATGATTGGAGAATTTGTAAAAAAGGAGGAATATTAGGATCAAAGAAACTTCAAAATTCCTATGGTATTAACTTTGTTTCTGGGCAAGCTGGTTACATGGATTCATGGAAAAAGTTTACGAAAAACAAATTACTCAAAGAAAAGGCCACTGTTATTGTTAATTTTAATTTTGATAAGAGATGTTTATCTGTTAAGGTTATAATGGATGACATTAGTACAGATTTGGGTACATGTTTTGATGATTCAATAGATCTCAAAGTTGAATGGTACTTTGCAGTATCATTATATAAGGAAAAGAGTGCAGTGTCGATTGTAAACTAGATTAAAAACTTTATTTTAATAATGCTTCTCATTCTTGTAAGCTTGCAAGTGTAATGCTTCCAGCCTTAGCTCCTCTTAGAATAGAGATTTCAAAAATTGCTTAAAAGCTTTTTTAGATTTATTTAATAATCAGCTGGTTGTTCTTCACCTTCAGCACCTTCATTTTCATCAAATTCACCTTCTTCTTCAGCAGTAGCATCTTGGTATTGTTGGTATTCAGAAACCAAGTCATTCATGTTGGATTCAGCTTCAGTGAATTCCATTTCATCCATACCTTCACCGGTATACCAATGCAAGAAGGCCTTTCTTCTGAACATAGCAGTGAATTGTTCTGAAACTCTCTTGAACATTTCTTGGATAGCAGTCGAGTTACCAATGAAAGTAGCAGCCATCTTCAAACCTCTTGGTGGAATGTCACAGACAGATGACTTAATGTTGTTTGGAATCCATTCAACAAAGTATGAGCTGTTCTTATTTTGAACGTTGAGCATTTGTTCGTCAACTTCCTTAGTACTCATTCTACCTCTGAACATAGCAGAAGCAGTTAAATATCTACCGTGTCTTGGATCAGAAGCAGCCATCATATTCTTAGCATCGAACATTTGTTGAGTCAATTCTGGAACAGTCAAGGCTCTGTATTGTTGGGAACCTCTTGAGGTCAATGGGGCGAAACCAATCAAGAAGAAGTGGAGACGTGGGAATGGAATCAAATTGACAGCCAACTTTCTCAAGTCAGAGTTCAATTGACCTGGGAATCTCAAGCAACAAGTAACACCAGACATGACAATTGAGACCAAGTGGTTCAAGTCACCAAAGGTTGGTGTAGTAAGCTTGAGGGTTCTGAAACAGATATCGTACAAGGCTTCGTTATCAATACACATGACTTCATCAGCATTTTCGACAAGTTGATGGACTGAGAGAGTGGCATTGTATGGTTCGACGACGGTATCAGAGACCTTTGGAGATGGGAAGACAGAGAAAGTCATCATCATTCTGTCTGGGTATTCTTCTCTAATCTTGGAGATCAACAAAGTACCCATACCAGAACCAGTACCACCACCCAAAGAGTGAGCAATTTGGAAACCTTGCAAACAATCACAAGATTCAGCTTCCTTTCTGACGACATCCAAAACAGAGTCGATCAATTCAGCACCTTCAGTATAGTGACCCTTAGCCCAGTTGTTACCAGCACCAGTTTGACCAAAGACAAAGTTGTCTGGTCTGAAAATTTGACCGTATGGACCAGCTCTAACAGAGTCCATAGTACCTGGTTCCAAATCCATAAGAATAGCTCTTGGGACATATCTACCACCAGTAGCTTCATTGTAGTAAACGTTAATTCTTTCCAATTGCAAGTCAGAGTCTCCGTGATAAGCACCAGTTGGGTCGACACCATGTTCATCAGAAATGACTTCCCAGAACTTAGCACCGATTTGGTTACCACATTGACCGGCTTGGATGTGAACGATTTCTCTCATTGTAGAAGTTGTTGTTTTTTTTCTAAGGTGTTGTTTGTTGGTTGTATGCTCGCTGCGAGTCTGTTTAAGGCTAACTACAACACGCGTAACCCCCTCAACAAACAACCAAAATTACAATTTTTACAAACCTTCGTCCAATGAGGTGTTTGTTTTTGGCGGGAAAGTATTACTCTGGAACAACAACTCATCGGTCATCATCGTAAAGATTGGTCTCTTCATCAGCAACCTGTTTGGCGCCTCATACAACTTCATAAGTAATCATTGTAAATAATTTCATCTCGATAGATTCAAATCATTGGGTTATGGAGGGAAATTGTCGGATTTACAATACCAATGCAATACAAGGTGCTTGTTATTACTAGATTGTTCTCTCTTTAATGCTGTGTTACTGTGTATTGCTAATGTTCTGATTTCCAAGTACAAAGATCAAGAGATGAATGTTCGATTCCAGGAATGTAATTGAGGTAAATAAGAAGAGTGTATAAAGATAATTCCAAAAAGTGATATAATTCATTGAGTGTATAAAGATTGTTCCAAGTAGTTTTCAAAATGTTTGAGAATTATTGCTTTCAAATTTGAAAAATGTTATTGTTAAATAAATACTACTTTAGTTATATCAATTACATATTTTTACAATTTGTTTTTGAATTATTTGGCCAATGATTCCAATCTAGCAGTTTCCTTTTCGACAGCAACAACCAATTCTTCTAATTTCTTCAAAAATTCTGGTTGCAAAACATCTGGAATTGTTGTGGTAGGAGTTGGGGTAACTGTGGTCTTACCAGATGGAGGTGGTGAAGAAGTAGTTGGTGGTGGAGTTGATTTCACTGATGGTTGAGTAACAACAGGTTCTTCCTTCTTTGGAGTTGAAGTGGTGGTGGTATTGCTTGTTGCTGGTTTGCTTACTGGTTCCTCCTTCTTTACGACTGGAGTGGTGGTTGTTGCTGTGGTTGTGGTTGATGTGGTTGATGAAGTAGTGTTTGCTGTTGGTAATGTGATTGGTTTCTTTGGGGTTGAGGTTGTTTGAGTATCTTCTCCCTTCTTTTCCCACATGGATAAAAGGCCTCCAACTTTTCCACTTCTGCTCATTGTGTGATGATCGTATTTTTTATGATTAAATTTAATTGTGATTGGTTGTAATTTATTGATGAAAAGTGACGTTCCACAGACATTTTTAACAGAATCAAAGCTTACTTCCTCAAATTGATGAGTTTGTGAGATTAAAACTTCTTTTCATCACCAGCCATTCTTTCCATATCTCTCTTATGAATCATGACCATTACAACAAAAGGAAGTGCAAATAAGATTGTCAAAAAGTAAACAAAACCACCTGGTTGTAAGAAGAGTTGATGAATGAAAAGTGGAGTATCAGCAAAACCATGCATAATGGCAAGATTTGCAATAATAAGGGTAATAATACTGATAGCTCCAGAAAATCCACACAAGAAAGCAAATGTATACTTGCTTCTTTGTCTCAATTTTTCAATCCATGACATTCTTGGAAGAATAGCATAGAAAAAGACAGCTTCCAAAATCAATAAACAACAATTAATCCATGCCCAAGCAAGCCATCTCCACCAAAGATCATGCCACAATGCAATAAAAGTGAAAATAATCCAAACACTCCAAACCTTTGATTTGCTTCCTCCAAGTGGTATGTAAAGATAACGTAAAATCCACATATAGAGAGATCTATGCCAAGATCTCCAAAAATCTGAAACAAGGTAATTATTATTCACACATCTATTCATATTCTCAGGAGGATTGATTCCGTCCCAAAGAGCCCACAATCTGAACATTCTCCAAATAATCAAGAATTTCATATACATAAATGTTAGAGTAGTAATACCAATGACACCAACTGAAAAAGGAGGGAGAACTCGAGTGAATTTTCCTCTCCAGAGTCCCTCTTTCCAGAATCCTACATCATTGAAACCAACAGTGTAGAACAAGTGAAGGTAAATCTCTAATAAAATAATATAAGCGACAAGTCTAATAGTGTGCCATATTAATTGACCATATGAGAGTTCTTTTTGGGTGGAATATTTTACATAAGAAATGAAAGCAGTATAACTGCAAACAGGACCACCAATAAAGAGTGGTGTATAGAAAATGTAGGCCAAATAATGGAGTAAATTGAAATCAGCCTCGATATTCAAAGATGTTTCCTGACGTTGTCTATATTCTGACCATTGTTCATCTTCCTTTTTAGTAGCATTGATTGAATCAGATGGGACCCTTGATAATTGTTCTGAATAATCCATATTATAACTAATTAATCTACAAAATAAGATATTAAAATAGGTTTCCCAATCGAGAACTCCTCTATTTTGTTCTAGAGAACCAGGTAAAAAGAAGTCCTGGAAATAGTATCCATTATATCGCTTACTAGTAAATAAAATTGTCAAATTGAAAAGCCAAGATACAATAGTATTTAGCTTACTTGATTTGAAAATCTTTCCAATTAAATAATTTACAAGAGTAATTCCAATAAGAAATATTACACAATTTCCATAAAGGAAATAAATAAATCCTGCAGAAAATAGCAAGTAATAAATCAGAGTAGCCTTATAATTCTAATTAATTCAAATTAATAAAATTATTAAATAATATAATTAAAATACAAACATTTGGGAATAATAAATGTCTGATAATTCTAGAAAGTATTACATATACAGTTGCTCCAATTAATAATAAAGGAATAAACTGTCTGAAACTTCTCCATTGTGGATCTGTTAAATCCTAAATCCATTATTATTATCCGAATAATCAAACTGAAACAAACCTGTTCAAAATCCATAAACCATCCTTTGTCAACTCTCATTGGATAGATCGCCTGTCCTGATGTAATAAAATCCCGAGACAAGTTATAGGCATGATTTAGCAATACAATCACAATACCAATTGTTACAACCAATGAACCATAAAAGAGAGGTTTTGGAACAATAGGTTCGTACTTTTTAGTTACCTTTGATGACAACATATTTTATAACAAATCAATGATCCTAATTTAATATATTACTAATTGATATATTTCTTTTCTCCACAACTGATGATGATTCAAATTTTGTATGATGAAGAATTAATACACTTCTCTTCCGATCTGCTCCAGCAGCATACAACACTTTGAGCTATTTTTTAAATCTTTATCTGGATTAAAGAATTAATGCTTCAGGTTTTACATCACTTGTTACAGATGTCAACTAACCTATAGAGCAATTATCAAATCATTCTATTCAATTCATTATCTAATTTAACCTCATAACCGATTTACAGTTTTTAAAATTCAAACTTTAAAAAAATGAATTTTAGCGGGAATACTTTTGATGAAGTCGAACGAAGGGTTTGTATGAGAGTTGTTATTGTGCATTGGATTTTCTAATGATGATCATGTGATGGATGGAATATATTAAATTATTAAAATATGTAGAAATTATTGGAAGAAAATGAATTGTTAAGGAGGGAAATTGAGGATTTAAAACACTTGAATAAGGAATTGATGATGGAAAATGAAGATAATGATGCCAGAATTATTAAATCCTATCGTGCCAAAATTGTTCAATTGGAAAGACAGGTTCAATTATTAACGAAATGTACAAATATCAAGGCAGAGGCAGTCACGGATATTGATAACTTTGTTCTTGAAATAGTTGGAGAGGAAGAGGATTCTTCTCCTATAGAAAGATCTCATTTACGAAAATGGGGTAAAATGTTGCAAGAAAAGATTCGAAACTATAATATTCTGACAAAACAAGCAGAAAATCAAAAATATTTTATGGAATGTAAATACTCAGGAGGTACTGATTCAGTTCAAAATGTTTGCAATTACTCTAAGAATGATGATATACCTTATCTCGAAGTGTCAACAGTTTTGGAGTTGGAAAATGATTTGACTCACGTGTACAGAAACTTGTATAGATTAAGAACTCAGCTTAATGCTAACAAAAGTCAAGTCAAAGATACTAATTTTTTACTATTGACCGATATTACAATTAACAACATAACAAAAGTACTGAATGAGATGGTAGAGCTCTCTTTAGTATTGCCAAAGAAAGTGAAAGGTTCTTCCGAGGAGGTTAGCTCTTCATATGGTCAATATTACAACCCAATGAATATGAGTTCCTCTGAAATGATGTCAAAATTACCAAGAATAGGTAATTCTAAAACCTCAAAAGAAGTTGAGGATGCTATCAAACAGTTTGTAAAAGCTTTCCATGCTCAAAAGACTTTATTTGAATTGGATTTGCAAATGAAACAGGAAGAGTTGAACATAATGTCAAAAACAAGTACATTTTATAACTCCTATTTTTCAGAAATGCTAAAAGAAATCGAACAAAAGTATAATGATTTTACAGGTCAAGTTACACCTAGTTCTGTGAGCTCAAAGTCTGTTAATCAAGAAATTATTGAAGATATTGTACAATCATTCGAAGATTTTGATAGAGAAAGTAATGAGGAAAACCTGAGACACTTTTTAATGACATTCAAGGACAATATATACTCACTGCAAGAGGATAAATCAGAACCGACCAAGAAGAAGAATAGACCTAATGTCACTGCAAAAAGCTATTATGAAAGGTTTAAAGCACACGTAGAGGAAATTCAAACTGAGTTTTTAATTAGAAAGAATGAGTTTATTGAGAAAATGTACAACCTCAATCCAGAAGTTGAAAAATATGAACACATTGAGCCATTTATCAGCTATACTCCTTATGACAATAGCTCTTCAATGGCCAAGAAACAATCAGTTAAAAAGAGGCCTACCTCTTCTTCTGTGAATTCGTCTGTTAGTAGTCTGAGATCTTCCTCTATGAGAGGCTCCACTGTAATTAACCCTATGAGAAAGGAAATTCCATTGATGAGAAAATCCAATCTTCCAAGCATTTCTGATAGTAGTCCAGATTTGAATATCAAAGAATTCAAAGAGGTAAAGGAGATTAGAGATGTTACACCAAAAGTTGGAAGCAGCTCAAACAGTACAAACTCTAGCAAAGTATCACAGAATGCTAATGTGAAAGAATTAGCTCAAAGAGTGGAAGATCAAAGGAGAAAAGTTGATGACCTTTCAGAAAATTTGATGAAAAAGAGTCTCTCAGATATGCAAAAATTTGCATTACAAAAACAATTTGTAAGTACTTTGAATTGTATTTAGATTTAAACCTTTAAAAGAAATTGGAAAAAGCAGAACTCTTAAAGATGGAAAGAATTTTAAAAACAATGAGCGAATAAATAATTTATTTACAATGTTTACTCAATATCAAATAAGCTGTCACCAACAGTCTCTTCAGACATGTTCACCACTATTTCTTGAGCCTTAGAGACCTCTTGGGTTGCCAAATTTTGAGGGCTCGAAATTAAATCTTGTTTTGTTTCTTGTGTGTCTTCCTCGTTTGTGATATCCTCAAGAACTAACTCTTCAATCTGGCATGACATGTGTCGGATAGGAACATCTTCAATTATTTCTAATTCCTCCTCTTCTTTTTGTTCTTCAACCTTCTTTTCGACTTGTTCCCTCTCAATTTTTGATTCCTTCTCCTTTTCTTCCTTCTTTGATTGTTGGATTAATTGTTCAAATGCTTCAAAATTTCTTCTCTCTTTATCTTTCTTTTCTTGAGCCATTATCTTTCGTTCCTCTCTTTCAGCATCAAGGCCTCCTTTCATCCAAGCAGTCACTGTTCTTCTTTCATCATCAAAAATTGGCATACTATCCAGATAGGTCAAACTTGGTAAACTTCCAATGATCTTCTTTCTATAATTAGGAATCTTCTTAAGCATTTCATTTCCCTCCAGTCTCAATAATCTTAAATCCTTGATTGATTTGAGAATAGTTAAAAATTCCTCAATTGTTTGCTCATAGTCCATTCCATTGGTCAACTCCTCAAACAATTTGTTTTTACTCAGATCTAAAATGTTCAATGATGTTAAATAACGAAGACCTCTCACAGAATCAATTGTTTTCAATGCATTTGTGCTCAAATCCAATGTTTGAATATTTGTACAGTTCAGTCCCAACTCTTCCGGAATATGTGTAATAAAGTTTGAAGACAAATTCAGTGTATGAAGCTTTGTGCAATGGAAAATTCCTTTAATTTCCTCAATACAATTTTCATGAAGATATAAACAAGAGATTTCCTTATTTTCCTCCAATCCTTGAATTTCATGAATAGCATTGGATTCCAACCAAAGAACCTTCACTCCGGTAAACTTTTCCAAATTTTCAATTTTTGACACACCCTTATGTTGTAGGTAGAGTTTATCATTTAAGTGTTCGGTCATGTATCCACCCTTGCTTTTACACAACTTTCTGAGGTAATCATTTGTAATTCTACCATTTGGTAACTTTTCAAGATCTTCTGCCATTTTTTTTGTAGTTTTTTCTGTTTTAAAAATACAACAAAAAGGCGGCAAATAATAATACAAAAAACAATAAAATTAAATATTAATTATGAATTTTAAAATTGTAATTGCCCTGTTTATAAATTATATTCCGAAATAATTTACTTTGAGAGTGGCTTTCCGTAAAATTGTTCCTTCATTTTAGTGAATTTATCCATACCAATCTTCTTGGCAGCAATTTCTTCCAAAACACCAAAATCGATTTCACCATCTTCATCACTCTTTGATCCGGTCAATTCAATAACGGAATCAACCATAGAACCAATACCATCAAAGACTTCAAAAGCAGTTGGGTTCTTACCCATATAAGCTGGAGTAGTGACCAACTTGTTATCCTTGTCAACAACAACTTGAGAAGTTGACTTTGGAACACAGTTAGCACCATATGACTTAGCATGTTCAGTGACAGATGGATCAGAATCACCCAAAGTAATAGAACATTGTGGAATAGCCTTAGCAGCCAAAACTGGAGCAATGCAACACATACCGATTGGGATCTTGGCTTCATGAGTTGAGACGATAGCCTTTTCAACTTCTGGATGAATCTTGAAGTTGGTTGGATTTTCGGCATAATTGCTCAAATTCTTAGCAACACCAAAACCTCCTGGAATGATGAGAGCTTCGAAAGCTTGTGGTCTGAATTGGTCCAATCTGAGGACGTTTTGTCTGGTGATTCTAGAAGCTTCAGTACGAATGTTTCTAACTTCATTCTTTTCAACATTCTTTGTCAAGTGATCATAAGTTTCTTCTTGGTTAATATCTGGAGCGAAGAAAGCAAGCTTGTATCCCTTCTTTGACAAGTGAACCATAACACTAACAGCTTCGGTAATTTCGCTACCATCAAGATAACCACAACCACTCAAAATAACAGCAACGGTACCCTTTTCAACTTGAACTTGAGCAGGAGCATAGTTTCTGATTTGATTTTGTTGTGTAAAGAAACCAGCAGCAATATTTTGCTTGGTGAAGGAAGTTGTTTGGAATGACTTGGAAGCGATGGTGGCAGCTCTTCTCAACATTTTTTATAATTTGTCATTTTTAATTGCGTTTACAACGTTGTTTGCCTCCTGCCAGTGTTGATTTATTATTGCAACTCAGGAGAGGCTTTGTGATGGGAAAATTAATCTAGTTTTCGGATTCAATTAATATGAAAGAATTTTAGATTCTCGTTGGATGTATGGATTGTTAATTAATTATGGTGCTGCCAAAATATGCTCGCAGAAGATTTTTTAATTTCGGATTTTTGGATTTAATAATTACATTCAATTTCTTGTAGTGCAATTATTGTCCACTAATTGTTATACTGAAATATTAAATGATATCATTATTACTTGATGTTTCCTATTTGCCACTGCCAGCTCATCGTGTATGCATGTTGGAAATTCTTGTTGCAATTTTTAATTGATTTAAAAAATGTCTGAACAACAAGAAGCAACACCAGTTGAAAATACAACTGAACAACAACCTTCATCAACAACCGTTGAATCATCATCGGATAATAATAGTATACAACAAGAATATGTTAGAAGAAAGGGAGAAGCACCAGTAAAACTTGAATATATTATTATGGAAAAGCCAAAATCTGATGATATTCCATCATCAACTGAAAATAATGATTCGGAAAAGAAAAGAAAACATGAAGGTGACAATAAGAATTCTAAAAAAGCCAAGAGTTTCCACAATAGAACCAGGGATGCAATGAAAAAGGAGAAGAAGGAAAAGAATGCAGATTCAAATAATGCGGATGAAAATACACATATTGCTAGACCTCAAGGAGAATTCAATTTTGTTGAATTTGATGTAATTAAACAATTGAGAAAGAAGACTTACAATTTTGAAAAGGCTGAGGAAGTAACAAAACATGTCGAAGAATATGGTAAAAAGGAAGCTCAAGAACGATCAAAGAGTGAGGAAGCTTTATTCAGACAAAGACAACAACAAATAGTTAGACAAAAAATGATTGAAAGAGGAGAACTCGTTCCAGAGGAAGAAAAATATGACATTTTAACTTATAAGGAAACTAAATATCACCCAAGTGAGATCAAGAAAGTGGATTTTACAAGAAAAACATATCTTGCTCCTTTGACAACTGTTGGTAATTTACCATTCAGACGTATTTGTAAAGATTATGGATGTGATATTACAATTGGTGAAATGGCCCTCAGTCATTCTATTTTGAAAGGAGAAAGAGGAGATATTTCATTATTGAGAAGACATGAATCTGAAAAAATCTTTGGAGTTCAATTGGCTGGCAAGGATGCTGCTACCATGACAAGAGTTGCACAACTTATTGATGAACAATTCCCTCATATTGATTTTGTAGATGTTAATTGTGGATGTCCAGTTAATACTCTTTGCTCTTCTGGTATGGGTGCTGGTATGATGGAAAAGAGAACAAAACTTGTTGGTATTGTTAGAGGAATGAAGGAAATTCTTTCAATTCCTATTACTGTTAAAATGAGAACTGGTAGCAAGACTGGAAAGAACTTTGCTCACAAACTTATGGCAGACCTTTGTGAATGTGGTGTTGATGGGTTGACTCTTCATGGAAGATCAAGAGAAATGAGATATACAAAGGAAGCAGATTATCAATACATTTATGATTGCTCCAAGGTTGTTCAAACCTACTCAGAAAAGGCAAATAGAAAAGTTTATATGGTTGGTAATGGTGATATTTATAATTATCAAGATTGGTATGAACATATTGATAAGGTTGATTCCTTAATGATTGGTCGTGGTGCCCTTATCAAACCATGGTTATTTAGAGAAATCGAGCAACAACATACTATTGACATTTCAGCAAGTGAAAGATTGGAGATGTTAAAGAACTTTGTTAAATATGGACTTGACCATTATGGTGCAGATGAGATTGGTATTTCAAAGACTCGTAGATTTTTATTGGAATGGCTTTCATTCTTGTGTAGATATGTACCAGTTGGACTTTTGGAACGTTTGCCAATCAAACTAAATGAAAGACCACCACTCTACAGAGGAAGAAATGAATTGGAAACATTAATGGCCTCATCAAATGGCAAAGATTGGATCACATTAACAGAGCTTGCAGGTCTTCCAAAGCCTGGTGACGATTTTGTTTTTATTCCAAAACACAAATCAAACAGCTATGAAGATGATGATTACAATGGATAAAAATTGAATTTCAATTATTAATTGTAAAGGAACAAGTTCTTGTGAGTAAAATAACTCTTCTTTGTTAAGGAAAAGATCCATTTCGGATCATTTACACCGGGCAGTTTGTGTGTAATCTCTAGTAATTAATGTAATAATGATAGTTTGATCGTTCTTTTTTGATTCTTGAAACTTCTGATTATTGAACCTAGAAAACACCTCAGTAGATTTAATAACAAATGATCATACGCTTTAATGATTCCTCACCAATAATTTGTTTTTTAGAATGTTATTGTAAACCTCAGTAGCCAACGTCCCATATTCTTAAAGAGTTACAATCCAATTTGTTAATAACCGTTGTCCAACAGGCTAATGGAATTGATGACACTGATTTCATGTCCGAATAAATTGTGCATGGTGCGAACTTTAAGAAGGAGTCCATTGAGCATTGCTTTGAATCTCTCACCTCACTCTATTCATTGTACTATTCACTTTCTATTTCCTTACCATTATATAGAGATGAAGTTAAAATTTCTATTCACCTCTATTTGTGTGTTGGCTGAGAATTTCACCACCTGTATTCCAAACAAGTTGAGCAAAACGAAGTATCAAAAAGAAGCCGTAGCAACATTGTTAAACTGCTAACCTCTTTTCACACACAGCCCTCACTTGTGCTCCCTTCCAAAAACAAGCCTGCAACGTTCAGGAAGAATCAAAAAAAATAACACGAGGTGTAAAAAACAAAGCCTTGCTTTTTTGCGGCATTTTTGAATCACCCAAATTTTCCACCCACACAATCATCAAATAACCTTTTAGTATTGATTGTCATCATCTAAAAATTCATCAATATAACAACAACAACAACATAAAGGATGGAAACAGATAGTCCAGTTATTCCTACACAATCTAATCATGGCATTTTCGCAAGTGTAGAAGAATATGTTAGTTTTATGGGTGGCAACAAGATAATCAAAAAGATACTGATAGCAAACAATGGTATTGCCGCAGTTAAAGGAATTCGTTCAATGAGAAAATGGTGTAATGAAGTTTTTGGTAAATCAGATGAAATTAAATTCGTAGTAATGGCTACACCTGAAGATATCCAAGCCAATGCCGAATATGTTAGATTGGCTGATGAATTAGTCAAAGTACCAGGTGAATCGAATTATAACAATTACAGCAATGTTAAATTAATAGTAGATATTGCTGAACAATTTTGTTGTGATGCAGTTTGGCCAGGTTGGGGACACGCTAGTGAAAATCCAGAACTTCCATTTTCACTTTCACAAACTAAACGACAAATTGCTTTTATTGGTCCAGACAGTGTACCAATGGAAGCTTTGGGAGACAAGATTTCTTCCACAATTTTGGCTCAAGCAGCTGGTGTTCCTTGTATTCCATGGTCTGGTTCCGAGGTTCACTACGATATTACAAAGAGTGGTTTACCAATTCCTGAAGACATTTATTTAAAGTGTTGTATCACTTCTGAATCAGAAGCTTTGAAATGTGCAAATAAGATTGGATATCCAATAATGATTAAAGCTTCTGAAGGTGGTGGTGGTAAAGGTATTCGTAAAGTAGCAAATGATATTGAATTGAAATTGGGATTTTCACAAGTTAAAAATGAAGTGCCGGGATCTCCTATTTTCTTGATGAAACTCTCTAGTGAAAGTAGACACTTGGAAGTTCAAGTTGTTGCTGATAAACATGGTAATGCTCTCGCATTATATTCAAGAGATTGTTCCGTTCAAAGAAGACATCAAAAGATTATTGAAGAAGGTCCAGTTACAGTTGCTCCAAAGCACGTTATTGATAAAATGGAAGCTGCAGCTGTCACACTTGCTCGTAGTGTTAATTATAGTGGTGCTGGTACAGTTGAATATCTTTATGAACCTGCTACTGAACATGTTTACTTTTTGGAATTGAATCCTAGATTGCAAGTTGAACATCCAGTCACAGAATGGATTACACTCACCAATATTCCATCTATCCAACTTCAAATTGCTATGGGAATATCATTAAATCGTATTCCAGATATTAGAAGATTCTTTGGTGTTCAATTGAAGGATCTCTACACTGTTGAACCACAAATTGATGTTAACGATGCTGCTAGGAGACAACCTCCAGTTGGTCACGTTATTGCTTGCCGTGTTACAGCTGAAAATCCAGAAAGTGGGTTCCAACCAACTTGTGGTTCTGTTGTTGAACTTAACTTTAGAACAAATCCAAACGTTTGGGGATATTTCTCAATTCGTTCCCAAGGTGCCATCCACGCTTTCTCTGATTCTCAATTCGGTCACATTTTCACAAAGGGTGAAACAAGAGAAGAAGCAAGAAAGACTATGCTTTCAACACTTTCTGAATTAGCCATCAGAGGCGAAATCAGAACAACAGCTGAATATTTACAATCACTTTTGAAGTTTGATGATTATGTTAATAACAATTATACAACATCATGGTTGGATAATCTTATTTCAAAGAAAATTAAATTGGAAAAGCCTGATACACTTTTAGTAGTTACTTGTGGTGCAGTCCATACTCTCCACAGAATGGTTTCCGAGAGAGCCAAGAATTGGATTTTGGCTGTTGAAAGAGGACAGGTTCCTTCATTTGACAATGTTGATGTACACTACTCTATTGAACTTATTTATGAAAATATTAAATATCAAGTTGACGGAGTTAGAAGTGGACCAAACAAATATACTTTGGCTTTGAATGGATCTACAATAGAAGCTGAATTGTCTGAATTGAGAGATTCTGGATTACTCATTGTTGTTGACAATGGATCACACGTCTCTTATGCCAGTGAAGAACCTTCGGGCCTCAAACTTACACTTGACGGTAAGGTTTGTATGTTTACTAAGGAATTCGATCCATCTCAATTGAGATCAACATTGAGTGGTAAATTCATGAAGTATTTGGTTGAAAATGGTGCTCATGTTAAACCAAATACTCCAGTTGCTGAATTGGAAGTCATGAAGATGATTGTCACTGTTTATGCTCCACTTCCAGGTAGAGTTAATCACTGTCTTGTTGATGGTACTGGTGTTAACCAAGGAGATATCATTGCTATAATCGATCTTGATGATAAATCCCAAGTTAAGAGATCACTTCCATTCGAAGGCCAATTCCCTCCTGCTGCTAAGGTTAATGCAAGACTTCCTCCAAATAGAGTTGTTTCTTCTGCTTTGGAAACTGTTCAAAACTTGTTGGCTGGTTATGATTATCCTGCTTTCATTTTCAATGACAAACTCTCAGAAACCATGTTGTCACTCAGAAAACTCGGTGATAGAAATGTTATTATCCATGAAATGATTGAAAAGCTTTCAGTTTTGAGAAAATTCTTACCAGTATCATTGGTTAGAGAAGTCAATAACCTTTTGCAAAAGAGAAAGATTGAATACGACGAATATTGTTGCAAGGATGATAATGATCACACCCAAGATGTTTACAATGAGGATTTAGTTAAGGAAATTACTTCTATTTTCAAGAACTTTGAAAGTGGTCTTGAAGGAGCTAAGAAGGAAGAATTCCTCATCGCTGCCAAACCAGTTTTTGAACTTTTGGAACTCTTCAATAATGGATACAAGCAACATGCTTTCTCCACTCTCGCCAAATTACTTGAAGAATATATTCAAACTGAAAAGATCTTTGATACCACTGGTGGTAAGAGAAGAGAAGCTGTTTGGTTTGAATTGAGACAAAAACACTCTGAAAACCTCAACAAGACTTACCAAATTGGTCTCTCCCACTTTAGACTTAGCAGTAAGAATAAGGTTATTCGTTCTCTTTTAGAAATTATTGAAGAACTCGACATGGTTAAGGAATCAACTCCACTTTTGGATGAATTGGCTTCATTTGTTGCTCCAGAATTCAGTGATGTTGCTGTTGCTGCTAAACACATCCTCACCTCAAGTAGATTGCCTTCTAAGCAAAGAATGAAGGATGAAATGGAAGGATACTTTAAGGATGGACTTGAAGCTGTTGATAATCAACAAAAGCTTGCTTGTTTGAAGGAATTAATTGTCAAGTCTAACTATAGTTTCGACATTCTTCTTGAATTCTTCTCTGATCCAGATGAAAGAATTGCTAACTTGGCTGCTGAAGTCTACATCAGAAAGGCATACTGTACTTTTGATATTGATATTTCAAGAGTTACCTCCCAACCAAAGTTCAAGACTGTTGAATTTAGTTTTATGAATACTGAAAAGTCCACTTCAGGTTCATTAAAGTCTGATGGTATTGTTGGTTCTATTTCTATGGACTGTTTGAGCAGTCTCTCAGAGACTGAAGATAACATTGGTTTTGGTGTTTTGGCTATCTTTGATTCTGTCAGTGATATTGATGCTCACCTTCCAGATGTTATGAAGATCTTTGAAAATAACGACGATGCTGACAATACTAATGTTTTGAAGATTTTGTTGAGAGCTCACGGACCAACACCAAATGATGTTGAACTTCTCCCATCCCTTACTAACCTTTTGAAGAAGCACAGCGAATCTCTCCAATATAACGAAATTAAGAGAGTTACTGTTGTCGTTGAAGTTCAAGATAAATTGCCATTCTACTTTACTTTCAGACAAAGATTCAACTATGACGAAGATCCAATGTACAGACATATTGAACCTACACTTGCCTTCCAACTTTTCCTTAAGAAATTATCTAATTATAACATTACTCCATACCCATGTAAGGATCCATCTGTTCACGTTTTCTATGGTCAAAAGAAGAAGGAGCTTGGTTTGAATAGATATGATTTCTTGAATAAGAGATTCTTCGTTCGTACTTTGGTATTGCAAGGTGATATCTTCACTGAAGAAAATCCTGAAGAATTGCAAATTTCAGAACTTGAAAGATATGTTGTTGCCTCAATCAATGCTTTGGAAATTGCTATGGCTGATAAGAATTACCCAACTAGTTATGCTAATCACATTTTCGTCAATTTCTTACCTGAAGTTGTTGTCAAGGCAGATATGGTAGGTGAAATTATTGAAAGATTCCAAAAGGTTTATGGTAAGAGATTGTGGAAGTTGAGAGTTAGTGAAGTTGAAGTTAGATTCACTGCTAAATTCTCCCGAACCTCTCAACCACAAACCTTTAGATTCATTGCTCTTGATGACACTGGTTACAATCTTACATTGGACGTTTACAGAGAAGAAAAGGATCAAACTACTGGTAGAACCGTTTACAAGACTGTTGTTGGTGAAAAGAAGCCATTGGAAGGTTTGGATGTTAATATTCCTCACCCTATTCTCCAAGCTGTTGATCAAAAGAGAGTTCTTGCTCACAACAATGATACATCCTATGTCTATGATTTCCCATACTTGTTCGAAAGAGTTGTTCGTTCCATGTGGAAAGAACATAACGATTTGACTAAGGAAGACATTCCAAGCACTTTCATCAGTCTTACTGAATATATTCTCGATACAACTGGCAAATTCTTGATTGAAAATCCAGTCAAGAATGCTATAGGTAAGAATACATGTGGTATGGTTGTTTGGAAGGTTACTTTGTTCACTCCAGAAGCTAAGGATGGCAGAGATATGATTTTAATTGCCAACGATATCACATATCAATCTGGTTCTTTTGGTGTTATTGAAGATGAAGTATTCCAATTGGCTAGTGAAATGGCTAGAAAGTTGAAGATTCCAAGATTCTACATTGCTGCCAACTCTGGTGCTAGAATTGGTTTGGCTGATGAAGTCAGAGAATTATTCAAGATTGAATGGAACGAACCAAATGATAGCACTAAGGGCTTCAAATATCTTTACCTCACTCCAAATGATTACGAAAAACTTCAAAAGACCAACTCTGTCAATGCTGTTGAAATTGAAGTTAACGGAGAAAAGAGATGGAAGATTATTGACATTATTGGTAAGGAAAATGGTATTGGTGTCGAAAATTTGAGAGGATCTGGTATGATTGCTGGTGAAACTTCTCGTGCCTATGAAGAAGTTTTCACTATGAATTATATTGCTGCAAGAAGTGTTGGTATTGGTGCCTATGTTAATCGTCTTGGTCAAAGAATTATTCAAAATAGAAAAGCTCCTATCTTGCTCACTGGTGCTGGTGCTTTGAATAAGGTTTTGTCTAGAGAAGTTTATACCAGTAATTTGCAATTGGGTGGTATTCAAATCATGAATCCTAATGGTGTCACTCACTTGATTGCTAAGGATGACTATCTTGCTATCAAGGATGCTCTCAAGTGGTTGTCATATGTTCCAAAGTCAGTTGGTTCTGCACTTCCAATCTTGAAGACTCTTGATGATCCTGAACGTCAAATTCAATACCTCCCAGTTGAAGGTAGCCACTATGACTTTAGAGAAATGTTGGTTGGTAAGACTGTTGAAGGTGAAAATGGAGAATCAACATGGTTGAGTGGTTTCTTTGATAAGAACTCATTCTTTGAAACTTTGACTGGTTGGGCAAAGAATATTATTGTTGCTCGTGCTAGACTTGGTGGTATTCCAATGGGTGTTATTGCTGTTGACACAAAGACCTATGAACAAATTATTCCTGCTGATCCTGCTGATAGTAACTCTAGAGAAAGAGTAGTTCAAAAATCTGGCCAAGTCTGGTATCCAGATTCTGCATTCAAGACTGCTCAAGCAATCAATGATTTCAACAAGGGAGAACAATTGCCACTCATGATCTTTGCTAACTGGAGAGGTTTCTCTGGTGGTCAAAGAGATATGTTTGATGAAATCCTCAAGTTTGGTTCTTACATTGTTGATGCTTTGACCAATTACAAGCAACCAGTTTTTGTTTACATTCCACCAAATGGTGAATTGAGAGGTGGTGCTTGGGTTGTTGTTGATCCAATGATCAATAATGATGTTATGGAAATGTTTGCTGATGATAAGTCCAAGGGTGGTATTTTGGAAGCTTCTGGTATTGTTGAAATTAAGTACAGAAAGCAAGAAATTGTTGCTACTATTCAACGTTTGGATGCTGAATATATTAACCTTGCCAAGGAATTGGGAAGATCAGACATTTCTTTGAAGGAAAAGGATGAAATCAAGGTCAAGATGGGTAAGAGAGTTGAAAAGTTGATTCCAATTTATACTCAAGTAGCTGAATGTTTTGCTGATCTCCATGATACTCCAGGTAGAATGAAGGCTAAGGGTGTTATTACCGAAATCATTTCTTGGAAGACTGCTAGAACTTACTTCTACTGGAGATTGAAGAGAAAGATTCTCGAATTCAATTTGTTGAAGGAATTAAGTGAATGTGTAGATGCTCAATCAAACAAGTTATCTATCAAGAGAGAAATCCTCAGACAAAAGGTCATCAATAATGAACAAGTTTGGACTAACGATAGAGAATTCTTGTCTTGGATTGAAGATAATAAGGAAACTGTTACACAAGCCATTGCTACATTGAGAGGTGAAAAGGTCAAGCAAGATATTCTTTCATTATGTTCTTCAGGTAATTTAGGTTCAGTTTGTGATGGTTTGCTTTCCTTCTTGGAAAATAACAGTGATGCTGTTGGTGAATCTCTTAAGGAAAAGCTGAGAAAATTGCTCTAAATTATTTTGTAAAATATTTTAATTCAAACCTCTTTTAGTCTACATTTATTTTAGTGAACTTGTTCTTTTGCTTTGTTGGTTTTTGTTGTGAATTGGTTTCTGCTGGTCTGGGTAGCTCTTCTTTCTTGGGCATGAATGTTAAAGCAGTATTCATAACATCATTCTCCCAACTGTATAGTTTATAATCTTCCAATTTGAATTTCTTGATTTGGAGTGTTGTGTGTAAGTAGAATTTCTGGAATTTTGACTTGGTTTCAGAATCGAGAATTCTAACCAGAATTGGAAGAGAAAGATTAGTAAAACATTCTTGATCCACAAACTTTAAAAGATATTCCAATCGTTCCTTATTTTCTTTTACAGTTCCGTCTTGGTGAAATAGATTGAGTGAGGTTAAAAATTTTGATTCACTTTTTTCAGAAAGATAGGTTTTTCTTGCAATTTCCAATATTGGTGTGAATAAAAATTGAGTAATGTCCATTTCCTTGCCAACAGCTGCATTTCTCAACTTTTCACAAACTGATATTATAGATTTTTCATAGAAATATACAGCATTTTCCCAATTGAGTTGAGATTTCTTTTCCTTGTCAAACATGGAATAAACGAAAAGCTCTCCAAGTGGTATAAGGGAAGGATGAACATTGTGGGCCTGTGCACATTGTAACAAATACTTTTCAGCTCGTTTCCTTGATTGAATATTGGTCTTTAAAGGTACACAGTTTCTAATTTTCTTAATGCCTTTCTTCTTCCTGACACTTGTGAAACAATTGGTAAAGAATGGAATTGCCCTGTGAAACAGATGATAATACGTTGATGGCTCTCCTGAAGAGGGTTCCAAACTACTAAATAAGAACTCCACGCCAGCTATCCCTACCATGTACAGCGTGTCCAAATATTGTGGAAGAGGAACTGATAGAGTTTTTACACCAATTACTGTCAAGTTAATAAAGAAATGTCTGGCAATTTGCTCATCCAACATTGTTACATTTCCTTCCAACTGAAATGCTTCCTCATACTTTCTATCAAACAACATGTCAGTATCATAGATTGTTTTCTGAGAGAAATATGCATCTCCAACATTATTCCAATACAATAGCCATCTCTTATCATTTAGATAATAAAATTGTTTGATAAATTCCAATAATTTCTCTGGATCTTCCATAATTGAAAATAAATCACATTTAACAAAATCCTCCCTCTCCACATGTTTCAAATCATCCAATTCCAAAAGAACTCTATTTGAATCCTTTACAATATGTTCATAATAATCGGGATGTTTCTTCTTCATCTCCTCTGATGAAGTGAACTTTAATATCCTCTGAATGAGTAAATACTTTTGATTGTACTCGATCCACTTTAAGGTATACTTGTTTAATCGCTTAAATTTTGATTGATAGAAATAGGGCATGAAGGAAATGATATGACAAAACATGTACTTGTCGACTACTAGCAGCATCGTTGATGGTTGGAGAGTAAAATCCTCTGCTAAATCGAGTGACGACATTTTTGAGAGATTGTAATGAGGGTAAATTTAATAATAATATCAAATAAATTGGTAAATTGTGAAATTTACATTGTGTAGTAATATTTATCATGGTAGTGAAAAGCCAATTTAACAATACTCCTAAAAGTGCCATTCTTTTTTAAGGTTAAACTTGATTAATTGAGGTTGATTTCATTGTTGATATTGAGATTGAGTTGATGAGTATATTGGTGGAGAACTTGTATTTAATATCTAAAATCTCTTTATACTTCATCTTTCTCCTCAATATAAAATCAGATGATTTGTCTAAACAGTTGAAATTGTTTGGTGCAAGTATGACAGCCAAGACTACATCCCTGTCGATGCATTCGATTGGGAGTTTTCTCATTAATGCCGGTATTTTGTTTGGATTAAACCAAATATAGGGAATTATTAATTCCTTATCGTGTCTTAGTGTCTTAATTTTTTCATTATTAAGTGAAAGAGTTATTGAGGGTGGATATGTTCTTGAATAATTGTGAGGATTGAGAATAATGGCCTTTCTCATCAGGTCGAAATTTGAAGTATACTTGGAAGGAATTAAGTATTCAAAGTTGCACAAGTTTCTAGCCATAAAATTTAGAATAATTTCTTCATTATTGTCAAGAAATGATGTAGAAATTAATCGAATAGAATATGGATTATTGAAAAGGGCTTCTCTAACTATCTCAACATCCTCTCTGAATTTTACATGAGCAAAAGAGAGAGCCATTCCATTATTTTGAACTGCTGTAAATACAATGTCTCTATTGGATGTTAATTCCTCGGTGCAATACTTTAAGTAGAGTCCATTTTCTTTCACTCTTACCATGGCTGGTTTATGATTGGCAATTAGTGGATTTCCATTAATTGGAGGTGGTGATTCATTTTCCTTCTTGTTGTAATTATTATTAACTTGAACTATCTGTCTTCCTTCTACATATTTTACAAGAAAATCATCCACTATATTTACAACCTTGCCATATTTAAATCTCATAGTATTATTCCAATTTCTAGAATCATTAATATATGCCATGCAGAAATCAATTTCATTAGCTCTCTCTACAAAACTAGGATCAAATTTAAGTCTTTTTGAACATATAAGAAAAGCAGCAACATTTCTCCTTATATACTCTAACATGAAATCTGGATTATCTCTATATTCAAAAGGAAGGCTATTTTCAATATAACCTGATTGCATTACATTATGAATTATATTGTGGTCCTTTTTCCTTTCCATTGACAGGTATCTATATTTTCCTGTTGATACAATTGGTGTGTTGTTTGTATATTTTGTCTCTAAAATTTGTTCCTCTTTGAATTTATCAATTCTCTTCCTTAATTTACTCCCTATTTGTGTTGGGAATGATTTATACCAATTGGTAAAGTTCAGTAATTTGGTAAAGTTATTAAATTTAAAACAGTACAAAACACCTGTCACAGTTTCCAACACCAAACATGCCCTCATTGTTTTTAAATACCCAATCACTAGCAATTTTTCTCGTTGCCACCTTTCAAAATGTTGATTGATCCACTTTCTTGGTTTTTAATGGAGAATTTGAAACAAACTCCCAATCCTCAAAAGGAAGCATCATATTAGATGGATGAAGATAAAAATCATCCCATCTCGATCTACAATCCAAATCTCCACAAATTTGCAAAAAATCCTTCACATACGATGGAAATATAATTGACAATTCTGCCTCTCTCCTATCAATCATTGCAGAAATTCGAATACTTTCAGGATCATTGATACACTCCACTTGATCGATACTTCTTATTATCATCGGATCACCTACCAATTTATTTCCTTCATCAATTAAATAATACAATTCTCGTCTTTTAATATTGCGAATAGATTCATGACAATCGGAGGAACATTGTGCAAGTCTGTGTATGCTCCTATCATTCATGAACGGCAATAGATGATATAAAACAGGGAGCAAACTAAGAGGGTGCAAATTGAATATTGACATTTTTTTTCAATTTTGTAATCAGAGTTCAGTAAATGTTCCCACAATAAATTTAACAAATTTGATTAAAGTGACGTTTGTCTGTATATTAGTGGAAACCATTCTTAGTACATGTAATCCCCCTTAGCTCAGTCGGTAGAGCGTCAGACTGTTAATCTGCAGGTCGGTGGTTCGAGCCCACCAGGGGGAGTTGCTTTTACTTTTATCCAACAGAAGATGAAGATCATAACTATAAGAAAGATTGTGGATTTGACTGAGAGAAATAATTAATGTATTATTATCTAAAGAGAATCAGCAAGCATATCAAAATCGTCAATCTTTCTAATAGATTTGATTGTCTTATTCATCTTCTTCAACATGCTGAATGGCAACTTTAATCCCTCCATTTTGAAAGAGGTTGGATTCTCAAAGATGTGTTTGTTGAGCTTTGTTATTAAATTCCACATATTCTTTCTAAAGGTGCTTCCCATTAATTTGGTATCTCTGATTATCATATCCTTAACACCTTCCTTGATGAGGGGTGTTACTTGTAAAATGTTCAATTTTCCACCCTTCTTGGCATGTTCCTTGAGGTATGGAACTACATTGTACAATACTTGCTTCAAATTCTTTGAAATTTCCTTTGTGGAATTACCAGATGATTGGAAGGAGATTAAAGTGATCATCTTGAGAGCTGGTTTCATTTCTTTTCTGAGCTTTTTGTTGAGAACTCTGTGAGATGGTGACCACTTTCTCAATTTTCTTTCCAATGGCTTGGAAATAAACTCACGATCTTGATCCAATTTCTTCTTGATGGAGACGTCCTTGATCATCTTGTGAACATCACGCCAGTAAGCAACATCTTTTGGAGAGGTTTCTTTCTTTGGAGATTCAAAGTTTTCTTTAATCATCCTCTTTACGTTGATCCAATATGTACGATCAGATTCTTTCTTTTCATCAACTAAACCATAAGGTTTCTTCATACGATCTTTACCAAATGATTTGATAAGAGAAGATACTTGTCTCCAGTACTTTTTGTCTTCTTCCTTTTTGTTATCTTGTGGTTTTCTGAATTCCTTCATCATGCCCTTAACTTGTCTCCAATACTTTCTGTCTTCTTCCTTCTTGGCATCAACAGGTTGCTTGGAATCTTTCTTTAATTCCTTGATCATTTTCAAAACATCTTTCCAGTATTGTTTTTCATCGACTGTTTTAAATTCTTGTTGAGAAGATGATTTCTTTGGAACATTAGTTTCGTTTGATGTTTTGAATTGCTTCATCATATCCTTAACTTGTCTCCAGTAGAGAGCATCCTTATTATTGACTTCTTTTACAGAATGATTCCACTTTCCTTTAACAAATTGCTTGTGAGCTCTTCTGGAAATTTTCAAAAATTGTTTCCACAATGATTTTTCTGGCATTGTAAAATTAATGTCAGAACTCAAATCCTTTACAAAGTTTCCAAAAACATTCTTGAATTTACCAAAAATCTCTGGCAAATACTTTTTCATTTCACCATTAAATTCCTTTCTTTGTTCCTTAACAACCATTGGTTCTGTCATGTTACTTCCAACAACAACAGTCTTGATGATTACTTTCATATGTGGAAGAATATCTTTCATTCCATTGACAAAATTATAATCTTTACAAAATATTATATATAAATTAAACATCCACAACTCTAATAAAAACACTTACCAGCAAGAATAGTATTGTCGTGAGTAAACTTTTCACCCAATTCCTTCATTAATTTTCCTCTTGACAACTTGGCCAAGATTTTCAAGAGTTTCAAATCGTGTTTGGTTATGGAATTTTCTAGTTGTTGTTGTTGTTGTGTAGTAGAATTGGCAACAACCAACCAGCAGCAAGAACACAACATCAGTACAAGGACAATCAAGCCTACAACTGTGCGAGTTGACTGTTGTTTCGAATATTTCATTTTTTTTCAAGATGATAAATCCAATATTATAATCTTTGATTCTATTAAACACATTGATAATAATTAATATTAATTGGATACTATTAATATCTTATTTTCAACATGATGTAATAATATGCTTTGTTTTACTTGAAGATTGCGATTATGAAACGACGAAAAATTCGGAGTTTAAAAACACGCTCAAAATAAAATCGCAAAATAATCATGGTGAGTTTTTTATTGGTTGATGTGTTGATGGAAAATTAATCATCTTGATCGGATTTTATATGGTGATAATGATGTTTTTATGTAATTTGTTGGATGTTGTTGTATGATATATTTATTATGTATTGCTTTTTAGAGGATTGTTGAAACATTTCCCAGCACACACAATTATTATCTACACGATCTAAAGTATGATTTCTATGGAGAGCGTATTGCCTCTTGTTCCAGTGATCATCATATTAAAGTTTGGGATAAAGTAGATGTTGCTACCGTGAATAATTCATCACAGAGTCCTAATACAAATAATAATCTTATTAATCATCAATATTCGGATCCAAGTAAATCAAAAACCTGGAAATGTGTTTATGATTGGAAAGCACATAATGGAAGTATTTGGAAAGTTGAATGGGCTCATCCAGAATTCGGACAAGTTTTAGCTTCATGTTCCTATGATCATACTGTTAGTATTTGGGAAGAACCGCCTGCAAATACAGGACCTGCTAGTGGTTTAGCACCATTGGTTATATCACAAGGAATTATTGGACAACCTTCATCAAATCAATCTAGTACTGTTCAAAGAGTTGTTTCTTCAACATCAAATATTATTCAAAATTCATCATCAACTTCAAACACAACTACCAATGATGGAGTTGATGGAAATACATCACCAGTTTCAAATGGAGTAATTGTTGGTGGAGGAATGGATCATTCATCAAGTAGTGGTAATTTGCCAAGTTCTTCCAGTTCTACCAACTTGAATAGTGTAATGGTTGGTGGTAATGTAAATATGGTCAATAATTCTACTGTTCAAAATACATCACCTAATCCTGTGAATAATCCTCATGCATCGAGAAGATCCTGGCTTTTGAAGGCAACTCTTGTCGATTCCACTGATGATGTTGTAGATATTAAATTTGCACCGAAGCACTTGGGGTTAAAGCTTGCTACATGCTCTCTATCAGGGAAAGTTCGTGTCTATGAAGCTTTTGATGTGATGAATCTTGCTCACTGGAGTATCGGATTTGATTTTGATGCTAATAATGGAGGAAAAATTCACTGTATGAGTTGGTGTCCATATAGGTTTAAAGAACCAATGATGGTTATTGGATGTGAAGATGGTAAATTAAGAATTTGGCACTATACACAAAATAGAAAATGGCAAGCATGGATTCCGTCACAGGTTATTCCTAATGCACAAAATATCTCACAACTAGTTGGATACACACCAGGTTCTGTAGCCTTGAAATCCATTGTTGTGAATGAAGGAAATATTACTCAAGTCATTCCTTTAATTGGTCATTCACAACCAATTCATGACGTATCATGGGCTCCAAATTTAGGAAGATCTTACGATTTAATTGCATCAGCATCTAAGGATGGCTCTGTAAGAATTTGGAAACTCAACTCTGAAACGAAATCTATCGAGTTAATGGACATTGATGAAACACACAAACACAATTCTGAAGTTTGGAAAGTTGAATGGAATTTGAGTGGAACTGTTCTTGCTAGTAGTGGAGATGATGGCTCAGTTCGTTTGTGGAAATATAATTTCGAGGAAAAGAAATGGAAATGTGAATCAGTAATAGAAGGAGCTAAAAAAGATCACTAACTTTACATTAAAATAATAATTTAATTTTTTGTTGCTCCAACCATTTGTCTAGTTACTAATCTATGATAAATTCCATCAACATCATTCTTCAATAATTCTTCGTGAGTACCAACTTCTTTGATGGAACCTTCATCCAAAACAACTACATAATCTGCTGTCTTGATTGTACTCAATCTGTGTGCAATAATAATGACAGTTCTATCTGCCATAACTTCTTCTAATGCCTTAGAAACTAAATGCTCGCTTTCACTGTCAAGAGCTACAGGATATTAGTTTTCAAAATGCAAATATTAAAACTTACCAGAAGTTGCTTCATCCAATGCCAAAATCTTTGGATTAAGGAGAATAGATCTGCAGAGACTTATTCTTTGACGTTGGCCACCAGACAAACCCATTCCCTTCTCACCAATTCTTGTATTGTAACCATCTGGGAATGACATGATGAATTCGTGACTGATTAAAAGTTATAACATATTGTTGTGTTTGTTCAACTTACCAGTTAGCTTTCTTGGCTGCCTCAATAATTTGTTCCATTGTTACTTCAACTCCTTCTGGAATACCATATCTAATATTTTCCTCAATAGTCATATCGAACAATACTGGTTCTTGCGAAACAACACCAATATGTGTTCTGAGCCATGTAGCATCCAATCCTCTAATATCTTCCCCATCGATTGTAATTAAACCATTGTCAACGTCGTAGAATCTGCTGAGCAATGATAAAATAGTACTCTTTCCGCTACCACTCATACCAACAATAGCTACTACATCACCTGGTTTGATATTAAGATTAAAGTTTTTCAATACTTGAACTTCCTTTCTTTGAGGATAAGAAAATGTGACATCATTAAATACAATATTTCCAATAATTTTGTCTAATTGTTTTCCGTGATCTCTACTAACTTCTATTAATGGTTTTTGGTGCATTAATTCGAAAATTCTTTCACTAGAACCCATTGCTTTCATAACATCACCATATACTTGACTCAAATTTGTAAATGAAATACCAACATAAATGGAATAGAGAAGGAAACTTGTTAATTTACCAACAGTTAAAGCTCCAGAAATAACATCAAAACCACCTATAAAAAATATTAAAAATACTACATTGTTTTAAAATACTGACCTAATGCTAAAACAGCAATCATTGACATGTTAGCACCAAAATTGACAGCACTATAAAATACACCTCTTGCAATACCAAGTTGTCTTCCTGAATTGAAAACATGTTCAATTTTATCTTCATAGTTTTTGACTTCCTTCTTTTCTGCAGAGAATAATCTTACAGTTCTGATATTTGAAATTCTTTCCTGTGCAAAGGCAGTACTCTTTGCAAGTTCATCCAAATAGCTTTTAGAGAGTTTTTTTACATATCTACCATATACTACAGCACCAATACCCAAAAGTGGGAATATTGAAACTGCAACTCCGGTAACTAAAAATGGATTAGTTAAATGTAGTGCTTCAACTTACGTTTGAAACTGAGGAAACACAATAAAATTATACCGCCTGATGCTTCCACTAATGATCTCATACCAGAAATAATGGTATGTGTAATTGTTTCACTAACTACTTCAACATCTGTACTCAATCTATTGACCAATTCTCCTGTTTTTGTATTGTCAAAAAATTGAACATCTTGTCTCATATATGAATCAAATAATCTCTTTCTTAATCTTTTTTGAATTTTTTGACCTGCTGTTTGAACAGCTGTATATCTTCCAATCACAGCAGCTGCAGAGACAGCAAATAGACCAGATAATCCATATCCGATTAATTTTAATTGTTCAGTGGCTTGTTCTGGAGGAAGAGCCAAAGTATCTACAAGTCTACCAACTCCAATCGGCAAAATTAAAGAAACAGCAGCACTCACTGCTAAGCAAGCCATACCAGTGGCAAGTAATTTAGTTTCTGGTTTAGCAATTTCTATTAATTTTTTAATAACTGATAATGATGGTTTTGTTAATTTTACATTTTCTTCATCCTTTTTAATTTCCTTCTCCACACTTTCTGCTCTCTTTACAGTTGTACTTGTAAAATTCCTACTACTATTATTTTCCAATAAAACAGGCTTATTAAAAATTGATTTTGAATACACTCCACTATTATGAGAGAGTGATGACGGAGTACAACACACCGATGATAGTGTATTATTATTATTATTACTATTGATCAATAATGATTGGAAGCCTTTCGATGATGGGATTTTCCTTCCCACAAATCGGAGCATTTTTTCAGACTTGTTGTTTTTAATAATTCCATCAACCAAATTGATTGATATCAAATGATTTTCATGTTTTGAGTGAAGAACCTGTTAACTATTGTATCAAATGGAAGGTCTATTGTGTGTTTACATGCTATGGAGTGTGAAGCAAACAACCAAAATATAGGGTTGTAGAGTTTCATTGTAATTTCTGAATGGTCATGTAAAATTTCCATTTCTCGAAGGAAAAAAATGTTTAACTTGAATGATTATCTGAATAGTTTCAAGGCCAAAGGGGCATCAGAATCTAGAAAACGAGGATTTTTACAACTCTACTCATCCGAATACATTCAACCAAGTAAATATTTACTAATTTCCGAAGAAGAAAACAAGACAGAAGAAACAACTCAACCATCGAATGATGATAAACAACAGGTTGATGACGTTCAAGAAGAAGAGGAATTCAAAGATCATCGTTCGGCCATCAAGATTATTCCTGAGAGAATTCACTCCTCCGATCATGATAACCTTCATCAGAATAATAATTTAATTGTTGAAGATTGTTGGAGGGTCATCTTTGAATTCTGTCAAGCTCCAGAGATGAAGAGTATGATCTTGGTTTGTAAGAATTGGTTTCACCTATTCCTTCCACAATTAAAATCATTTATAGAGACGTGTCGTGTTATGTACGATGAAAATGTGCATTTGGAAGAATTGAAACAACATGTTGAAAATAATGGGGATAGTGGCACGATCGCTGATGGTTTGTTTACTGAATTGGCAACTTGGAAGGCATATTTGTGTTATGATGATTTGGATGAGAAGGAGTATTCTGGGTTGAGTTGGGATAGAATTAATGACAATCAGGTAGAGATTGAGATTGAAGGGTTGAACTATAGACAAAAGGTTCTTCCGTTTGGAGTTCCACTTTGTAAGGGAACTATTTCAGATCAGTATGAATTGGTTTCGAGTGAAATTGACACTAAAACATATAGAAAAATGATTGAACAATTTATGGGAATTCCTCACTCAGAGCAAGGAACTATTTGCTTCAACCCGTTTGAGTTGAGTGATAAGATGGAACAAGAGAAGGATATGGTGAATGTATATCTTCATGAAATCCAAGAGTCACTTGATACAGACACAGATGGTCCAATAGCTCTTGATGGAAATGTAATCTACACTGATGACACTTCTTATACCAGTGCACAGGATTCTTCTGATTTTACATTTTATGCTCTGAGATCAGGCATTAAAAGATTGGCCAGAAGAGGTGGTATTAAGTACTTTGAACCATCAGTAATTGAGGATATGTTATATGAATTGAAGAAGGTAATTCATTTAACCCTCAAAGACGCCTACGAGAAAAAGTTTCCAAACAAGACTGAAGAATTGAAATTCGAAGAATCCAGGTATCAATATGATACATATCGCATCGATCCATACGATGCATATTGTCCAACATTTGATGATAATATTGATACTGACCTCAAATTAAATCATGAGGAAATTTTAGAATCATTCGAAAAGGTTACTGGCTTGAAAGTAACGTATGCTACTGTAGAAGATCCTTATGAATTGAACGATTCAGGTATGAAGGAGTATTACGCAAAAGAACACGGTACTCAATCAGTCCATGAACTAGAGGTAAATTCTAAAGATTCACCATTAAAAGGCGACGGGAATGAATTAGAAGGACCAACAACTGCTGGGGACACACCAAGTGAGGATGAAGAATCGGAAGAAGATCTTGAGATATCAGATGGTGAAGATTCTGAAACAGAAGAAGAGGACGAGCCGAGTCAGAAAACAATCACTGAGCAAAACTTTATTGATGATAGTGAGATTTACACTTTTGATTTGGACAATCTTGGGGATTCTCTACAAGATGAATTAATGAAAGTTTCTATTCGAGTTCATGAACAAGTGTATGGAAAAGAAAGAGCTCATTCGGAAAAGCTCTATCTCAAACATTGGTATGGCTGTGGTGATTTATTCTTCCAGAATTGTTCGAAGGATTTGGATAATCCTCCTTCTATGCAGTTTATACCTCAACAAAAGACTGATGAAGCAATAATTGAAGGAGAAGCAAATGTTGAAGAAACGCCAAACGATGTTGAATCCACTTTTCAATATCCACAAAGATATCAAGTTATTTATGATGACGAAGTTTCAGTTGAAGAAGAGTTTCAAACAAATGAAAAGGAAACCCTTGAAAGTGTTTGTAAAGAAGATTTGGAATATTTTGGTTACACGCTCTATGATGACAATTTCGATGAGTTTCCAATATTTAATGGAGAGGACGATTCAGATGAAAATCTTGAACAATCTTCTGAAGAAGAATCTCTCCAATACCAACTACGAAGAATGCTAAGAGAACAATCATATCAATGCATTGTCAATTACTTTGCCTCTCATCAATAGCCTTCGCAAGAAATGAGTCAAGGCATTCCAATCTGGTTTCAGAATGGATGAGGATTTTATTTCACCTTGGTTTTGAGTTTTTGTTTAAACTCTGTAGAATACACTTGCTTTTCCTACTATCTCATTGAGCAATTCTACAAATTTATCAAGCACTTCTCCGTAATCGTATTTTGGATAGGTTTTGGCTGTGTTTGCAAGTTCAGTAAAAGTTGGCTTGTCTACTTGTTTTGAATATTGATCATAACGACTGAATTGTTGTTGTGAGTGGCTTGTCATATATTTGTGCTGATATACTCTTAAATGCCTTAACCACTTAGCCAATCCAAAGAAAATCCAAATGGTTATCAATAACACTTTCAACAGACAAACGTGAAAATGCGGAATTGTTATTTAATAATTAATAATATGAAATTGAGGAAGTATACTGCAGCGTTTACTTCAAGTTTGACAAAATTTTAATGTTTTAAAAAAAAATTGTTTGATGAAATTCAATTTAGGAGAGTATTTTGGAACAAACACTAGCTTAACTCGGTTTCTAATAAAGTCCAAATAGTCAAATTGATTATTGGATGCCTTTCTGATATCAACATATACAGGATGACCAGTTAATGAGGTCATTGAGTGATTGAATAAGTGAGATTCAATTCATCTTTGTTTTTGTGTTTGGTCCTGCTGGTTATTGCAAATATCTATTTTGCTTAGGTATTCTTGCTAATAATGCTAGTGTTTGTAATGGACGTGCATGTGGAGATGTTAATACCTTGTAACTATGGTGGAGCTAATTGCTGAACTCCAAAATGTTACAATATTTTGGCTTCCTCTCTTGATTCAACTGTTCGACCAGTTGTAACCAGGTATTTACTGCCAATAGCGCTTATGAAGTTGCAATTCCAATACCTTAACAATTAAAAATCGTCCAAGAGTTGCCTCTGCTTCTCAATCGTTAAATAAGCTTAATAACAATCAAATATAGATTTTTATAATGAAATTTCAATCTCCATAACATCAAGTTGCAAAATTTGAGAATCAAAAGGTAAGGATCTTTCAAATAGCTTGGCAAGCAAGGTACCAAATGATGGTTCAGTTCTACCAAAATCGCCATGAATAAATTCCTTTACATAAGTACCTGCACTTGTACAAAGATCCAAAACCATAGCATGAGAATTGATAAATTCTGTACACTTAATTGAGTGAATAATCTTTTTTCTAGTGTGGAGAGCTCTTCTGTGGAGTACTCTGAGTGGTGTCTTTTGTCCAATATCCAGGTCCTTAATAGATTCAAGATAATTGGTAACTTTCTCCTTGAGTGATGGATCAGTATCACTCGTCAACGCAGCTTCGCACCAAACAACACATCTGTAATTTTTTCTCTTTTCTTCTGCCCCTTCCTTCATCTTTTGGCATACAAGATTATTAAAGTGAACTTGGATAGTATGTACTTCAATAGATCCATTAGCTCTTTGGTTGATTGTGTTCTCAATTTCCTTGACTTGTTCAAGTGTAAAGTGACTTCTTCTTGGATTATGAATTGCAAAAACAAAAGGTCTACCATTACCCAACATTCTCACGTTCTTATCTTCTCTTCCAGAAGAGTCAAATTTGTAAGAGTCTGCCTTGGTATATTCCATAAAAGGTCCTCCAATATATGTATCAACACTTCTAGTATTTTGTTCATCCTCCTTTGAACCTCTCATTACCCACGGAGATTGTGGAAGTCCTCTTTCTAATTTTCTATAATATCCTGAAATATAGATGACTGAATGAGTACCAGACACTTTGATAAATTTTTCATCAAGTTTCACAGATGTTTCAGATGAAAAATCACTCAAATCATTATTCCATTCAGCTGGTATTTCTGACTGTATAATTGTATCAAGTTCTTCCAAAGATTTTAATCTCAAAACACTTTGAAGATTTGAATTTTCTCTTCTATCAATCTTGTTCTTTTTTCTCTTTTTCTTTAATGGAGATAAATTCTCTTCCACAACTTCCTCCTTAGAATTTGCATTCATAATAACATCATCATTAAATTTAACTTCAATCATAAGTGGTGCAGTTTGTGGATTAGCTTTTAATTCATGACCTTTAGCCTTCATTGACTTTTCAAATATATCGGAAAGTGTAGTTTTCAAAAGCCTCTTTCTGTCAAGAGGTGGTTGTGAAGATTGTAAAATCTTTTTAACTTGCTCCGATTCCACATGTTTTGCAAGTAAATATTTAAAACAATGTTCTCTAATATGAAAATGATTTGAAAATGTTAATGAAACATGGAATTCGCTCAAATATTCAATATCATATTCATGATAAACTTTTTCCATTTCATTAGGAAGTCTTCCGTGAAGATATTCATCTTGAAAAGCACCAAAACAAATCTTACATCTCGATGATGAAAGTAAACAAACTTGTTGATGATGATTAGGAAGAAGAGTTTCAACAAGTTCCTTTTCATTCTTTGAATACATGGCAATATTCATCTTGAATAAATCCAAATAACATAAACCACATCGGATACAACATCCTACTTCACTGGCCTTGTTAATAACATGAAGAATTTCATCCTCAGGAAGTGAACACATTTTTAATTGTTTTTTAATTTCTTCAATAATTTCAATTTAATAATTAGAAGTGCAAAGGAGAAATTGAACAAAACATTAGAACAATCGGAATGGTAATATATTGAATTTTAAAAAGTTATGGTTGATGATCTACTTAATATTGGGTAACACTCTTCAAATGGATTCATTCCCTCTTCATCTACTAGACTTGCTTTATATTTTCAACCATCAGTTCTTTTAAATCCATCAAAAGCAACCTTCCTAACTCACACTGAATCCTCCTCCTCAAACAATCCATTCACTTGCCAACCAACTATCATAACTGCCGTTCAGTCTTGTCTCTTGTTATCCAGAATCCTACGGCTGTGCTGTAAAACAATAGAAAACCCTACACCACAACAAGATACAAAAAATGTTCTCCACATCATTTGCCTTGCCAAGATCGAACAAGAATACTTGGAAGATGATGATGAATACAAAGTCTTCCTGTCAACAACAGCAGAAACAATATAAAAGTTCAATGATGATGGTTGTGGTCAGCATGATGATTGTTGCAACAACTTTTGTATTATTGGTTGGAGGAGTAAATTCAAGTAATACACCTTCATCAACATTACCTTCATCGATGAAGATTTGGATATATTTTAATAATAAGGGAATTGATGAGAAGAATTCACGATCGTCTTTGCATCTTCCTTCGATCATTGATGGAAGAATAACAAAACTTAAAAGTTTAGCTTCGGAAAGCTTGGAAAAACACTTTCCTACAAGTGTTCCAATCAGCGAGAAGGCACTTGCAAGAAGACGTAAAGTTGTTCAAGAATCAATTTCCTTGAAGAGAGATGTTAGTGGTGAGGAATTATCACTCTATTCAATTCATGATGTTCCTATTGTAGAAGAATACGTACAAAAGATTGTAAATATGTTAAGACAAGATCAAAAAATTGGAGCACGTAGTAATTGGTTGAATGCCATTACAGTTTCTGATGTAACACAAGAACAAATTGAAAAGATTCAAAAATTAGCATTTGTAGATAGAATTGAAAGAGTTGCCACTTTCAAAAGATCAAACTTAGAGGAAAGAAATCAAAAGGTTGTTAATACAAGACATGTAGCTGATGATTCTAGTTATGGAGTGGCTTTCAACCAATTAAATCAAGTGAATGTTGTGGCTACAAGAAATATGTATCCTGAACTAAATGGAACTGGTATCACAATTCTTGTTTGTGACAGTGGATTCCACCTTCAACACAAAGCACTCAAATCAATTCATATTACTGGACAATATGACTTTGTAAATAAGGACACTAATACTGATAACGAAAGTGGAGAAGCAGCTACAACTTCTAATCATGGTACACAATGTTTATCTGCTATTGCTGGTTATGATCTTGGTAATTTTATGGGACCTGCTCCAGGCGCTTCAGTATTATTAGCTAAAACTGAAGATGTCAGAACTGAAACACAAGTAGAAGAGGATAATTTTATTGAAGCTATTGAATGGGGAGAAAGATTGGGAGCAGATATTGTTAGTGCCTCACTTGGATATACTGATTGGTATTCACATTCAAAGAAGGAATTTAATGGTGTCACTTCACCACTCACTAGAGTTGTCAATATTGCTTCTCGTTACAAGGGATTAATTATGGTGCTAGCTGCTGGAAATGAAGGTGCAGGTGGAAGTAATACTATCGGAACTCCTTCGGATGGATTTGATGTTATCTCAGTTGGATCAGTGGATGTTAATGGAAAAATTTCATACTTTTCAAGTAGAGGACCTTCCGATGATGGAAGAACAAAACCTGAAGTTAGTGCAAGAGGTAGCTCAACATACTTGGTTTCTCCAAATACAGATAGTGACTATTTAACAAGTTCTGGAACAAGTTTTGCCACTCCAATTGTTGCTGGTTGTGTTGCATTAATTCTTCAGAAAAATCCAACCTGGACTCCATATCAAATGAGAAAAGCAGTCATGATGACAGCATCCAAAAATACTGAACCAGGTAATGATTTAGGTTGGGGTATTGTCAATACTCTTGATGCTATGCGATATATTCAATCTAATTCTTCATTTGAATCAACATTCAATGATTCACCAACTTCTTGCCCAGCTACTACAAATTTAGGACCTGTTTATAATAGTGAATGTGGTTGGAAAGCCAATAGGGGTGTATGCTTTAACGGAGAATGTAGATGTTATCTTTCCTCAACTTCATCATGTGACATTCCATCATCAGCTTCTTCCATCACTCTCAAATGTGGACTTCATAATTGTAAGAGTGGTATTTGCTCTAAGGATGAATGTCAATGTTTCTATGGTTGGGCTGGTATTGATTGTAGTACTCAAGGAAATTTATCTAATACTTTGAGTGTTAGTATTTATGGACTGATGTTCATTGTTTTACTGCTTACTTTATTGTAAATTTTGTGATATTTTAAATTATTGAAATCAAATATTGAAAACAATCGTCAAAATAAATTAACTGTTTTGGTGTTTTTGTGTTGACAACTTATTGCCATTCTTATACAAGCGCAATCACAGCTGTCAAATTTGTCACAATCTTCAAGTTTCAACTAAAAAAATGTCTCTAATCACACTCCCGAAGATTATTGTCAAATTATCTTCAGAAACAATCTACCTAGATAACGTTTCATCAAACAATACTAACTACAAACAAATAACCTTTCTCAATATTCTTGACTCTCTTCAGGAAAAGTTACAAATCCTTCTGCCAGCCAAATCTCCTGACAGCTCAATTTCTAAAATCTTTTCAGAGTATGCCTCCACATTCTCTCAATCACCACTCGAAAAGGAGCAACAAGTTTCATTCCTATTGTGGTGTGTTAAAACCAAACAAAAGAAGAATTTTCTGACTAACATTGGAAGATCCTCACTCAATCTCAAAAAGAAAATTATGAATAATTCGTCATCCACAACTACCACTACTGCTCCATCGAGTACTGTTTTGGATTCTAATCTTCCTTCGAATAGTCAATTGTCTGCCGATAATTTATTCAATCCTCCTGAGCAACAAAAGGGGAAAATCAAAAAGAAGATGGTGAAAATGTCAGATACTGTTTTCAGTTATGCTGGAGAATGGTAAGTTATATACTTGTTTCAAATTATTGAAATTCAAATGTTCAATTCAAATAGTACTAACATGGATCAATTATGTCATGTATTATCTTCCAATGAATTCCTTTCCAACGTAGATCATATTAGTGATGATTTTCTCTTTATTGAACTGAATCCTGCCATTGATTTGTCAAGAGTTTGTGTTATGAATCTCTCTCCAACAATGGTCTGCCTCAATGAAACTCTCTTCAATATGCAACAATATCACAAACAATTGGAAAAGAAGGAAGACAGTACACGAAAACCAATTTGTGGAGATTTATTAGGTAAGGAATTGTTAAATCCCATCAAAGTTCCATACATTCTCAGAGTTTGTTTGAAATATTTGAGAGATAATAAGGGTGTGAAAACTTTGGGAATATTCAGAGAGGCTGGTTCAAAGAGAAGAGTGTTAGAGTTGTGTAAATTGTTTAACAGTTTTATGGCATTCCCAGAAATGTACAATGATTTGGCTATTGAAATTCCACAAAGTTTTGGTGTGATGGTAGTTGCAGATTTAATCAAACATTATATTAGAAACTTACCTGAATGTTTACTCACATTTGACAAGTATGAGGAGGTAATTGAAATGTTTACTGGAAGAACTCCTGAAAAAACCAAAACTCTTATTGATAAGGTCAAACTTCTCATGATTGACCTTCCAGAATGTAACAAATCGATATTGTCAGAGCTCATGAATTTATTACATGAAATTTGTTGTAATGAAGAAAATGTGACACTTACTAAAATGACAAGTAAGAATATGGGTATCGTGATTGGTCCTAATTTACTCTACCTTCCATCAGAGAGCGATTCAAAGAAATTGAACATGGATGAATATCAAAGATTTTCTCTTAAAACTCAACTCAAAAATCAACAACAAACAATCGCTATTGTTTGTGATTTTTGTCAGTTTTTAATTGAAAATTATGAAGCAATTTTCAAAAAGACTACAACCCATTCTCAACAACCAGTTTCCTCCCAAAAAGATGTAAAATCCAATAAGAAACAACAAGATACTACTTCCAACTCAGAAGTCGAACAAGAATTATTACAAAAAATACAAGAAAAGGATCAACAGATATCTCAGTTGAAGAAGGATACTTATATGACTCTTCAAAAAGAAAAGATCATCAAACAGCTTCAAGCAGAAAATGTTCTTTTAACAAAAGAAAACAAACAATTGAAGAATCAGATAGAGGAACTCAATAAGGAGGAAGAACAAGTTGAAGAAACTCAAGAAAATGAAGAGGTAACAACAAGTGAACCAGAGTCATCTTCCATTTCATGGATGAGTTCATTCCTGATCATTTCTACTATAGGAATGATATTGTACTTTTATTTTCCAGAGTTTTTTCAATAATTTTCAATAAACATTGCATTCGGTATGTTTTTATTTGTAAGCGTATGCTGATCATGATTATATTTTTAGATAATTTACACAACCCGCTGTAGTTCAATGGTTAGAATATGCGACTTATTCATTCCGCATGATCCAGGTTCAAGTCCTGGTAGCGGGTTAATAATCTTTTTAAACAATTTCCTTACATGTAAAAATCAATTTGTTTATTAAAAAATGGGAACCTCTCACTCTTCATTCCATCTATCAAAATATTTGCAGAGGTAATGACAAGAAACTCGCTAAGGCCATTATTATAGGAACGTATTCTGTTGGAAAAACAACATTTTTCCATGGCTTACAAGGATTATTTCCAATGAAAAAACTAATTGTCTCACAAGAGAAAGTTTTGAATCAAGTTTATATTTTTCATGCTCAATTATGTGGGAGAGATGGAAAATGCAAAAAGAAATTGAATCGAAATGGAATAAAGATGAAAATCAATTATTTGAAAATTAAGAAGAGATTATTATGAAAATTAGCTCTGAAACAATCTTTGATCCAAGTTCTATTCAAAACCCAATGTTCTTTCATTCCATCCAGAAAGATTTGAACAAGATTCAATTTATAGATATTTTTGGAGTAAACATGCATGAAAGAGGCAACTGGAATCGTTCATATGGTAATTTAAATATTGTCATTCTAATGGCCTCTCTTTCTGAATTTAATCAATGTTGCTTGATGAAACTTCAAGAGTGGATGAAGCGTTAGATACTGCATCAAGGGAGAGTATTTGTACCTATCACATTATTAATACAACAAACAAGGAAGATGTCAGAAGTGCCATTGAGCTAATTCTTTCAGACAAGGAAGATGTTTTTGTTTCTCCCTGTTGTTAACAAGAATATTTGCAATTCAATCAGTAATTGCAAACAAGGAAATTTAAAAGATATCTATTACCTGTGATTCTTAGAAATAATCCCAAAGATTCATACCTATTAATTTATGAAACTCAGTAAGTTAAAAGTTAGTTGGATGCACCATTAGTATTTAGTATCATTATAATATGATGATTAGGAACCAATCTCAATATTTTCATCAGATAATTGATAATGTACAAACCAATGTTGATATTATGAGGTCAATATTTTGTAAACAATAACTCCTTCAGATTATAATGATGAAATGTTGTGTATTTGCTCTAAAACAGGGAAATGCAACCATTAACTTCAGAGCCACAGCACGAATCTCTTTGACCTAACACGAATCCAACAAAACAGGTCATACCAATCCAACATAGTCCCAACATTGTAGGTTGTTAAAATCTTTTGTAGTTATTATAACTATCCATGTACGACTTCTTGATTCCAATGTTTATTTATGCTGATTACAATCTTTCATTCAAAAAGTGCCAATCACGCTCCTTTCAAATTTTCATCATCTAAAAAAAAAACAATCAACGAACATGAACGTTTCCAAGCAATTACTTGCTCTCTTGCTCGTCGCCTTGTTCGCAACTATTGCAGTCTCTGCTCAAGTTACTGAACAAGCTGATCAAGAATTGTCAATTTTCTTCAAGAATTTCTTGAAACAACAACCAGCTGTTGTTGAAGAACAAGCTGATTTGGTTCTTTCCCCTGCTCTCATCAAGAGATTGATTCGTACTCCTGCTAACTACATTTTGACTGATGAAGAATTGGCTGACAAGTCATTCTGGAAGAAGGCTTTGAAGGTTGTCGGTGAAATTGGAAAGGGTAAGTAGTAATATGAAAATGATGAGGATAACTGGTTATTGTTTATTTGATATTATCATCAATGATATCGTTTTGTGGACTGGAAATTATTTTTAACCGATGATTCTGATCTTCTGTCACTATTCGATTCTAATAACAATTTTATTCGAATCTCGATATCATCACCTCTGTATCGATAATCTTTACCTATCAAATATTTACCAACAGCTGCCATCAAGGATTACGTCAACAAGAACTGGGATGAAATTCCAGAAGAAGAAGCTGATCTCAAATTGGGTAAATTGTTCAAGGCTGTTCTCCCATACTTGAAGGAAGGTGCTAAACAATATATTAATAACAACTGGGATGCTGAAGAAATGGCTGACAAGAAGTGGTCTGAAGTCATCAAGACCATTTTGCCATACATCAAGGCTGGTGTTAAGAACTACATTGCTAACAATTTCGACGAAGAAGCTGATAAAAAGTTTTTCAGTTCAATCTGGAAGGTTGTTAAGGATATCGGAAAGAATGCTGCCAAGGATTATGTCAATCAAAACTGGGATGAAGAAATGGAATTGTCTGACAAATTCTGGGGTAAGGTCTGGAAGGTTGTTAAGGATATCGGAAAGGGTGCTGTCAAGTCATATGTCAACCAAAACTTTGACTCTGCTGCTGATGCTCAAAAGCTCAAGTTAGGTAAGATCTGGAAGAAGGTTTTGCCATACATCAAGTCTGGTGTTAAGGAATATATTAACAACAACTGGGACCAAAATGAAGAAATGTCTGACCTCAAGCTCGGTAAGATCTTCAAGAAGGCCGTTGGTATTGCTAAGGGTTTGGGTAAGGCTTATTTGACCTCTCAATTCGGTATTCCATTGGAAGATATGCCACAATCTGACAAGTTCTTGAAGAAGATCTGGAAGGTTGTTCGTGATGAACTCAAGAAGACTGGTAAGGAATATCTTAAGAACCTCGTTTCTGCTTCTGCTGAATACCAAGAAGAAGCTGATGCTGAAATCAAATTCAAGGAAATTTTGCGTGCTGCTCTCCCATATTTGAAGGAAGGTGTTAAGGGTTATATTAATAACAACTGGGACGAAGAAGCTGATAAGATTGATTATGAAAAGCTCTTCAGAATTGCTTTGCCATATCTCAGAAGACAAATTGATTAAATTGATTGTTAACTTTGGTAATTTCAACATTGTTTCTCTTATCTTTCCAATCTTACAAAAAGTATCTATCAGATCATTATTAGTACTGAGTACAACAAGGATAGTAACACGGAACTCCAATTAAAAAATGGCAGAACATGAAGTGGTGTTGGAATTGATAGATTTTTCATCATGTAATCATTTACGATCTTTCTTTTCATACACGCAACGAAAAAGAATCGAACAAATTGAATTTCTCTCCGATTTAGAAGAATGTATCGATCAAAACAGTAGAATTTCGTTTCTGGAGAATTACAAATTGAATGATGATGTAATTGATGATTTAAATTTTGTCAAGGAATTAATTTCCATTTCCCGTCACGTGCTAATTGTTTATAAACATTTTACAACATTCAATAAGGAAGAGTTAATTTACTGCAAAAATCTAATTAATTATTTGCGTTTAACTCAATTAAATATTCACAATAGAGATAAAGCTTTGGAATTGTTAAAAGTAGATTTGGAATATTATTTCATATTACCAAAATCAATGAAAGAAACATTATTGAATGATTTGTTGAGAATGGATACGATGAATAGAAATATATTGGCAAGACTTGATTTGAAATTAGTTATTAATGAAACTGAAATTGTTAAGAGTTTAGTTGGAGAGGAGTTTTTACTGAACAATTAATCAAGTTGCTTAGGAATGATCACGATCTGTGTTTGACAGCTCTCAGGTATGATAGGTCTATTCTTGGAATAATTAAGGATTGGTATGACTGGTTTGAGGATAAGCAAGCTCTGGATGCATTGTTAAATTCTAAATATGTGGAATGTTTTTTATATAGACCAATTTTGAATACTCTTAAAAGTAGATTTGATGATAATTTGGATTTTATTTGGATAATAATTGAAATGGAACCCAAATCATACGAGTATGCGTCTGAGAGAGTGAGATCTGATAAAGAAATGGCTCTGAGAATACTTGAATTGCATCCCTCTCTATATGTTCATTTTCATTCTTCATTGTTAAGTCATAGAGATATTCAAATGAAAATTATTCAGTTTAATCCTACACACTACTATTGTTTACCAAAGGGGTTCAAATATGATAAGGAATTTATTGTAAATGCATTGAACTATTCTGATGGCCGTGGAATGATTATTGCTGAAAATATTCCAGTAGAATTGCATTCGAATGAAGATGTCATTAATGCCATGATTGGTGCTGGGATAGTTCAATATTTGGATAAGTCCAAGTTGACCAGAGATCAAATTTTACAATGCGTAAAGGCAGATGGAACAACAATTGGATTTTTTGATGATTATATGGAAGATGTGGAAATATTGAAATGTGCCCTCAAACAAACTCCTTTTGCTTTAGAATTCATCCCAAAAAAGTATCAAACACTGGACATCATTTTAGAACTTCTTGAAATTTATCCAGATATTCTCAAGCACATTCCAACAGAATTTAAAAAACTTGATTGTGTTATTGAAACAGTCATTCGTTCCCCAAATTTCAAAGCTCACACCATTTCACACCTTCCAGATAATTACACATACTCGAGTGAGGAAATTTTACTGACCTTACTGCTAAAATCGAATGCTAATGCCATCATGAAAATTTCTCCAACTCAACTCCTTACTCTTCCCAAATCCAACATTATTTCATGTCTCAGATTAAATGGTAAAATCTTTCCAGATCTTCCTCCACAACTACAGCAAGATCCCCATCTTCTCAAAACAGCAATCAAGCACGGATACAGACCACCTCGTAAATAACCATCACATAAATCAACCTAACCACTTGACTAGTCGAAATTTGAAATTGTTCTCAAGTAAACAGTTAATCATAAAGCAATATTCAGAATTGCACACCATAAAAAAAATACAAAAACTCGAAATTCTGTGTTTTATGCATTTTTAAAAAATTTCGGGAATGACGAAGAAGCGATCAGCTGAAGAAGAGCAACAGGAAGAGGCAACAAGTCTGGAATTTGATGAAGAGGATGATCGTCCAATGGAACCATTATCTTCAAATCAAGATGAACAGCAAGAACACTTAGAGGCACCTTCCGAGAATCAGCATGATGAGCATGAAGAAAGAGATCCCATTGATGAAGAAGAGGATTTTCTATTGAATGGTGATATTATGGACACTCCAAGCGTGGCTTCAGCCTTTAGTGATGAATCGGAAGCAACACAACACGATGCAACAAAACAAGCCTCTGATTTTGCAATGGATTACCTTCTCTCACTCCGATACATTCTAGAGAGAGAAAGAGCCTTGAAAAAGAAGAAGCAAATCATTGGAAAGGTACACAAAATTATATGGAAGAGGTATCATGAACCTAATTATCCTCAACATTTAAGCACTGCTGGAGAAAATCAAAGTCATTTCATTCACCTTGTCATGGATGAAATTGCCACTGAAGAGGATATCATTAGAATAACTCGACAATTTGGACCAATATTACTTGGATTGGAAATTAGAAATTGTTTAAAGAGGAAAGTGAAAAAGAATCCACCAAAAAAGAAGAGGAAAACAAAGAAGGAGGAGGAAACAGTTGCTGTTGTTGAAGAAGAGGATTTTTCACACCCTGTTTTAAGCTCAATTGTTAAGAATTGTCCAAAACTTGAAATTTTGAAAATTGATGGAAATTCCTTTACAACAGAAGAAGTGCAATTTAACAATGTACTTTCTTTACCAAATTTGAAAACCTATCATGGACCAGTTGCACAACCTAAAGATTCGAAAACCATTTCAAATAGATTGAGAAAGGTGAAAATCGAATCAGACAAAATCACACCAACCATGTTAAAATTCATTTCAAATAACAGCGAACGACATTTTAGGACATTACTTACAAATGCAGAAACTTCCCTTACCCTTAAATCATTGCAAGATTTGTCTGAAGATTGTGATTTAACAAAAATTTCATTGAAACATGTTAAGTTTATTTCCTCCTCTAAAGACAGCTTGAGTAGTCATCTTGGAGAATTTGGAAGTTTGAAAACTTTAGAGCTTTTTAATGAGAACTCCATAGAAAGTAATGGATTTAAAAAACTTGGTTCTTTGAAGAATTTGACCCATTTAAATTTAACTCGATGTGATAATTTGGATGATATGGCACTTTCTACCATTTTGAGGAAATGTAAATCAGTCAAGAAGCTTATTTTAGATAATTGCTGGCAAGTTAGCGAAGAGTCTCTTAAGGAAATTTCTAATTTGAGTGATTTATACCATCTCGATACTACGGGTCTGAGAATTACGAACAAAGTTCTCAAAGTTATTGCAGACAGTGTTTCTAGTAATGAAAAGTTTACACATTTTATTTGTGAATCAAATTATAATGCTACAGATGAAGGATTACAAATATTGTTGGAAAAATTCCCATCACTCAAATATTTAAACCTTAATCGTTGGGAAAAGTTGACTGATGTTTCTCTGGAAAATATTGGAAAGTATTTGAAATGTCCAAAAAAGCTTGGCCTCATTCAAGGATTCAAATCTAAAGCAAGATATACATCTCAAGGATTAAGAAAAGCACTCACATCAAAATCTGTTACATGTTTAACTCTTCAATCAGTCGATGATATCAATCAAGCCATGACTGTACTTTCTGAATCAACTCCCTTGTTAGAGGAACTCTCTGTTAGTGGAAATGAAAATCTCAATGATGATGCTGTGGAAATATTATGTGAAGGATGTAAATATTTGCGTGTCATTGACTTCAGTCAGTGCTCATTATTGTCTGATGAGGCTTTGAATGCTGTTTCCATTTTGAAAAATTTGAGAGAGATTAATATTGTTGAGTGTGAAGAAGTAACTTGTGATGGAATTGAAGTTATGTTGGACGCTTGCAATTATGTTTCCAGAGTTAATATTAAGCCCGACTTTGCCTACATTGAAAAAACAAAACATCTTTTTTTGGAGCATTCTATCCGCTATGAAAAAGATGTAACTATTCAAATAAGGTAATAAATTTACATTTTATCATTGTTGCTGATGTTTTTGTACAAAGTTAGCTAAATCGTTGAGTCGTTTTTCTATTAAAGCAATCTTTTGTTCAAGATTTGCAGAGTCTTGATTCTTAGAGCTCGTTTCCACTGATAAAGCAGCTTGCGATAATGGTTTGCAAGCAAGCTGTGCTGATGAACCTTTCAGAGAGTGAGAATTAAGCTCCATAGATGCCCAATCCAAAGTCTTTGTTGATTGTTTAATTTTCTCGATTTGCTCACTTCCTGCACCAATAAGTTCATTCAACATATCCCACAAGAATTCCTCATCTCCACCTGTTTGCTCAAGAGCAATTTCCAAATCTATTGGTTGTACCCTATCCAATGATAATTCAATATGATGTTCAACAGAGTGAATCAATGCTGTAGTGTCTACTGGTCTTACAAAACTTTGTTGGCACCAATCGGTTTGTACAGAATTGGAAGAAATTGTAATTATAGGTATAATCGGAGATACCAATCTAATTTTTTGCACCAATTCTGTTGATTGTACAATATCGTAATTTAAAAGAATAATGTCTGCTTTTGACTTGACTAATTCACTCTCGGTTTTTGCTAATGTTGTTGATACAACTGTATAACTAAGTGAAAGTAAAGGTTGTTCTAATTTCTTTGCACATTGAGCACTTTCATCATCAATAATCAGGATGGTAAATCCTTTGGCTTTAGCGAAATGACTTGGCATTGATCCAGTGAGTACAGGTTTTTCTTGTGAATTTGTTGTAGTTGTTGTAGTGGAGGTTTTTGTTGTTGTTGTTGTAGTTATTGTATTTTTTGTTGTTGTTGTTGTATGGGTACTACTAATATCTTCTTTTTGTTGATTACTTCCCATGCCCGAAGCAGCTTGTGCCCTCTCTTCCCACAAGGATCTATTTTTTTGCAAAGTTTCTCCGAGTGTTGTGTTCAAGCATGAGCAATAAGTGATTAAATTGTTGAAAAGTGGTGCAGCAATGTAATCAATAAAGTTAAGCTGGGACTTTGGTTTGTCAACAGATCTTCTGTCCATTAGAGGAGAGATTGGTAATCCACGGTCTCTCTCACTGTCTCCCTGTAAGAAAAATTCTTCCAACAAGACATTTGACCACTTTTCAGAAACGTCAAATGGTCTGAGAGCATTACTGACGTCAGAACACTTTAAAATTACTCCCATCAGTTGGAGTCTATCTTCCTTACTTTCCTTAGAGAGCGTACCAGTTTGAAGTCTTGTTTGGAACTTGGTGAGAATTTCAAAGTGGTGAGACATGTCTGTACATAAAATTGTACTGATAACCAGTCTTCTGAACTCTTTGAATTCATCCTTGGAAAGATTGGAGCAAATATTATGTTTGAGAAGGAGGTAAAAGGCTTGTGATGCATGGTGATTTTCTAACACGCTAACATCATTGTAAATGAGAGCCAATTCATCCTTAATATTAATTAAATAGTTATTGTTAACTCCAGGATGTCCCACATCGTGCATTATGGCAGAAAACATCAGAGCAAACTTTTCCATTGGTGAAAACATTTGTGAAATTCTATCTACAAGAAGAAGGTGGTAAGCAAATTGAGTTACATCTACAGCATGAGTAAAATTGTGGTATGGGTTGTGTTTGTATGATTCTCTTACGACTGTTAATAAATCAACAAGTTCTTTTGGTGGAATTTTGAATGTTTCAATTAATCCCAAGTTTTCAAACATTTGGACAATGAATTGGATTAATTGATCATGTGAGTATTTCAAAGTATCAAATGTATGACTTCCTAAATCACCTGGTAAAGTGTTTTTGGTTACAATATCATCAACTTGCTTGTGATATAATGAAACTTGTTGATTAGATGCTGATGAAGATTGTGATTGCTCCTTAGTTTGTTGTGAATTTTTTTCGGTAGTTGGTGATGATTCATTAGATATTGGTGTGTTAGATTTGTTGCCATTTACATTATTGTCTCCTTCGTTCATGAATTCTGTTTGGAGCCATCTTCTAGTATTGTCGTCCAATTCTCCCTTTCTTAATAAATTGGAAAATGCTGGTTTATATAAATCCTTAGAACCTAGTGACCTAAGGACAGCAATCAAAGCTCCCTTAGAATTTTCAATTGAATACTTTCCTTCCATAAGATCAGCAATGGTTTTCATAACAACCTGCATTGGTGTTTCTACAGTATTATTAATTTGATTCTTAATTTCTTCCAATTCCTTTTCTTGCTCCTTTACACGAAGTGTAAGTTTCTTTCTATTGATTCTTTCATTTTGGAGCATTTCTTGATATGCTTTTTCTTTTCTGCGTCTGAGTCTGTCCTCAAGACACATATTAACTCTTCTTTTCAAAATTTCTAATTGAACAGGCTTTTGTAAAAAGTCTTCAGCTCCACTTTGGAAACATTGATTAATTGTATCGGGGTCCTCACTTGATGAAACCACTATTATCCAACGTGTTAACAAAAACATATTCATTAAAATACATACTAATTATTGGCATGTCTTCAGAGTAGGCTTGTCTGAAAATTTTAAGCAGTTGCAATCCATCCATATCAGGCATGAGTACATCTACAAGGAGAAGATGATAATTATTACCCTCTTCTCTTAACACTTCCAATGCTTGTTTACCTCCCTCGACAGCTTTCACTACATGTACGTTTTGTAGAGACACCATAAATGTAATGAGCGTTGTAAGGTCATGCATTAATGTCATACAATCAGAGATAAACATATTACATTCAAATGAAGATTACATACCTTGAAAACCAAGTTGTTCCAAGAGCTTGGTTAAAACTTGACGAGCTACCCGATCATCATCTACAACCAAAACTTTTTTTGCTCCTTCATCTTCAACAGTAATTGAATTTACCAAATCTCCGGAAGAGAGTCTATGTGTATCATTTGCAGTAGAAGAACTGCTGTTATTTGGTAATAGGAATTTATCGTCAGTCTTGTTATTTTCTTTTTGAAGCCAAGAGAAAGTTTCAGATTTTGTTTGTAAATTATTGTTGAATGGATCAACGCCTACTACTGCATGTCTTCTCTCTGGGCAGTGAGCATCTTTCCGAAATGTAGGACTCTCACTCTTCCCTGTGTTAATCATGTTGTTGATGTTGTGTTTGATGATGTTTTTTTATAATATATTATGTATTTCTTTGTACTTGTCTACTACTATTTCCAAGATCCCTATTGTATTATTTGTATTAAAGTAAAAATCTTTAAACCGTATTCCAATCTTTGTTGTTGATGTTTAGAGATGTTATAATGTTGGTGTTGTTATGAAAGCAAGGAGCCAAAGAAATGTTTACGTGTTGTTGTTTGATGCTGGACCTCCTTCTTATTTTTTATGATTGTGTCGAAGTAAAGTTCTTGCGTTTTTGGCTTTTTTTGAGGGGAATTGATAACGTTGCTGCTGGTTTGTGGTGAAGATTATCTCTCATAACTTGGAGTGAGGTGTCTTACGAATCTGTTGGAGAGGACCATTGGCTGTTTCAAAATATTAACAACGATCATCACTCAGGATGAAGAACAATTCATTTGTGATCGCATCAAGCAATTTTATATATCTATAATAAGAAACCCAGCTCTCCAAAAATAAGAGATCTTATTATAGGACAAAATGTTTCTAATATTGGAGTTGTAAAATGTTGGGGAATGATTTCAATCGGATATCATTTGAAAGGAGGCTTGTAAAAACGAGAGTTGGTAACAAGAAGATTCTTAAAGCGTTAAGTCATTAAAAAAACTCTCCTTAATTTCGTCCTTAATTCATGTGTGTTGATAATTTATTTCTGCTATTTCTGCATTGCAGATACAATATTCTGAACTGCACAGTACAATGAATTTAAAGCATTTGTTTGGAAATAATTATTTCTTCTTTTTTTCAAAAAGCAATTTGCTTGTTGTAGCCTTCAATGTAGGCTTTAGTTTGGGTACAGAAATACCTAACTTGGCTACCTTTTCTTCCAATGCATTTTGTGTATCATCAAAGAAACGTCTAATTCCAGGGTCTGATTCGAGAATGTTTCGATTATTCTTCTTGATTTTGACCATTTCCTTCTTGCACCACTCTAATTCCTCTTTGAGAGTGTTTCCCTTGTAGAGCTTTTGAGGTGTTTGAGGAGGTGGTGCTTGTTGCATTTGAGTAGATTTTGTAACTGCTTGATTAACTCCAATTAGAATAGAAATTAGGTGGAGTTTGAGAGAGGTGGTATATTCTTCTGGCAAAAGTCGGCAATATCTATCAAGTGATGTGATTGCATTATCCCTCAATGAAAATGCAGCCATAGTTGTTGAACAAACTTCAACTGCGTGCACAATGTGAGGTGTACCTGAGGTGAATTGAACTTCGAAAAACTCCATGTAAAGTTTAAAAGCTGCCTCTGCATCTCCCATCATGAATTTACAATCGGCCATAGTTTGCACTTCACTTGGATCCATTGGTACATGAAGACTGTTGAAGGAAACAGTGAGAGCATCAAGAGCTTGTTTAGCAAATTTGATTCTCTTCTGATCTTGAATCATTGCAGCAGTGGAAAAGAGAATATTAGCCTTATTATAAAGGAGAGGGAAGAATCTCAATTGTTGTAACGATTTAACTTGTCCCTTTTCCAAAATAATTCTTTCAGTTTTTAAGATATTCTTCATGTAAGAGTCAGCTTCAGTTCCAAAATCAAGAGTGAAAACATAAAAATTGTTTGGATCCATCTTTTGGGCTGAAAGGGCTAATTTTCTAGCTCTATCATGATCTGCATCATCATCTCCTTTGAATCCAACAATAAATGATTTGAGTGTGGTCATACAAGAATCCAATCTTAATGGTACACCAGTTTCCCAATCCAAGAATGTAAAGTCCTTCATTTCCTCCTTCCAAGATTTATCCCACACTCTAACAATCTTTTCAATCTTTTCAAATGAATCCTCATCCATTCTACTAAAGAAATGTACTACTTGATAGAATGCAAAAATGAAATAGTCTTCTTTTGCTACTTGAGGTCCTAACTCAAAAGATGAGTTGAGACCAGTATCTATCAAATCTTCCAATTCCTTATAAATGATGGTCTTTTTTGTTCTGATTGCTCCGATTCTATTGTTTTTAAACCTATCATAAACAAAATATTTCAACCATTTGATATCTTTTGATTCCAAGTCAAAACCTTCAACAGTTGGAAACTCGATTGAAGGATCTCCCTTCTGATATTTTTCAATTTCCTTCTTTTCAGTCAATTCCTCTTTAATAATTTCAATCAGGTATGGTCTCTCATGAGCCAATTTATGACACTCCTCTAGTACTTCTTCACAGAGTTGAGTTGGGCTGACATCCAATTTGTAGAAGTCCCTAAGTAAGAGTCTAACTTTCAATTTAGCAAGCTTGTAAATAATTGTTAATTCCTCTTCGGAAGAACTCTTGCTCTCATCATCCCAATGCTCCAATACCAGGTCATATAAATTATTTGTAGAGAGTACTAAATTTTGAGCATCTAAATTATTGGTCACTGTTGACTTTTCATTGGAAATCTTTTTCTGTAATAATTCTTCAAATTTAGATTCTAGTGATTTAACTTGTTGGAGAGCCTTGTGCTCCTCATGGGAAGGTTTAGCAGCATGGAATAAGTTACAAAATGTAGTATGATAATTATTTCTTTGCTCGGAAATTAATCCAAGTTTTGATGAGCAATAATTATTAACAAATACTCTGTTATTGGAGATTTTTGTGTGTTGGTGAAATAAATTATTCAACAATTTGACACAGTTTCTTCTGTGAGACATTTTTTCAAGTTGGTTTTTTATTGTTTTGAAGAACCACCTCCACATCTTTCAAATGTTGGGAATCCACAACCAGCCAAAATAGCAATAATTATAATTACAATTAAAATGATAATAATGATGACAATGATAACAATCAATCTCCAAATCATCTTATTTTTGAGTTTAACAGTTCCTCTCTTGAATTCATTGGCTTCAACGAGCATTTCATCTGATTTTTCATAGAGAGTTTCAAACTTTTCTCCTCTTTCCAATACTTTATCAATATTTTCAACCATACTTTCCTTAACTGTTTCTAATTTATCTTGTAAGGCAGTGATCTTATCAGCATTTGGGTCATTCCATTTATCCTATAATTTCAAATCGTGATTTTTAATCAAAGAAATTGGTTAATATTTCTTCATAGAGTGAGTTGTTACTACATACAATCTTTGCTTTAATAATCTTTCTATTTCCTGATGCTTGTCTCTTATTATTACTTTGAGAGAAGGCTCCTTCCACTTCATCGATGAATGCCCAACAAACTCTCTTCTTAGTATCATTTGAGGCTACACAGAAATAAATATATTCTCCACTCTTCTTGTAGTGAATTTCCAATCTTTTAAATGGTTATTAATTACTGAACAATTCAATGTACTTACTCGTCGGAGGTAAGTGTTCTCTTTTCTAAGGTATCCTTTGAAACCTTTCTCACAATCTTTTCCATGATGAGTTTAGAAAGATCCAAGTCTTCCTTTGGTCCATCCCCTAAAAGATTTACACCATCTGTAATCAGAGCATATTTAATAGGCATTTTGTTACTAGTAGTATTGTTGAGAGTTGCCGTTAAATGTACAACCTTAGAGTTTTATTTTTTTGTGAAAAATAAGGGTGATCCTTTTAGGCACTGGATACAATTTGAACCTTGACTTGATCTCATTTTCCCATGGGTCCTTTGTATCTATTCTATGACATTGCACAAATAGTTTACTCTATAGTGTAGAAAAGTGAGTTAGTGTGGTAGGCAGTATCAATCGATGAATGATTACTTTAGAGCACCATCATAGGTTTGATCGTTGCTTGCAAGTTGTGACCTCTTTCAGAAGCAAGCACTTTTTACCTTCATCTAATTGATCAATTTCGAATCAATAGAGATAGATAAATATATATATTTCTACTTGATCAATTAGATTACAAAATAGTACAGCAACCTCTTGGGGTGGTATTTTCTCGAATATTCTGTTCAATGTCAACGGATTCTCTTGCATCTTCATCGAGGAGACCTCCTCTCTTCTCCATAGTAAATGAGTCATGATAGAGACTTTCTTGAGTATTGTGCAATTCGTGTTGCAACTTTTCTTCTACCATAATCATTAAATCAGCATAATCTTGAAAAACTGCATGAAGGGAAATAATTGTCATGGCATCGTTCATAACAGTGGATGTTTGATATTTTACATAGTAATTGAGAGATCTTTCATTTTCCATCAGAAAACCCATTTTGATTAATTTGAAATCCAATAGCTTTGCATGGGAGACAAACGTTGATACAGAAGCATATTTTGCACCATTTTCAATACCGCCAAAGTCTTTCTCAGCTTGTTCTAATAAATTTTGTAGAATTTCCAATTTAAAGTGTTTTACAGTTGTTTCATTTAGATATTTTGCAATCAAATCCTTCATTCCGTTACTGCTACTATTATGACCATTCGGTAATAAATTAATAGTCAACGATCTACCCAACAAGCAATTCGGTACAATGCCTGTTAGCATCACTCTAATATTGGCAGTTGGTTGGTCATTTTGTCTGTTGTGGTGTTGTTGGTGTGACGACGAGGAAGAAGAGGATGACTCTATGGATGGACTTGTTAGAATTGGTTGGTGATGCATTTTTTTTAATATTAGAAAAATATTTGACACGATGATGGACAATATGTGTTTATGGTAACTAGTTACGTATTAATCAAATTTAAATTGATTTACAGTTCGTTCGAATGGTTTACAAATTGTAAATGTTGAGAGATTACAAAATATTGTGTAGTATTGGATGAACAGTAGGATACCACATTTCATTTATTTCCAGAATGATACAAGAAAATTCAGATGATAATAGACATCTCAAAGTTGTTGGTACTAGATAATTGTCATTACTTATTTTATAGCCTTGTTGTTTTAGGCTTTTTGATGGTTATGTTATTGTACTTGCTCAACAGGTTATTCAGGAAGACTTGTTCTCAATTCGTATGATTGGGAAGCGACTCTGCCAATTCATCTGCTTGTTCTGGACATGGTACTTGTACTGATACAGATACCTGTTCATGCTCAACTGGATACAGTGTAGATGATTGTTCAGTTTATGTATGTGCTGATATTCTTTCTACCAATGTGTAGTTTCAGTTAGAGCCTCGATTAGTTTTGTAATTGCCCCAGTTTGGCAATTTTTGCTCTTTGTTAATTGAGAAGTGAATAAAGTTTTGTGAGAAATGTTTTTTTAATTTATCAACACCATAAAATCAAATTGCTTGCAAACTTGATGTTATTAGATTTGTGAATAACCATATAAACCTGTATTAAATAATGTCAAGTTGACCAAATTTTCTTTTTTAAATTATTAAACCATTTGCAAACTTTTGAAATTGATTCGGAAAAGAAATGGGATGACCAAAAAGTGGCCTGCTTAATAAATAGAAGGGTGTTTGGAAATTCAATAAAGTACAGCAAAAAATTATGAAATAATTCTACAGAAGGCCAGTACACATGAATGGATGTGAGAGGAGCTGGATACACCCCTTTAAATACCTCAATATTCATAAAATACAGAACTATATTCGAAAGAATAAATAGCCAATATAAAGCAAAGCCATGATCTGTATATTTTCCAACAAAGTGAACTACTCCTCCTAATGACGCGGCCACACAAAATGAAAAAAATAGAGTGAATAGTGTCATTCCCATACATCCCAATACTTTCATGAATAGTGAATAGTCAGCCATTGTATTTGTAAACAGATTGGTATATTGTGAATAGGTATGATAAAATGATGAAAATCCAAATACTTTGTAATTACAATAAATGTAGGTAAGGATTGCAAATGAGAAAGTCAAATCCTTGGTAATACTTTTAAGAATTCTGTACGAAAGAAGAGTTTTCATTGGAAAGGAAATTTGTAAATCAAATGGTTCGCATGTAATATGAATGGATGATGGCATGTGGCAATATTCATAAGTTGGATTGATTAGGGGGTAAACTGGTGTAATGAAATCATTCAATTTCTTCAATCTCAACACAACCTTTCTATTCTGAAATTCAAATAATTGTCTGGAGACAAGTCGAGTTGAAAAGTCACTATGTAAAAACCTCTTATTCAATGCATTTTGAATAATTACACCATAGACAGTATCCTTATCATAGTATGGTTGAATTCTATTATAATTTTCGGCACAAGTTTCATAATTACATGTTATTGGTGGCATACTAATAGAAGATTTCGATTTTGAAATTTCAAAAATTGTAAAATTATTTCCCTTATCACACCTATAACGATCGTCATATAAATCACAATCACATAAATATTTCTCATTGATGTAATTATTCCTCAAATAATCTATCAACTTGTGATAACATTTCAGTTCCAATTCTAAACTAGTTTCATCTTTCCCAATCATTGATTTGACAGTAAATTTAATAATAAATTCCCAATCGTGACCTCTATTCCTATTCAAAAGTAAAAAATTAAATTTTAAATATAATTTCAAACATTGAATTAATTCCCTCCGATTTGCAATTTTTCCATTAGCCATCCTTTCTAATAATTCTTCCTCTTCAATAGTAAATAGTTTAATTTGGATAGTTTTACGAAAATGTAAAGTGATACAATCCTGTATCAATTGTACAGTCCACTCAAAAGGAGAAACTTCATCAAATGGAAGAAACTTTTCATACAATTCACAATTTACCTGTGAAATTCTAAACACATCACATGGATTTAAATATCTACAAATTTCCAACCAATTATCGGAAGACAATTTCATCAATGGTTCGCTACTCTGATGAGAGCCATCCATCAACTGATCAAGAGAAATCATTTTTTTGCTTATTGTAAAATATCGCAACAAGTTCTACAATCGATTGATGGTGCAGATATCAAGTTGATGTTTCAAAATCTTCAATTTATATTTTTTCAGTGAGTTATATATTAAAATTCGGGTCCATAAACACGATTTAAAGATGAATCGATTACATGTAAAACTACATGGATGTGTTTCTGGTGCTTAATATTTGAAAATAACAATCTTGGTCCATGTTGCTTGTTACTATAATTTCTAGGAACAGATAAAGAATAACACTTCCTGGTAGTGCACATTAGCGAGTACTACTTCATATGTTGATGGATGAGTTGTGTTGAGGTGAAGAAATGATAAGTCACCACTTCATGTACAGGCATCATTTAAACTGTAATTCAAGTTACAATGGCTTACGTGTTGTTACAGCCATCAAGATCTTTACTGTAAGTCACTTGACGACTTAACCATCATTCACCTGTCAACCATCCCATCAATCCATTGGTTGTTTGATTCTTTTCACAAACCATTTAAAATCCATCTTGCAACTGATCATTTTTTCACACAAATCAAAAAAAACTCAAAATTCAAAATGTCCTTCTGTGAAGACGTTCAAGCCCTCGTTGTTGACAACGGTTCTGGTATGTGTAAAGCTGGTTTTGCTGGTGATGATGCTCCAAGAGCTGTCTTCCCTTCAATTATTGGTAGACCAAAGCAAAAGTCCATCATGGTTGGTATGGGTAACAAGGATGCCTATGTTGGTGATGAAGCTCAATCTAAGAGAGGTATCTTGACTTTGAAGTATCCAATTGAACACGGTATTGTTACCAATTGGGACGATATGGAAAAGATCTGGCATCACACTTTCTACAATGAATTGAGAGTTGCTCCAGAAGAACATCCAGTCTTGTTGACTGAAGCTCCTTTGAATCCAAAGGCTAACAGAGAAAAGATGACTCAAATTATGTTTGAAACTTTCTCAGTTCCAGCTATGTATGTTGCCATTCAAGCTGTCTTGTCCTTGTATGCTTCTGGTAGAACTACTGGTATTGTTTTGGACTCTGGTGATGGTGTTTCCCACACTGTTCCTATCTATGAAGGTTATGCTTTGCCACACGCCATTTTGAGATTGGATTTGGCTGGTCGTGACTTGACTGATTACTTGATGAAGATTTTGATGGAAAGAGGTTACTCATTCAACACAACTGCTGAAAGAGAAATTGTCAGAGATATCAAGGAAAAGCTCTGTTATATTGCTTTGGACTTTGAAGCTGAAATGAAGGTTGCTGCTGAATCATCATCTGTTGAAAAGTCATACGAATTGCCAGACGGTAATGTCATTACTGTCGGTAACGAAAGATTCAGATGTCCAGAAGTTTTGTTCCAACCAAACTTCATTGGTATGGAAGCTGCTGGTGTTCATGAAACTACTTTCAACTCCATTGGTAAATGTGATATTGATATCAGAAAGGACTTGTACGGTAACGTTGTCTTGTCTGGTGGTACTACTATGTTCGAAGGTATTGCTGAAAGAATGACCAAGGAATTGACTGCTATGGCTCCAGCCTCCATGAAGATTAAGGTTGTTGCTCCACCAGAAAGAAAGTACTCTGTCTGGATTGGTGGTTCCATCTTGGCTTCATTGTCCACTTTCCAACAAATGTGGATCACAAAGGAAGAATATGAGGATGCCGGCCCAGGTATTGTCCACAGAAAGTGTTTCTAAATCTATCAGATTTGAACAAAATAAAAGTTGTAAAACAATTAAATTATTTATTAAAACAATTATTGATTTTTTTCGATTTCTATTCAAATGGACTACCAATTAGACTGTTATGGTTACTCTGCCAGAGAATATTTTGGTCCTTATACCAAAACTGACTTTTTAAAAAATAGTTTACATTGTGCACACCTTAATATTTGACATCCAATTATTTATCAATAACACTGAAAACAAGGTTTCACTTTTCTGCTCAAATATTCCAACAGAATTAGATGCTGGTCTACAAGCTAAAATAGTATGTGAGAAGAAATTGATAAAACCATTCATATTAAAATTTTGAAAAATGTTTCGAACATGTTCACCAAAGTTTATTGGCATTTTTGATTAATATAATTTGCTTTTTAAAATTTGTCAATAGTAAAACGATAAACGAAGAAAGAACAGCAGAATCAAAAGAGTTTGCTAGTTTCTTAAAAAGCTTGGCGATAGCAAGTTTATTAAATTCAGAAAATGGAACTCAGTTCTAAAATTACATTAGTCAATTAGGTCAGTATTTTTGGAGCATTGATGGGGTATTTCAGGTATTGTAGTGGTCTGCATGTGTTGAAGGGGTCTAACACGGTGGAGGTTCAATTCCTTCCCTGATAATTACCCTTTTGACCCAAAGTCTTTTAAATTTTTGAATTCATTCAATTACATTTAATTTGTGTCCATTTTCAAACTATTTACTCTCGGGAAACGAGGATTCAATACATGTACTCAAACTTTGGATTATAAACTTGCCAATACAGCTTGAGTTTTGGAGTTATGATCTGTTAATCACCTCGAATCCTTTTATTCATTCGAATTTAATTAACTATTACTCATAACATCTATCATAATATTCATTGACAGAAGAGTGTGCAATGCAGGGTACAAATTTTTCCTTGCTCATATCATAGTATTCCTTAATGGAATTGTAATCTGCATCTGGATAATTCCTACAAATATTGGCATAGAGAACCAATTGATGAATCAGTGAATCCTTCTCAATAAATTGTTGCTTGATGAAAGAGTGAACTGTCCTTTCAGTCCAATATTTAACAATGACATAATCATCGGCTCTTCTTCTATTATTAATAATTTCCACATACAATAATTCAGAGAATATTCCATAATTGTCAAGATTTTCCATTGAAACAGATCCCTGAATTGAAAGTCTCAATAATTTGGGAAATCTCTTTCTTGTAATTGCTGAGAGGATATTATTCTCTACATCGGCAGTATCAATACCCAAATATTTGTTATTTTGCGTATTGGGAAATTTGATAGTTAAATCTCGAACGTTTGGAAACTCATCCTGACCTTCTAAAAAGCTTTCGTATTCCTCTGTATTGTCATACGGATCTGCAAAAGAAAAGCATAAATATTGAGCATGTTTTGGTACTGTAAGGTGCAGATAATTTGAATTGAAATTAATAGAAATGGCCACAAAACAAGGATGAATTTCTTCAAAAACTGTTAAATCCTCTGCTGAGTATCCAATCTCCAAATCAATCAATAAACCAAGAGAATTAGTATCTGTGAAATTATCAGTAAATAATCCTTCTGAAATTAAACAACATCTTTCCAAAGTGCTGTAATAGTAATGGTTTTCACCTTTGTATCTCTCGCTATCAAAATATGAAACCATATCAAGAGACAATATCAATGCCTTATGCAGAAATAAATCATATGGATCCAATTGAGTCAATTCTTTGATTTTTTCGAACTTTGATTTGGAAATCATTAATTTCTGAGCTCGTTCTATGAATGAATTGTTCACTTCCTCATTTGAGAAATCATTTGGAACTTCATTTAAATCTAAATCTGTATCATAATAATAATTATTACTACACATGTTTGGATCGATAATATCCTTGTACTCTCTATTCGCATTCATCTCAACTGCCTCTATTAATTTCTGCATTTTTACAATGGAAATGGAACTATCAACACTAACATCACCTCTAGCCAATGAAAAACCCTCAAATGATTGATATCGTTTCCAATAAACAGCCATCTCCAACATGTTAGAAACTCTCTGCCAAAACTCATCCATTTCAACCAATAATAATTGAATAGTACTCTTGGAAATAGTTTTGCACAATTTATGAATGGATTTGACTGTTTCCACATCCAATCCTTCCCAAATTTTAGGACAAGTTAAATTCTTGAATTTCATAATTTCATCATTTGTTTGAAAATTAATTTCATGAATCGGACCAATCAAATATTCAAAAATACAATGTTGCCAAATATCTAGTGGAAGGGAGAGAAGATGCATTGTTTGCTATTTTTTTACTTTAGTATGAAAAAACTTTAATGAATTTCCAAATTTTGTAATAGTACGGAATTTGATCCATCAACTCTTAACAATTTATTGCAGCGAATTGCACTTTTGGAGAATAAAATTAAGCTGCCATTGGTGCAACCAGAATCATCAGAAAATAACTCTGAGTTTTTTGATGAGTTGATTAATAGTGGATTATTGAAGTGAGAATGCGCCCCAACATGGCTTGATAATGTTCTGCTTCCATCACCATGACACATCTCCACCAATCAATTACTCTTACACCACTACAAGAAAGAAACCTCACTAAGGAATCCTTTGTACAAGAATTTTTAACAGAATTTCTTCCAAAACGCACCATGGATATATTGCTGTAGATTCTCACTTAAGGGAAACACTACACTAAAGAAAGCCTGATTTTAATCTGATAAGAATAATAATTTGCAAAAAGATATTATTAAACTTGCTTTGGGATATATTGAGGTAACAAAGCCCTCTATAAATTTTGATAGTGAAGCAAAGGGTCAAATCTTTAGAGAGTAATAAGAAGAGACACTGTATGGGGTGGTAACATCATACGAAAATGCAATGGAATTAGTGAATACTATTACCAAAAAAAAACCAAAACACTTCATTACCATTTGAAACAAAAGAGAATCAAGAAATAATGAATTATGGTAGAGGATGGTCTTAATGTACCAATAGTCGTCACTGTTTTATTTAATTCTAAAATTGGAAAACTGAAATAAAGATTATAAAAGTAAAAAGCCAACCAGATACAACTGAAAGAGCTTCTGAAACTCTTTCACTATTTTTTGGTGTAGGAACATTCATTGACTGGGCTGGTTTTAATGAGAGACCTGGGGTTGGTTTGCTTGATATTCCAGGAGTTGGTTTGCTTGATATTCCAGGAGTTGGTTTCATTGAAGTATCAGGCTGAGTTGGTTTCATTGAAGTATCAGGTTGAGTGGATTTATAGGGAGATGGTTGTTGACCTGGTGTTATTTTATGTATAACATATAAATCTGTGACATAAATATTACCCTTTGAATCTAATGTAATGCCACGTGGAGATTCCAATCCAGTTACAATAGTTGAAAGCACTCCTTTCTTGTCAATTTTAAGTATTGCAAAAATGCTCGTATCAGCAATATACATTTCACCATCTGAACCTATTGCTATACCAATGGGCATACGAAAACTATTTCCAACTCCACTAATAATACCATCTAAACCAATTTTAAGAACTCTACCGTGTAACGAGTCTGAAAAGATTATCTCATTGTTAGAGTTAATGACAATTTTTGAAGGTGCATTCAGTACAGTTTTAGTTGCCAAACTACCAACGCTGGTTGTTCCCCCACTTGCTATATCACTTCCAGCAACGGTTGTTATAATACCATTTACACCAACTTTACGAATTCTGCTACCCATTCTTTCTACAATGTACATTTCTGCATTTGAATTAAATGTAATTCCATAAGGTCGATTAAGTTGGGCATTAATAGCTAAACCACCATCGCCCCCACTTCCAATTACACCTGATCCTACAACGGTTGTAATAATACCATTAGATGCTATTTTACGAATTCTGTTATTATCGTAATCAGAAAAGTAAATTACACCATTTGAATTAACAACAATATCTGCAGGTGAACTTAATCTTGCATTGATAGCCAAACCACCATCACCACTAAACCCACTGTCTCCAGTACCAGCAATTGTTGTAATGGTATTATTAAGTGAAATTTTGCGAATTCTATGGTTATAAGTGTCAGCAATATAAATTTCCCCATTTGAACTACAAGCTACAGATAAGGGTGTATTCAATAGGGCATCAGTAGATAAACCACCATCTCCAACATATCCACTATATCCAAACCCACTACCGGCAAAGGTTGAAATATTAGTATTCAATGCAATTCTACGAATTCTTTGGTTATAAGTGTCAGCAATATAAATTTCACCTGTTGAACTAATCGCGATACCTCTAGGAGAATTTAGTTGTGCCTTCGTTGCTAAATCACCATCTCCACCAAATCTTGGATCACCAGTACCTGCTATAGTATCAATGATACCATTCAATGCAATTCTACGAATTCTTTGGTTACTGGTGTCAGCAAAATAAATTTCACCTGTTGAACTAATCGCGATTCCTCTAGGAGTGTTTAGTTGTGCCTTCGTTGCTAAATCACCATCTCCACTAAGTCCTAAGACACCAGTACCTGCTATAGTATTAATGGTACCATTCAATGCAATTCTACGAATTCTTTCGTTAAAAGTGTCAGCAATATAAATTTCACCTGTTGAACTAATCGCGATACCCATAGGATAATTTAGTTGCGCCTTCGTTGCTAAATCACCATCTCCACCAAATCTTGAATCACCAGTACCTGCTACAGTATTAATGGTACCATTCAATGCAATTCTACGAATTCTATGGTTATAAGTGTCAGCAATATAAATTTCACCTGTTGAACTAATCGCGATACCTCTAGGAGAATTTAGTTGTGCCTTCGTTGCTAAATCACCATCTCCACCAAATCTTGAATCACCAGTACCAGCAATGGTTGTAATAATACCATTCTCTATCTTTCTAATTCTATCAGAATCCACAAAAAGAATCTCACCTCTAGTGCCAACAACGATGCCAGTTGGATTTTGCACCTTAGCCAGAGTGGAGAGCCCACCATCTCCACTAAAGCCCTTACTGGCACTCCCTACTATAGTTGTAATGGTATTATTCTCTATTTTACGAATTCTATAATCGTCGGCAATGTACAATTCGCCTTTCAGACCAAATGCCACACTGTTTGGCGTATATAAAAAGGCAGTACTTGCTGGACCGCCTTCTCCTGTGCCACCACCAGCAATAGTAGTAATATTGTAGGTGGTGGTCTGTCCAAATACGCAAGACAATAGATTAACGAAAAGAAGAAAAACGAGAAATAGAGTCGGCTTGGGGTTCATTTTTTTCTAGATTTTTTAATCTTGTCAATCCAAAAATTTTGGTTGGTTTGTCAGTTTACAATTTCAATACTAAGTTGGGGAAAATTATTGTGAATAGATTTTGGGTGGAGTTTGACTCGAACAACATACCCAGGACCTATTAATTTTCAAGAGCAAGCCAGAGGCATCAAAGCAACAACAGCAGAGATTCGTTCAAAGTCGATCTTTGACTTTCTGTCTTGCTCCTCGTTCCACAATGTTGAATATTTAAAATATTTAATTCAATTTAAATAGAAAGTTTTAAATACATGCGAATGCTGAATTTAATAATTTTGTCAATCTTCATTGTGTGTTCATTTAGTTGATAAATTAGCTAAACTAAAAACCCAAAAAGATATACTATTTTCCGATGTACTAATTGATGTTCACAAATTATTACCCATACTACAGTACTATTCTGTGTATTTGTTGAGAGAAGGTTAACTCATATTAACAGAAAAATCGTCTAGATAGTCTCAACCCAACATGTCACATTGGATTATGCATTGTTCACAGGTGGTCAAGATCAAATCTGGAAAATTATTCGAGCTTCCTGATGGCACATTGATGGAAGAACGATTCCAAGCTGGTGTAGTATTCTAAATTGGGTTGATATTAGTTAATTGTTTGAGAACAACAAGAATTTGAATTGCACTCTAACATTTCAAGGTAATTTTCAAGCATTCCATGATTTAACAGAACAATGAAAAGAGCTCCAATATTAAATCAATACAAAAATGAATCAATTTTCAAAATGTAACGAAAATAAAAATCTTTAAAAAAATGCCTCAAAGTATCTCTTCATATTTATCGAATTTTATTTTCATCATTTTGATGATTTATTTAAAATTACAATTGGTGGACACGATGGAAAACACTGATGTTTTATTCGGAGGTGGAGGAGGAGAATTAAAAACAATAGGATCAAACAACAAGCCGGAAAAGGAGTATAATACTACGATATATTTAAATTCATCTTTTTTAAATCCACCCTTCAAATGTGGTTTACAGATGGATATTCCGTGTAATAATCCCAAATTAGCATTTCGATATGTTTTGAAACCAATAATTGAAAATGAAATTTTGTTAAATTGGAATGAATTAGTTACGAACAAGTTGAAAATGGTTTTTACAGCCAATATATTTATACTTGATGATTTTGATAAGAATTTGGTTGAAAATTGCGGATTAGATTTGTTTTTCAAGTCAAACTTTGCAGTAATTTCCAACAATGTGGCCATTCAACTGGAGTTTAAATCATTTGGAAATCGAATATTCACTTACAAATGCCCTGATATTAATGCTATTCTATTTTCTACTGATGGTGAATTTAATTTAAACTTAATATCTTTAACAAATTTTCACAAGCTTTCCCTACAATCATTAACAGCGGATCTTAATTTTGTGACAAACTCCCATCTTACCAACGTGGGAATTACTTCACAAAAACTACATGTCTATAATTCTACATTGATATCATGTCTTTTTTATATAAAATATGCTAGCGGAGTTATAATAGATCAATCATATCTGAAAGGTCTTTCTGGATCTATCAATATAGTGACAAATGTGAAAATATTAAATAGTATGATTTTAAATGGAAACGATCCTCCTAGTACCATTTGGACTATTTTAAATGTTGACCATTTACAAATGAATAATCTAGTATTTATTGATAGTAATCCTTCCATCAGTATTCTAAAGCTTAGCTCAATACAGAAAACAGACATTAGTGGCTCTAAATTCATTTCTTCAAGAGAAAACGGTGAACTACTTATAGGTAAAAAACCATTTTTAATTTATGCAGAAATGATTTTAAACATAATATTGGATAACTGTCAGGCGTTAAATCTAAGTAGAGGTTGGATTTCTCTAAAGTACACATCCGACGTATCAATATCAAGAGTCAAAATAATTGGAAATGCTGCTAAAACACGGATACTTTTCGTAGAACGAGTTAATGAGTTTGTAATGGATGAATGTGAGTCAACAGGTAATATTGGTGGAGTTGTACATTTAATTGACGCTTCAAGTGCAAAAATTGGTAATTCCAGATTTTTAGACAACCAGATATCAAATGATAATGGAGGATCGGTATTTGTTGACTCTGAATTCTTTGTGGTTGCGGATTCTATATTTGACAGTAACAGTGCTGTGAATGGAAGTGGTGGAGCTGTTGCAGTTTCTGATTCAACAATGTTATCTATAGATCGTTCAACATTCGTCTCGAATGTAGCTACAATATCAGGAGGGGCTGTGGCTATGGTCAGTGTTTTCCCAAATTCAAATGATTATTCTCACTCACAAATTACCTATTCAGTATTTAGAGACAATGGAATCAACCATTACCCTAATATTGATAAAAGCTACTGTAAAGGATTCTACTCGTGTGAGGGATCTGGAGGCGCTATCTCACTCAGGAGCATAATTACATTTTACAATGTGAACGCGACAGGAAATTATGCTGTTTGGGGAGGAGCTGTATTCACAAGCAACGATAATAGAAAGCTTGTAGATGCCAAGAGTTTCATTGAGGGAAATCATGCAAAGATAGCTGGCGGAGGCGTGTTTTCTATAAATGGTTATTTCGATGGTACAGATTTGAAAAATAATTCTGCTGGTTTTTATGGAGATAACATGGCATCTTCTATACAATTTATTTATGCTATTCAAACTACCTACTTTGGAATTGATGGAAAATACTTGGTTGCTACTAATAATTCAGCCACACTTAATTTGCATTTAGGTCAATATGCTAAAATTGAAATTTTGAAATCAGCAGATTATTATGGAAATTTGGTAAATATTTTCAGAGAGGATATAGAACCTATCTCAAATTCATCTCTCTATATACCAAAATGTGACTACAGTATCATAGATAATGGTATCAATATTTCATTTTCTGAGGCACCATCTCAACCTAGTGAATCCAAGTTTCCAATACTACTGAAAATTACTTCCAGATCTATACCAATTACTGTGATAATTACACCATGTCCTCATGGATATTCCCTTCAAGAAGGTGTGTGTGCTCCTTCATTTCCTATGGAGGTTCTCATATCAACGTCGGTGGTTGGTGTATTGTTAGCTCTTATATCTGGTATAATAATTGGATTATTAATAACTTTTGCTTTTAGGAAATTGTGGAAAATTAAGGACAAACTTAAAAAATTAAAAAAGCTTGAAAAAGCTGAAGAGGATATTGAAAAAAGACTTTTAAAGTCTGAATTTCACAAAAATTATGGAATCAATTACGATCCAAAAGATTCAATCATAAAGAACAAAAAGTCAATGAACTTTCTCATTAATTCAGATGACTTGAAAATAGAAAAGAAAATTGGAGAGGGAGCTTATGGTTCCATATTTTTAGCAAAATGTTGGGAGACTACCAATGTAGCTATCAAGTCGTTCCATCAAAAATCAGAGGAAAATGAAACTAATGGAGAGGATTTTGAAAGGGAGGTTTCATTGCTTGTAAATTTAAGAAATCCATATATTGTCACTTTCTACGGAGTATGTATAACCGAGTCAAAGAGATTCATGGTTGTAGAATATTGCGAAAGAGGAAGTTTAGAGAAGATTATCAATGACTGTAGAAGTGGAAAAGATTTTCTGACACTTTCACAAAAAGCTCAAATATTATTGGACATTTCCTCAGGTATGAAATATTTACATGGATTGAAACCAAAATTAATTCATAGGTTAGTTTTTACTGTATCAATTGTTTTATTAATTGATAATTTACTCAGAGATTTAAAGCCAGCAAATGTTCTCATTAATGCGACAGGACAGGCAAAAGTTTGTGATTTTGGTGTATGTTATTTTAGTATTGAAGAACTAATATTTTGAATTTAAACAGCTTTCCAAAATCGTTTCCACTAATTCAATGAAACAGTCTATATTTACAATGACATTGGGCACTCTTTTTTACATGGCTCCAGAGGTATCTTTAGGAGAAGCTCAAGACAGCTTTGAGGATAGAGATTTACTCACAAAAATAGATGTTTTTTCATTTTCCATAATAATGTATGAATTATTCTTTGAGGAAAACCCATATTTGAATGAGGATTCAAAAAAAATTCATTTCTTTTCAAATGGAAAATCATGGAATTTTGGATTGAATAACAGTAATAATGGATTAAATATTATTTTCAAGGTGGCAAAGGAAGGTTTAAGACCACTTGTCCCTTTTGAAAACAGGAATGAGCTATCACAATGGGCGGATATTTATCTTTTTAATAATTATACAAACCTTTCAGATGAACAAAAGAAACAAATACTTGATGGTGTAGAGTTGTTTGTAAGCTTGATGGAAAAATGTTGGTCTCAAGATCCAAGTGGCAGACCAAAGTTTTCAGAAATCTTTAATGATCTGAAAAAGATCAAAAAATATTTCCAACAGTAATATTTATTCTTTAACATAGGGAAACAGAGCAACACGATAATACTTAGAACGATCTCTATTCGGCAAAGTTAGTTGGTGCTGGGGAAATAGTCTATTTTCCAATTGTCATAATTCGTAATGAAATTCACAAGCTGCAAGATTCTGGTTTTTGAGTTTGCTCTCCAGATAGGAATTTAATAGGAATTTAATCTCATCCAAATATATTCCACATTCTTAGACCTTAAGACAGATGAAGCAACATCAATTCCGAAGTATCAGCTTAAAAACTTATTCGAATCTCAACTTGAATGAACAACTGTTACCCTCAATATTAATATTTAGAAACTGTGGGGTGAACAATATGCCTAAATATTTAATTGGATAGAGGAAATATTTGGTAGACTTTGTGGTAATAGCAATTTAGTTTTCTTAATAAAATCGCTTCGGTATATTAATTCTGGAAACATAAAATTTTTACGATACATTTTAGCAATTCAAACAACCATGAAATGTTAATAGAAAGAAAACTAATTTCATATTATTGATGTAACTACTTGGTTTCATTTATTTTAAATAGACAAAGGAAGCTAATCTGATTGTTGCTGGTTCAGCAAGTTGTTGTTTAAGAGCTTGATGGGTGATAGCTATTTATCCTTTCGAATTTGAGTCTTCAAATATTGAAATTGTTTAAGATACCAAATTCTTTAGAGAAGCGAGTGGAACAGGGAGTCAAGAAAAGGATTTTTCACAAAGTAAGGAATAGAGATTAAAAAAATTGGTATAAATTTGATTTATATCCAAATTATTATGAATGGCTACGGCCATATCACGATGAATGCACCTCATCCCGTCCGATTTGAGAAGTTAAGCATCGTCGAGCCACATCAGTACTGAGGTTGGAGACAACTTGGGAACCTGTGGTGCTGTAGTCTTTTTATTTTCCTTATTATCTGTAATAATTGTTTGAAATATTGGTTGGATTGAGATAACCTCCTTGTTTGGAGTATTCTGTTCTGTAACTATTTTCAGGGAACAGATTCTCCTTCAGTTGTCTCTAATGGTGGAATAATTCTAGTTGGCTAATGTTTCAACAATTTACTTTCTATGATTCAATTTTATCTAAGATTTGCTTTTTGGAGAGTTGTTTGATGATAATCCACAAACAAAAATCACTAGTAATAGTATATAGGTGATGTTGTGAAAGTTTGGTAGCTTCAGTATGTGAAATCACTCGAAGAATCATCAAAGTACAGCCCATACGCGTAAAATCTTTTTCTTCTTTATTCCACCGACAATCACAATCTTAACTGTCCAATCTGATGATTTCAGTAACTCTTCATTGAAATTGGACCTTTAAAATACATTCTAGCAAAATTAATGCAATAGGAATAATGTGTTGAGACCTTTCGTTCTGGATACCAGGTAGCCAATCTCCTCTCTTCGTTTGTAATGCCAAATCCTTTTTTTTGGATTTTAATTAATAGATTTCATCTGTTGGTTATTAATAACAAGTGCTGTTAATTGTTTCATTTCGCTTAGCAATTTGACTCCTTCAGTACCAATTCGATTGCTATAAATATTAAGTGCTGTTAATTGTTTCATTTCACTTATGAATTTGGCTCCTTCATCGCCAATTTGATTGTTATAAATATTAAGTGCTGTTAATTGTTTCATTTCACTAATGAGTTTGGCTCCTTCATCACCAATTTGATTGTTATAAATATCAAGTGATTTTAATTGTTTGATTTCACTTATGAATTTGACTCCTTCATCACCAATTTGATTGTAAGATATATTAAGTGATGTTAATTGTTTCATTTCACTTATGAATTTGACCCCTTCATCACCAATTTGATTGTAAAAATATTAAGTGATGTTAATTGTTTCATTTCACTTATGAATTTGACTCCTTCATCTCCAATTTGATTTTTATAAATATTAAGTGATGTTAATTGTTTCATTTCACTTATGAATTTGGCTTCTTCATCACCAATTTGATTTTATAAGTATTAAGTGAAGTTAATTGTTTCATTTCACTTATGAATTTGGCTTCTTCATCACCAATTTGATTTCCACTAATATTAAGTGATTTTAATTGTTTCATTTCACGTATAAATTTGACTCCTTCAGTACCAATTCGATTGTAACAAATATCAAGTGATGTTAATTGTTTCATTTCACTTATGAGTTTGGCTCCTTCAGCACCAATTCGATTGAGACAAATATTAAGTGATGTTAATTGTTTCATTTCAAGTATGAATTTGACCCCTTCATCTCCAATTTGATTTCCACCAATATTAAGCGATGCTAATTGTTTCATTTCACTTATCAATTTGACTCCTTCAGCACCAATTTGATTTCCAATAATGTTAAGTGATTTTAATTGTTTCATTTCAATTATGAATTTGACTCCTTTAGCACCAATTTGATTGTAAGATATATTAAGTGATGTTAATTGTTTCACTTCACTTATAAATTTGGCTCCTTCAGCACCAATTTGATTTCCACCAATATCAAGTGATGTTAATTGCTTCATTTCATTTATGAATTTGGCTTGTTCTATAGAGTCAAGCAACTTTCTCGAAAATTTAACGTTAACAATACTATTCATAAATTGACTTTTCATTAATAATTCAATTCTTTTCTCTGTAAATTTTTTTTTAAATTGAATAACAAGTTTTGAACGTTCCTTGATCACATTAAAGAATTGTTTTGAAATCAAGGAACAATTATTCAAAATAAACCACGAATCAATCATGGAAATTATTTCAAAGCAAACGTCATCTGAAAATATTTCTTGTACAACTTTTTTCTTTTTTGCTTTCTCTTCCATGTTATTATTATTGATCATGAGTAGTTCCTCCGAAATTAATGGATTTTCAAAATCTTGTCTGCTTCGTTTGATCATTTTTTTTGAAAGTGAGTTTTCTTCACATATAATTATATTAAGAAATAATCAAAGTGGTTGTTGCCCTTCTTCTCAATTTTTTCCTGTGAGTATTCATCTGATTTCTCGCTCTGTTAAATAATAGAAACATTTGGAATTGAAACAAACTGTAAAGGAACTTTTGATTCGAACCACTTTTGAAAACTCTCAAATTGACCAACACACATTTCCTCTCATCAATGCACAACAATAAATAAAAAACACAGATAATAAGGAAAATAAAAAGACTACAGCACCACAGGTTCCCAAGTTGTCTCCAACCTCAGTACTGATGTGGCTCGACGATGCTTAACTTCTCAAATCGGACGGGATGAGGTGCATTCATCGTGATATGGCCGTAGCCGATTATGATACTAAAATATTTAACAACTAGGTTGCAAACAGAAAATACTGAATCCTTTTCTCTTTGTATAAATTAGAAAATTGATAAAAGCAAAATGATTCTCCCATGCCGGGAATTGAACCCGGACCTCCTGGGTGAAAGCCAGGTATCCTAGCCATTGGACTACACGGGAATCTTATTCATTATGAAAATATTTTAATATCAGTTAACCACCAACGAATCTTCACTAGTAAGAACTTTTATACTTATTAATTATTGTTTTACACATTAAGAAAATCATGGACATTGCTAATGCAGTCGATGTCCCTCCAATACAAGCACAAATTGTCCCTCCAACTCTATAGGAGGCATAGAGTTCACTAAAAGGTGTCTCAATCCTAGCTATTGTTTCTTCCTTATTCGTGTAACAATCAATATCGTGCCAAGTCATGTCAGCTGTTGGATATGTTAATTGTTGAGAGAATGTCAAGGTTTTTTTCTTCAAAGAATCAAAACTCTTACAATTAATATTATATCCATGTGAATTATCCTTAGCAAATTCTGCATTGAGAGGAGGAAATGCTATAATTAAATTACAATAGCCAGTCCCATCACACGTATGTTTGGTAATGTCACAGCATCCTTTATGAATATAAGATACAGCTGTGTCATCATTAATCATAACAATATCTCCATTAGCTATTCCAAATAAAACTGCACATGCAATAAGGGTGCCAACACCAATGAATGTCGATAGTAAAGTTATGTTGATAAGTTGCTGTCCATTTCTCTTATGTCTATTAAAGTCAGAGGACCTTAAAGTTCTTACAAACATTAGAAAATCGACCAACTTCATCAAAGGTCCACCAAAATGAGAATTGTTATTACTGCTTGTTGGATTTGAGGCTGGTACATAGGAATTAATGTTCATATTAATTGCAGAATGATCAACAACTACTTGGTAAGGGGTTGTATTATCACAAACAGTAACATTACTATGTGATGGAATTATGCTTGGATCTTGTTTAAGATTAATAATAATAGGTTGAACCTTTGTTGAATTTGATATTTCTTCATTTTCTGATATTAATACAGGAAGAGATGGGTAAGCTTGATTATAAACTATTGCACTACTACTATCTTCCATATTGCCGTAGCTGCTGTTTACTTGTGTTTGATAGAAAATAGCTGCTGATGGTTGTGATTCGGAGGGATCATTTAAGGCTGTACTAAAGGAAGGAGGAGGTTGCTCTTGATAGCTACTTGGATTATAGCTAATGTAAATATCAGTATTATTTGTTGTTGCTTCATTGCTGATATATATCAACTCTGAATCGGAAGGAAGTGGTGCCACCATATGGTTGTTATTATCAGTTTGAGGAGTGTAGGTGTTATTAAAGGGCATCTTTTTTTGTGTTTTAAATTAAGGCACACTACCTTAATGAAATATTAGATAAATCGAGATTTATTACAATCTCACATTTCCAGAAGATAATTGTTTGACAATTTCTTCTGTAATTGGAATGTAAGAGTCCTTTGTTGATACATCCAACATGAGAATTTGGTCTTGACCAACCTTGTCTGGGTGATATGCTTCAGCTTGGTATTGATTCTTGATGAATTTGAAAGTGCTGGTCTTCTCTGATTCTACCTTACTAATTCTAAGGAATATTGGAATGGCATAATGTGGAAGATGTTTCTTCAATTCGGTTAATAAAAATTTAGTGTCCAATTCTTCAGAACTATTCTCAATAAGCAAACGAGCCATTCCTGCTCTTCCTTCGCAATGAGGTATTTCAATACCATACACATTAGCCTCCTTTAGGCCAATATTGTGCTTGTCGAGAGCTTTTGTTATGGCCTCACTGACCTCTCCTGTTGACACATTTTCACCTTTCCATCTATATGATTCTCCCAATCTATCAACAAAATAGAAGAATCCATCATTATCGAATTTGAGTAAATCTCCACTTCTGTACCACATGTCTCCCTTCTCGAAAACATCTCTATAAACCTTTTTCAAATTGTCCTCATGATTATTATAAGCTTTGTACAATTCCGAAATCCTTGTGACATCCTCTCCTGCAACTCCTGGACCTGCAATTTCGCAAAATCCAGTAACTGGGTCTCTTTTAACAGAATCAGTTTCAAAATCGTATGTTAACAAAACTTCCTTCTTTTGATTAGTCCACAAATCAAATGGAATGAAACCGCAAGATCCCACCTTATTGTATGAATTTATCATTGGGTGGGCACTCAACATTTCTGTTTGCCCGTAGTGTTCCACTATTTTCTTAATTCCAAATCTTTTCATTACCCTATTCCAGATATCTTTTCTCAACCCATTTCCAGCTGCAACTCTGAGAGGATTTTGAGCATCGTCTTCTTTTTCTGGTGTGTTGTAAAGGTATCTCCACAATTCACCAATATAAATAGTAGCTGTACAACCAAAAGTACGAATATCGTTCAAGAAATTACTGGCAGAGAACTTTTCTCTCAAAACTGCTGTTCCTCCGACCAACATGATTGCTGATACAGCAACCACACCACCATTTCCATGATATAATGGAAGTGCAATATAATACTTGTCATCTTTGACCAAATCCATTTGCACTGACCACGTCACACCAGCTCCAATAAATCTTCTATTGGAAAATCTGGCACATTTACTCTTTCCTGTTGTTCCTGAAGTGTAAATATAGAGAAGTGCATCCTCTCCCGTGATATCACCTCTATAAATTGTTGAATTTGGATTTTCCAAAGTGTTACAATTCTCATATTTAATAATATCTTCCACAATAAACACTTTAAAATCTCTGATTGATGCTTTTCTAATTGAAATTTCAAATTCTTGTTCTTCATTTCTTGCTTTCTCAAAGAGTGGTAACATTTTTCTGGAGAGGAAAATGGATTTAGCTCCAGATAATTCAATAGCATGTTTCATTCTATCTGGTGTCAAATACGTATTGATACAAGCAATGGTTAATCCCAACTTATTTAACCCACCCCAAGTAGGAATAAAATTTTCATTATTTTCCATCAGCAAACAAACAACATCACCCTGTGTCATGATGTGATTAGATAGTCCACTATTTTTCACATTGTAGTATTTTAAATTGTCAATTTCACCATTAATCAAATAATAAGCAAGTTGATTTGCCATTTGATTCATCTTTTCATAGGTAATTACAGGTTGAGTATCTATTGGTTTATGAACTGTTTGAATTGCCAACTTATCGGAATATGTTCTAGCAAGATATTCAATCCAATCTGCTCCAGTAACAACTCCGTTCTCCTTTAATTTGGCCATTGTTTGTTGACAATGTTCCTGAACAAAATAATAGTGCTCACGAATGGCCGGAACTTCCATTGTCATGAAGGTTGATTCTTCTACGAGTTGGTTCTCAGAAAGCATTCTGCATGAAGAGTGAGATGTGAAGTGGTCAATTTTTTTAATGCATTCCATTGTTTACCATCACAAGACCGGTGATTTGGAATGCAATTACACTCCTTGATAATGATGTCAATGGAATTGAGAATCATTGTATGGAGTTATTAGTGCTTTCATTCCGGAGTATGTAATGAAATATAAATATTATTATCTTCTTGCTCTCTAAATAAAATTTAAATGGATAACTGTAGTCAGATGGGAGGGAAAGAGAAGTGAAAACAGAGATTTGGTAAATGCACTTCTTTATGATATTAATTAAAGAATTGAGTACCCACTTACAGTGTTATTTCAATTTCCAATGGTCCACACTAATTTCCATCAATTCTAATTTATTTAAAATTTATAATATGAAATTAAATTCTCTTCCGAGAAGTATTACCAAACAAATTTTTCACCGTAGTCAAAGATAATCTCAAATTTTGTGCTTTGCAGCTTTTCGTTCACTTTGTCAGCTGGCAAGGTGGTAACAAAGGAAATTTGGTACCAACAAGGCTTCTTGTAAAACAGAACATTTTCTTCTTGAAGGTGCACATAACCAAATTTTCCCATTAACTTCTCTACATAGCTGTGCTTGCAAATGAGATCTTTTAGGCTTTAATTCTCAACAAGTATTGATTCTTAATGATTTCACCACTTTTTGACCGGAGACATTTTCGCGTTAAAAGATGGTGGTTATTAAAAAAAGGAGTCTACACTGTACCACCCACACCCTCTGATAGAAACAAGCTGTTGTGCTTGATTATCAAAACATAACAACTGTGCTGCTATTATTTCCTATTTTCATTGAAATTGGTTCTAATCAATACAAATTCTCTTACTATTAATAGCCTATCAGAGAGAGAAAAATTTCGAACACAAGTATTTTCTCTTTTGATTAAACGAATCCAAATCAAACAACAACACCATCACAAATAACATATTTATTTATTGACTAACTAGGTTCACTCCATTGTATCAGAACAATCTCGGACATGTCTGTGAATAACAAGAATAATAATACATTCCAACCAACCACCACTCAACAACTACCTCCAAACCATCCCTACAACATTATGATTAATAATTCATTCAATAACACCCTTCCTACAGCCTCCTCCAATAATAATAATGGTGGTGGCAATAAGTCTTCTCCAACAATCTCTTCCAACATTACTCCCACCATTCCAATGATGAATCAACATCCATTCTTTTCCCAAATAGCCTCTAACACACTACAACCGTCAACTACATCCCCACAAACCAATGCTACTGCCACAAGTAGCAATACCTCTCTTCCTCCTAATCAAAATGCTCTTATGGGTAATAACTCACTTTACGAACAATTGTTACTCCAAGAACAATTATTTTCAGCCTTCCTTCACAATTATTATCAATATCAGAGAATGATGATGGAACAACAAAACCTCCACTCCCTCTACTCTCAACAAGTAAATGCCCAACAAATGGTATCAAATTCTCCTTCTTCCATTGGTACGCCACAACATCATTCACAACCTCCACTTCTTATCAATAGTAATTCTCCAAGTGCTAGTAATGCCAATCCTGCAGGATTATTCAATCCAAATATTCAGCCAACGGGAATGACTTCGGTTGCAATTCCTGAACCTCTCTATGAGCTTTATATTAGGCCAATTCTCCATAATCTTCAACAAAACCTCTACAAGACAAATAACGATCAAATGGGACTTGTCACAGATTCTAATTTTCAACAAGATAATAGTGCTGTCTTTTTGTCTCCTTCAGATCTACCTCAACACAGCAACAACAACCAAGCAATGTTTCAACAACCTCTGGTAACGACAATCAACAATCCTTCTTGGAGAGTTTATTATCAAGTGATGAACAACATTTGCCACCTGTTGATACTATGCTTCTCTATTCTAACCATCAACTAGATGCAGACAAAGAGGAGGAGAAGAACTCTCCACAACCTCACAAAGCTTACGATCCTAAGAAAAATAAGAAGGGTCTTAAGAAGAAACGTAAATATATCAAATCTGGTCTCTTTAAGAAAGATAGAGATGGCAACTTTTTAATTTCAATTAATGATCGTGCCAGACTAGCTCAATATGGCTTAAGCATGCCAAAACCAGAGGGAGACGAGGGAGAAGTGATTCTCAATGGAGAAGATGAACACCAATTCTATGAAGAGGAAGAGGAAGAGGATGATCAAACACAAACTAATGATACAGTTAATAATACTCTTCCTCAAGATCATAACCTCATGAACTCAATCAATATTCACGACTTATTGGGAGGCCATGATGCTCATGGATTGCTAGAGCCTCAACATGAACCAATTAATACTAAATTCTCGGAGGAGCAATCTCAAATGGGATTTGAATGGTATTTTGCCGAACAATTCCAAAACTTCCCAAGTGCAAATGATTTCTTCCAACAAGAGGAAGAAAAAAGCCAAATGAGAATTTTTGTGTGGGCTCAATGGCAATTATTGCATGATTCTGAGAAACAACATTATATTGAATTGGCTCTTGCTTCTCAAAGGGAAATGCTCCAACAAGTTGTTGCTTCTTCAAGCTATAGTGGTGGAACACCTAGCGATTCAAGGAATTTGCTTTCTGAAAGTGAATCCATCATTGGAGTTGATGAAACAAATATTAACAATAAGGTTGAGCAACCACTCGTTCCTCCTAAGGATAAAGAAGAATCCGAAGATGAGCAAATCAATGAAGAATCACTCAAAGAGTTGGACAAGAATGTAACTGCTAACAGAGTGAAGAAACCTCTGAGTGGGTATAATAGCTTTGTTAAAAGCGTATTCCCTTCATTCCAAGAAATGTATCCAAATATTGATAAGAAACAAATTACCAAGTTAATCGGGCAAAAATGGAAAGCAATGCCAGAAGATGAGAAACAACCTTATATTGAAATGGCAAGACAGGCTCAGCCAATTGTAAAGAAACCTCTTAATGCCTACAATATCTATTGTAAAGAAAAATATTCAATTTTCAAGGAAGAAAATCCAGATTTGGCTCCAAACGAAGTTAGTAGAATGGTTGCTTCATCATGGAAGAAAGCCAAGAAGGAAGAAAAACAAAAGTACTATGATCTTGCCGAAAAATGGAAACAAGAAAGTGAAGAAATGATTTCTACTGCCGTAGAAAAACAAACCAAACAAAAAACAAAAAAGCGTAAAATTTAATTGTAAATAAATATATTTACGAATGCTATTTTGAAAGATTTTAAAATCAAAGATAATAAGGTTGTTTTTTGTCGTTGATAGACATTAATGGTTGTATAACAGACTTCCACCAGTGAGTACCAATCGAATGTTGAATTGTTGACAACACGTTTTCTGACACTGAATGGTGAATATGCCAGAAATTGATTGTTGTTAAGATCTTACTTGTTCTGTTCTTTAATGTTCTAAAAGCGCCCTTCTTCATCACCATTCTAATGTATTATGTATTCGAAACTTTCAAGAAAAAAATTCATCCAACCGATTCACTACTAAACCACCACTACTATGGAACCATCATCACCAAGTCTTACCAAAGTATTTGGCGATTTTTTAAATCTTCAAGATGTTCTCACAATAACCTTGATGGGTGCCAAAGATCTAGTTCCGAAAGATAGAAATAATCTCTCTGATCCAGTGGGTTTTACTTTAAATTTTCTTATTCGTAATAACACTTTTACAGTATGTTTTAACAACATATCCTGGTTTTTCCCACAAGTCAAAAGTCAAACCAAAAACTCTTGATCCAATTTGGAATGAAACAATACAAATTCCACTAATTGAAAATTCAAATGAAGGTATTAATTTTAGAGTAATGGATAAAGATATGATTTCCGATGACTTTGAAGGTGATTATATTCTCAAATTGAGTGAAATTTCAAATTTCAATGGAGAAATTATGGAATTGCCTTTACAAAATATAGAAAAAGGATTTTTACTCATTTCTTGTACATTGAAATGTTATCCTAGACCAAACATTCAAAAAACTTCCATTCCTAGCTCATTTAAAGATAGAGAAGTATTCTTTAAATGTACTAGAAATTCATGGCTGTTAGGAATTATTAAATATCCAATGTCAAGAACTGAGATTGGAATTGAAGTAGATAAGACACTATCAAAGAATGCATCTCCAAGACAATTAAGTAATAAGGATCGTTGGACTGAGTTTAAATTGGAAGATCACTTGTTGGATATTGTTACTCCTTTGGAAACTTTCTTGGAAAATCCAGCATTTGTTGATAGAATTAGAGTGGAGCTCATAACCTACTCTGGAACGGAGGCAACTGATGTGAGGGAAGCATGCGAAACTCATTTGGAATCAACCATGACAAAGTTCAAGAAGGGGTCTTCATGGAAGACAATTAACAATAATTCCAAGTCATTTGAAATGTTGAATGGATTTACAGGATTTATTACTTTGAAGAATAAGGGAAAGGAGCTAAAGGTGGCTGTTACTGGAAAGATGTATGCAATTTTAATTGGACACAATTCCATACTGACCTATTCTTACTTGTCTAATTGTGCTAGTCCTTATGAGTCATCATTGGAAGAATGTGTTTTCAAATCAATGCCTCCAAAAGAATCCACTCTATTCACCTCTCTATACTGTGACATTGCTGATTCTCTGTGGTTGAGACACCCATTTGGTTGGGTCTATCAGGAAAAGGACTATTCTGAATTGAGCTATCTCTATTCTCCAGTTCATATCAAAAAATCAGCTATTGATCAAATTATTGTGGAACAAATTACCAATGATCAATTCAAATCATTAGAAGATCTTTCAAATCAACATTTAAATCATCTCACTTCCACACTTAAGAATGTCATGATTATTAGTCCTGTCAAGAAACGTGAAAGATTCAATCCATCACTAACTGTTTCAACAACCAATATTTCTGGATCCAGATTATTTTATGAATTTGAAATTAGCTATCAAAAAGAAGATACCACACTCACAAGAATCGTCAACCTTACAACAACTTTTGGAAGAAACTTTTGGTTTCTCTCCTATGAAACCTCAACAAAATCCCAAATCAATAAGGATACCTACGAGTGCACTATTTCACAAATTCGTTTCGATGAATCAAAGAAAGAATAAAGAATATATTGATGAACTCACATTAACATTGTAATATATGCTCTCTTAGAGCTACAGTGCAATTTCAAGGAGAAACACAAATTCAATTTAACTGATTTCAGGAGAACTTGGAACATTTTTATTTTCAAACTTAAAAAAAAATCCATCAGCAAGAAGGAATTTATTTTCAATTTGCTTTTAAAAACTCTAAGAGACCGGAGATAATATTATCCAATAATATTATTTATTTTAATAATTGTTAAATAATAATAATAACACTATGGGTGTACGTAAACTTGCTACTATTCGTACTGCAGGAGAAATTACTCCTATTGCAGGTGCAGAAGCTATTGAATGTTGCCATGTTGATGGTTGGACTTGTGTGATCAAGAAGGGAGAATTTAAACAAGGTGATAGGGGAGTCTATTTTGAAATTGATAGTTTTATAAAGGAAGATAATGATAGGTATCCAATGCTTTCAAAACAAGTTATTGATTATGAAGGTCAAAGAGGTACTCGTCTTCGTACTGCTAGGTTGAGAGGTCAATTGAGCCAAGGGTTGTTCTTGCCAATGGATAGATTCCCAGAATTGGCTTCCAATCAAGTGGGTGATGATGTTACAGAAATTCTAGGAATTACAAAGTGGGAACCACCAATTTCCACTAATCTTTCTGGTGAAATTTTGGGTGAATTTCCAACTTTTATTAGTAAGACAGATCAGGAACGTGTACAAAACTTAATTCCACAAATTGAAGAAAATAAGGGTCAAAAATTTGAAGTGACTGTGAAATTGGATGGCTCATCAATGACTGTATATAGGAAAGATGACCATATTGGTGTATGTGGAAGAAATTGGGAATTGAGAGAAACTGCAACTAATGCACAATGGCATGCTGCTAGGAGAAACAAAATGATTGAAGGATTACAATTTTTAAATAGAAATTTGGCCCTACAAGGTGAAATTATTGGAGAATCAATTCAAGGAAATTTGGAAAAATTGAAAGGTCAAGATTTTTACTTGTTTGATATTTATGATATTGATAAGGCTCAGTATTTGACACCAATTGAACGACAATCATTGGTGAAGCAATTGAATGATAACGGATTCACTGTCAAACATGTCCCAATTTTGGATGATTTGGAATTGAATCATACAGCAGAGCAGATTTTGGCAATGGCTGATGGGCCATCTTTGAACAAGAATGTCAAAAGAGAAGGTTTAGTATTCAAGAGATTGGATGGTAAATTTAGTTTCAAAGCAATTTCCAATGCCTATCTTGAAAAGCATAAAGATCGATAAATTAACATGAAGTCTTTCAATTAAATCTTATGAACGAATCGGCAAACTTCTGCTTTGT